TAATTATTTCCAAAGCACACGAATTTCTACACAATTTCTTATAGCCTTTTATAATCGATGGCAAAAAAGCAACAGCCAAGCGATAAAGTGCGATAGGAACTATAGCCCGGCTTCATAATTTTTTATCGCTTCGTATAGCGCGGCCGTATGATTTTCTCCGCATTCTACAGCCAGCTATATAACTTTCTGTAGAATTCTTTCTTCTTTCTTCTGTAGAAGAATTCCTATGGTATTTTGAAACCCAGCTCCTATCGCCAATTTTTACCAGGGGTCCAGACTCTTAAAAACATCGACAAGAAAAAATACTCTTGATTCAATCGGCTTTTAGCTTAAATCAAGAACCAAGCCTCTTAATTTGAGCGGCCTTACTTTTTATTTAAGCAAAAATCTGATTGAATCAAGAGTATTTTTTCTTATCAATGTTTTCTGGAGTCTGGACTCTAGATTCAATGTGTTTTTTTCCCGTGTGGGAAAAAAACTGCAGTCATATGAACCGAATGTTTCCGAAATTCAATATCGGCTGGATTGTTCGGTTCATGTAACCGCTCTCAGTTCATGCAACTGAGTTTTTTCGTTAGTTCTGTTCGCTTTGAATGTTTGATTGTATTAACCGAGGATACGGTACCTAGAGCTGAGATAGTGGTTAACTAGTTGCCTACACGAATCAAACAATCGGCCGATATCGAACACAGTCCGTTCGGCTCATATGACCGAAGTTTTTTTTTCTCAGTGAGCCATTAAATCATTCCATATCGTAGTCACTTGAATCACTGATACCACAGATCCTGAAATTAGTGATATGTGTATTATGGTCGCCTATCGACGGTGAAACTCCAAAACCACGTATCTTCCGGTTTGCGACGTTTCTGTCATTCTTAATTTTTAAATGGAAAACTACCCTGTCAATCCTTAAAAAATTCTATAAATTTTCACCTCTGTGCGAAGAAAATTCTGTGAAAACTGGAAAAATTTCGATTGAGAGAAATATTTGGTGCCTTACACGTAAAAGAAGAAAAAGAGGTGAGAAAAAAGTTCGTGAAACTAAACTGATCGGACGACACAGAGCCTAGTTCTGTTTGGTACTTTCAAAATATTTGGTCTTCATAGGTAACTGAGCGACTCGGTTGGGATTACCGGATTTTTAAAATTCGGTTTAGCAGACTGAACAGTTCGGTTGAGTGAACCGATTAATTCGATTATATGTACAAACAAACGAGATTCCATATCACCCGAACTTTTCTTTCCCGGTGTGCACTTATCACGTCAACTTTAAGTATCTCGAATTACTTACACATGCAGCGTCAGCATGAGAACTTTCTCCCGAGACAGGTAATTTTTAAAAGTGAAAAAAATAGACTTGACAATCGTTTTAACACATCCACACGTAATTGTACGATCTTTCCCTGGGTTCGACAACAATGACCGGCATTCTCCGTTTAGAGAGTCTGTTCACGATTAATGGTTCATCTTTCACCAAAAAGTGATTTTTCATCCTGCTTCCTGGCAACGAATGGGTATTCACCTGTTGTGCGGGGGCATTAAATCATACCTCCTTGTTTTGAATTCGATGATGCATTTTGCTGCTCTTCACCCGCTTTCACGCAATCAAGCCTCGATCAAATGCCGAATCAGGTCACGACGGAGATAATTATTGGGCCTCTGATTGTGAGAAAGTTTGACAAAAAGGATACATGTTCGGAAGAGCAATCACAATGACAAGATTCATGCTTGTCTCTGATTATGACCTTCTGATTATTCGGTTCCCGCCCATTGCATTTATTTGATGGAACTTTTAGTCGAGATAAATTTCAACGCATGTGTACGGAATAAAGAGAAACTCAGCGTGCGGTGTTGATGTCATGTCAGTTCAATAACCGCTCTCCATCTCAAAGACTTAACGTCATTGATGAGGAATGTTTTTTGGGAATACGTATTTTTTTAAACCTTTGACTTTGACGGACGAAAATTCTCGTCCTCATGCAACAACACTGTGACCCTACGGTCAAGAATTCTCGACTTGGAACTTCAAAAAGCTTCATTTTTGGTGTAATTAATTTGAAAAAAATGGGTGCTGATAATTCACTTTTCGTGACTCATCTTCGCTTTTACGTACCTTAGGATAAAGCACACACAATTTCACACTATTTGATGGAGAAATAAGTAAATTAAGTTAAGAAAATTAAAATCGGGCATTATTGCATGATATTCTATTCCTGGCTTAGAGTGGGGGTGCACGGCGTGAAAATTTCACCTGAGAGTCAAAGGGTTAATTAATACTTATTATAGAGGCCATTGAAAATCAAAATAACTTCCTATATTTCATTTTTCTACCCTAAATATTCCACGTATCTAACTGAAATTTTGGATAATCTAAACCGAAATTATGTCTCAGCTACCAATAATTTCAATGACCGAAATAGGTTTTTCATCAGACTGAGTTTAATTTGTCCAGATACATGAAATCGTTGTTGGGTTACTTATACTGAAACCTACGCGGTTCGAATAATATTCGCTGTGAATTGCCGGGATTTCAAATTTAAGAGGGTGATTCGGATGATGGAAGTTACTTTTGTTTATATAAATGGACTTTTTTTCTCTCTATGAATGTTTACGAGATTGGTCGAGTCGAGCATGGCTTTTTTATTTTCCTCTCAGTACAAAAAAACTTAAGGCAAATAATTTTTTTCTTTGTAGCTTTTGAAATGAAAAATATTTCCGTTCATAAAATTTTCGCCTAGGCGTAACAGGAAGTTCTCAGGGGGCTCGCCCTCCCAACCCCCACTCCCGAAGACTATTGACCCCTTAGAAATGTATTGATCGAATAAAGTCGCTCAATACCATTGGATTCCCATAAGGGATAGATTGGGCACCCCCCAACCCCCTAACAAAGTCTGTCAAGCAACGCTCATTGAGTTTCTTGTAAGGAAACACTTTGTCAGAATTGTGAAATTTTGTTGCAAAACTTCAAAATGAAAAATGCCAAGGATGTTTACAATCCACAGGATTTATAGAACAGGAGCCAAAATGATGGGTACAAATGATGGGTTTATGAAACCGGGCATACAACCGTTGACCTACCTACTAAGTGGATGTTTAACGATGTACTGAGCATTCCGTTCTGCAAACAAACCGAGGTTTGGTAAACTCGCTCTATTCTTTATGTCACCCGAGGATCATCATCTACTTAATAAGTAGAATAGCTGTTACCGTCTTACAATGTCTAAAGTGTCGAATTACCAAAAGTAAACGTTTCCGCCTATCGCCCAGAGGTTTTTAATCGGTCCCTTTTTGTCTCTAGCGTCGTCCAAAAAGTAGCGAAAAATGTTGGCTCCTCTCTAAAAATGTCGCTTATTTCGTCACCTTCCGGCCAAAATTTCACAAGCGCCATGCGAGCTTTCAAAATTTCCGCCGTTATTTAATTTTTTTTACAAAGAAATTGTTGGTTTAATCTATTTGAAAATTTCACTGAATTTTACCGGCAGTAGAAAAAATATTCATTGAAATTTTCGGACAGCTTCGTTGAGCAATTTCTCTGTAAAAAAATAAAATGACGGCGGAAATTTTGAAACACCGCATGGCGCTTGTGATACTTCATCCGGTAGGTGACGATTCCACGTTCCTTGATTGCGCGAGGCTAAGATCCGGTTTTTCGAATCTTGGACCGCAGTAAAATAGAGCATCAGGTATCTGGTTATTTTTACGGTGCGCACCAATCGAAGACATGATTGGAGTTTTAGCCCGTCCCGATCAGTTGATCTCGAACCCTTTCGCAGAGTGAAATCGGAATTCGAGGATCGTGATCGGACGTTGTAAAAATGGGACGATGAAGAGATTTTAGCGGACGCACGATAAACGCAATCCCTCGGTTCGTGATTCCCGCCTTAAAAGCTTAATCTCACTGCTCGGCAATTAGCACTTCCCCGCCGATGCTACATTGCGTTGAAAATGGTAAATTTTCAAATGGCAAATGAAAAATGACAAATGGTAAACCTTGCAACTGAGGTCACGACTCATTGTAAAACACTACGTAGGGATTTAGAAGGTGATACTTGACCTTATTCCGAGTGGAGCTGTTGGAAATCGACTTTCAGGTTGAAGGTTTTTAAGTGTCAAACGTTAAGGATTCTCTGCGAGGTAATAAAGGAACTATTCCTACCGGGGATTAGGCACGTTCTCTTTTACAGCCTGAGAAGTGGCGCTCAAATCGTCATTTTAGTGGGCTAAAAGATTAAATGTGGGCGTTGCGATGGATCCGAATAAAGTTCGACAGATCATCTGCGGGCCGATTATTGAAACTTATAGACAAAGACGACAAAAGGGATATGGATGGATCCTATTGGTGGAGGCAGGTGGTGGCAATGGACATAGGAGCTAGGTAATGGACTAACTAACGGCAACCCACTAAAGACCCAACAGTTAATCCATCATTTTCTTCCTTAGTCTATAAGAACCAACCATGTCAACCAATAGGATCGCTCCATACTCCCTATGTCTTCTTTGTCTATCGCTTTGTCCATCAGTTTCAATAATCGGCCCGCAGGTAAAAGTGGAAAAAGAGGTCCGAGCAACGTTTCCTGAACATTTCTCCAAAATAATCCATACAAATTGACATTCAACTTAATTAACATAAAAAACTTAATTAATTAATTTGTCGCCATCTCCGGGATTCGACTCCGGAACCTTTTGACCTGCAGTTAGACGCGCTGATGACCTGCGGGCTGGTTGTTGTAATGGACAAAGGTGGTAGGTAATAGACTAACTAACGGCAACCACGAAAGACCCTCTAGTCCATCATTTATCCCTTTAGTCCATAGGAACCACCCATTTCAACCAATAGGATCGCTCCATACTCTCCATTTCTTCTTTGTCTATCGCTTTGTCCATCAATTTCAACAAGCAGCTGCAGCCCGCGGGCCAACATGTCCGCATTCACTTATTATTATCATTACACACATTATTCTCATCTAACAATTTCCGATTTTATTTTGTGTGTTGAACAGGTAACGTGAAGTACATCTGGACCTCAGGGAGAAAATGTAACTTCAACGGTTGTGACCGCCCTGACTTGCAGCCGGCCAACGTGAACGGTTGGTTCTGGTCCGGCTCTGGCGCCAAAATCGGACCCACCACCCAGAGGAACTCCGGAGACTGGAGCAGCACCGGAGGTTTCGGCCAAGCTCAGCCTGACAACAGAGAGGCACCCCAGGTAATCTAAAATCACTCTAATACTGCCGTGCTAAGGAACACCGTATGAACAATTGAGAGTTGCCAAATTTCCTTCGATAAAATGTTTATTCGTAAGGAAAGTCATGAATATTTTTTCTTGAAATTTTCAGATTTTTTCCATCAAACTACGAGCGAAATCCTGTGAAAAATTGGAGAAGAAACACCCACAGATTCTCCTGAAAATTCGTGATTTGTAGAAGGAAATTTGGTAACGCCTGATGGTTCATACGGCGTTTTTCCTTGGCACGACAGAATAGATCTAGATGTAAAAGCTGCATGTTTGGCCTACATTTTGCAATTGGGCACTACGATTTCTGGCTTATCCGTAAAAACATATGGAATACATTTTACAATTAGGAACTATTTCTGACTCAGTTTAGAAACAACGTATGTACCATTAGTTACCCTATGCACATAAGTGTTTTTACAGAAGAGTCAGAAATTTTAGTAATTGCAATAATAGTTCCAATTAAGAACCAAAATTTCGGGTTCATCCGTAAAAACGCACTAGGGCATAGAGAAACTAATGGTTCATATGTTGTTTCTAAACAGGGCCAGAATCTGCAGTCCCTAATTGCAAAATCTAGTCCATGTTACGATGGTGATACTGCCAAAATGCGTATCTCGGTTACGGTGTCTCAAAATTTCTGCTGATACTTTATTTTTTTAAAAGGAGACCCAACCAACGCTATGGCTTGAAATTTTTATGAGAGATTCATCACACAGAGAGTAAAAATTACCGGAGTTTTCAAGAAATGAAGTTTGATAGTTTTCCACGTAGAAAATAAAGTATGATAAGAAGTCTGAAACGCATGCAGCAGACCCAAATAGGTACGCGTTTCTGCAGTTTCGCCATCGATATGTCTATAGGAGAACCAATGGTGCATACGTTGTTTCTAAACTAAGCCAGAAATTGTAGTTCCTAATTTCAAAATGTAGTCCATTTATGCTTAAATAACCAGGACCGTTTTTGAAAAGCTCTTTTCCAAAGTTCTTACAAAAACTGTTGACAAATCTATTTTAGGGACATTTGTTTTCTATTTCGCAAATATTAACAGAAGATTGGATGAACATTGCACAGTCCTATCCCTGCAGTAAAAAATCGAATGTTTCCAGTTAATTTTCCAACATCCAAATGGGGCAACGCTCTTCTGTCGAGAAAACGTTATGGAACGGGTATTGAAGAATATTCATTAGTATCAATGGCTAAAGAAGAAAAAACGCGTATCTGAGAATGCGACGTTATAAGTTTTTCCTATTGTTTTCGTTTTCAAAAGAAAACTAATCAACTGTTTCTATTGAAATTTTCCACGAATTTTCTTCACTCATTCTAATGAGATTACCTACTTGAAACTATGAGAAACATTTCGACTACTTTTCGCTGACGAAAATGAAACAAATTCTGACGAATGTTGCTCTTGAGGTACGCATTTAATCTGCCGTAGTAAGAAAAAACGCTGTATGAACCTTCAGACGTTGCCAAATTTCCTTTGATAAGTCATGAACTTTCGGGAAAATTTGTAAATATTTCTCCTCCAATTTTTCAGATAATTTTATTTGCAATTTCACCTATTGTTTCTGAAAATTTCAAGGATAAATATTCATAACTTTCTTCAAAAATAACTATTCTCTGAGGGGAAATGTGGCAACTCTTGAATTTTTATACGTCGTTCTTCCTTAGCACGGCAGTATTTCTACCATTGACATGCTGTGCTTCATGTATTCTACAACGTCGACTTTTCTTTGTTACAGGGCAACGATGAATCCTGTTTAGCCATCTTAAACAATTTCTACCAAGACGGAGTCAAATGGCACGATGTGGCTTGCCACCACTTGAAACCCTTCGTGTGCGAAGACAGCGACGAACTTCTCAACTTCGTTCGATCCAGGAATCCGGGAATCCGTCTTTAAGGCCCATCGACAGTCCCCCCTAACACTGGCGACTGAATCGCTGCAAGACTCAAAATGAACACCCCCCTTTTCACTTCGAACGCACCAAGGCTCAAACGAAACGACTTGCCTAAGGAGGCTCAGATAATGTGCATGTATCCAAAACACCCCTTAAACGGCAAGTATTGAAAGAAATTGCCGGGAAATTCTTCTCTAAAACACCCCGCAATCATGAACCAGCAGCTGAAGTTTTCCACCGATTTCTTTGTTTCCAAAAACTGTAGAGGTTTTGCGAGGTGATAAAAGTTTGATGTATATACGCTCCAGCAGTCGTTTCGCTTGAAAATCTGAAAGCCACTAGAAAGGGTTTGACCGTTGGACCCTTTCCTCCGAGGGTCGGAGAAAATGTCTCGCAGCATCCCCAATCATGGTTTTTTACGTTTCTCGTCGGTGAAGTTGCCAAATTTATCTAAAAAAGTTGTCCCCGGAGAATAATGCTTTAAAGAGAGAAATGTACTCTGCGGTTAGCTGCCAGCGATTGGGAATCATCTCATTTCTCTCTTATTGCAGTGCAGGAGTGACAATTATTTTTATTTATTATTTTGGAAACATCAGGCAACCATGGTTACCGCGGTTTAATAATTCCTACTCTTTCAACTTGCATTGTTTAAAAACGTAAAGTATTATGGATTGGAACTTACCAAAATGTTGTTCATTTTACTCGGACTGCTCAAAAAATCAAATCCGGTTGTAAAAAATCGATCAAAACGAACGATCTTGTGAAATTTCAGCCTCGAAAACTGGTGGGAGGACATTTCAAGGAATATAAGAAGTCTCCTTTTCTTTGAAAAATGAAAGTGCGCCTCATTCGGAAGTGAATGATCGATGAGAAAAATGTAGTAGAAAATAAAAGCTCTCGTTTTGCAATCAAATCAAGGTTTGAAATAAAAAATCAGTGCCGAACAGTATACGAGAGTTCAGATCTAAGCCCGGTTAAAAATTTTGAGTATTTTTCAAATTCTAAAAAACATAAAAAAGAAAAGTCAACTTTTTTATAATACCGGTGATAGTACTTTCATTCAGTCACAGAGTAAAATTGAAAACAGCAATTGAGCCATTATAAGTTGTCGACAACTAAATGATAAAAATTAAAAAATGTGTTTCGTTCCAATTTTTAACAATTAAAAAATTTAAAAAATACAATTTTACAAAATTTGAGAAATTTGAAATCAATTCGTTTTACTCTGTAAAAACACAGCCGATCATCAAGTACGTACCAAAAATGAAAATAAAAGCATAGATTTAGTTTTAGTGTGTACAACTATCTGATAAGTTTACGTTAAGATATTTTGTATTATTTAATTTTTAAAACAAATAAATTATTGATTTAGTTCGACATTTGTCCTTTCTGCAATCCTTATAAGATTATTTTCCATCTCCTGTTAATATGTTCAACTATTAGAAACAACTCTAAACGTTTAGTTTTTATAAACCGAATGAGACCTTTCTTCAAAGAAATGACCTTCTGGATCGAGTTTAGCAAAAACTCACCAAGTTGCATGTTATGACAATGAGTTGAGAGAAGTTTTGAATTTAAGTACCCGTAAATTATCTCGCTATTTTTTCCAACCGCTCGTTTAAGTCTCTGGCCTAATGGTTTAGTTTGAATATGGACTGCGTTTACTAAGTCGCATCTAGTAGAAACAAGGGTCGGGGGTGGTTTTGAATTGAACTCTTCGTAAATTTTCTCTTTATTTTTTCTAACCATTCGTTTAAGTCTCTGACCCAACAATTTAGTTTGAGTATGGACCGAGCTTCATAGAAAGGCACCAAGTCGGATCTCGTAAATAAAAGAGTTTGGAGTGGTTTTGTACGAGTATTTGACTATCCGTAAATTTTTCCCCGGAAAAAATTCAATGTCAAGAAAAAACATTTTGAACGTGAAAATAGTCGTTGAACTACGTCTATGAGGTTCAAACTCATAAAAACAATGCCAAAAAAGACATTCTAAATAGAGTGTTGTGTCGGAATGTATTGCCAATTCTTAACATGTAATTGACCACATTCCGACAAATTACTTCAATTTAGTTTCCACTCTGATGGTGTTTTCAACTACTGAACCAATTTAAAATGAATTCAATCTCAAAGAGCTCTAACAATGATGTCATTCATCGGAACTTTGTATTATGTGTTGGGACATTGATTTTTAACGGCGATGATGGTGTTACCCGTACGTCTAATCTTTGTCAAACATTTTAGGAGGTTCTCCTCACACCTCAAGGATCATGGGAAGCTTAATTTTGCGTCAGTTCCCAAGATTCATAAGAATATTCAATATAAAATCAAAGATAATCGAATTCTTCGACGGCATGCCACTGATCATTATTCTTTAGAATGCTAGTCTTATGATGAGCTTTAAAGTATCATTATGGTGGGGATTTTTGCACGGTAAAAGCAAAGCTACTCATGACGGCGCGGCACGGTAACAGAAACCAGAGCGCCTGCATTGTTCAGCATAGGCAACCCGGACCTCCAAAGAGCTTGAATAGTTGCATCAAAGTGTTATACCACTATATCACGTTGAGTTTTGCGTCCACATAGAGGGTGACATACATTAAATGCACATTTTTCAGTTTCTGTTCAAAAATAAATCGCAATGATCTTCTTTCCCCGCAACGTAAAGGACATGATAAATGATAAAAAATACAATTTTGAACTGAGATTTTCTCAACATGGCAAATTTCACATTTCCCAATTATAATTAGACACTATGATTATATGCCACAATCCTAAAAAAACTAATTGCGCTGTTATTTTAAATTTTTTAATATCCTGATCGGTCTTTTTGCACGGGGAAAAAATTATAACACTGGGAAACAAAGCTATGCCTATCAGTATGATATAACCATAACCAGATATAGTGGTTCTAAGAATTATTATATGCTGACTGATGAGCGGTGAATTCAGCGCTTAGTGGTGAAGATACCATTATGATTGCTCATATTAAATCTAGATTGCGATCATTAATCTTAAAGAATTGAATCCTTAGATCTTGTAAATATATACAATTATGATACTTATCAAGATACTCGATCTATTCATTATTGTTTTAGATGATAAAAATTCTCCTTGAGAGTTTTTATCATCATTCAAGGTAATATCCTTGAAAACCACGGCCTTTAACGTCATCCACAGCGGCGGTGCATTCCAAGATTTCTTCCACCTTGGTTCCATTCGGGTTTCAGGTCAGGCAATCAATGAAAATATGTGCATCACTAATTAGTGAATCCAAAGTGTAAAAAACCATAGCATGTACAATACTTTCATACGTCTTATTGATGGCCAAAGTGCGAAACAACATATCTTTGTGTGTAACGTTACGGATTTCTTGTCACACTTTCCTCGGAAAACTAGTCGACATAATTTCTTGAAAACCTCCTTGATTCTACTTCTATGATAGAAAAATATTCGGTATACATTTCAAGCTATAAAACTGGCCCCTTTTTGTTCGAAAAAGTGAAATAAGAGCAGAAATTTTGAAACATATAGTCATGAAGATACATAGTTTCGCACTTTGGTCACACAGATTTTTTCAAAGGGCAAAACCTCCTTTAATATTCGACATAGAAACTGGGCGTTTGAACAACGCATATGATTTTTTAGCTTAAGTTTAAACCATCAAATTGGCCAAAAATATTGATTAAATATGCTTAAAAAATCAATATAAAATACTTCCAAGTTCATAAGTTACAGGCGGCTGCGGCGTTTTTAGAAATTTATAGACAAATTGATAGACAAAGAAGACGACGGGGAAATTGAGCAACCTTATCGGTTGAAAAGGGTGATTGTCATAGACTGAGGTAGAAAACGATGGGTTAACTATGGGGTCTCTTGTGGGTTACCATTATTTAGTTTAATACTTATTTCTTTTGTCGAAAAATCGCGATACATTGCGATTTTATCGACGATTAAATCGCTTAATGAACAACATCTGAGCGATTATATTCGATCTTATTGCGATAAAATTGCGATTTTGTCGTCCAGCAATTTATCGCGATATTACCGAAATAAAAATCGCGATTGGCAATTTCATTTCGATTTTAACAGCGCAAATTGAACGCGATTTTATCGCACCAAAAATTGCGATGTGTAGCGATTTAATCACCATATCTCGCATCTTCAATTCAATAATATCGCGATAAATTGCTACCAATATAATCGCGATAACCTACCGATAAATAGCGATTTATCACGATCACTGCTGCTCGGGTACCGCCCTCCTGCGTACGATAACTGTTCAGCTCTTCGGAAATCGTCGTCTCCCGTACGAAGGAACGTAACTCCATTCCAAGGTTGCAAAATCGGCTCAAACAATTCGATTTTTTACAATAATATACCCGGGAAATTTTCGCCCGGAATTTTTTTGATTTTTGCATGAGAGCAGAGGAAAAATCAGTGAACTTGGACTGCATTTTGCAATTTGGACCTATAAATTTTGGCTCATCTGAAAAAACACTTATGTGCACAGGGGAACTAATGGTACGTACGTTGTTTTTAAACCGGGCTAGAATTTATAGTTCCAAATTGCAAAATGTAGTCCAATTTTCAGTCAGATATTCCCAAGATTTTCCTTGTAAAAATATAATTTGCGACAGGAAACTTGGCAACATCGGAATGAAGTTACGTTTCTTCGTAAAAAAATCGACGAAATGACCCGACTGCGCACGGTGCAGCGTCCTCCAACGAGAGGGTAATTGAAATAGTTTCGGTTTCAAAACGCAGAGACTCGGCTGCAGGGTAATTGCAATAATTGAGCCATTGTTCGCGGAGGATGCGCGGGTCGCGAAAAAATGATATGGACATATTTATGCCAAAAAGAACTACGTGTATAGGGTTTTGCGCGGGACATAGTACCTTTTAGCATAAACGCGTCCATATGAGCCCGGGCGAGGACGTTCTCGGGATCCGACGCGCGATTCCATCGGGCCCTCACTCGCGAAAAAACCGCGGGAACCCACGACTTCGCCATGTTTCGCAACTCCTCGGCCGTCTCCACACTTCATATTTTAGGTGAGTGTTTGATGTGTATATTGGTTTACGATCGCATCACGCCGAGCATTTTGCACCTTGAGAACGGAGGCTACCGCTGCGCGTTTCACACGGACGAAAAAGTTCAGGATTCACACACACGAGACGAATGGAATTTGTAAGAACAACCTAGATGAGCTTTTACCACGCTGCTTGGATCAGTGGCGTAGCTAGGAATTCTTTAAGGGGGCGGGGGTCCGTGACGGTAAATTTACATAATTTTGTGTAAGTACCTGATAATGTTTTATGTTTGCCCTCGAAAAATTAAAAAAAAAGGTACAATTAACGAGGCTAAGGCTTGTCTACGCCACTGGCTTGGATTGTGCTACTTGGTGTATCATTCGAAGCCACTGAAGTAACAACGATAGTTAAATAGCATAGTGCAATTCCTGATTAAAAATTGTTAAAAGTATGGTTTGGAAAACTTTTGGATATTTTGTGAGTAGAATTTACTTTTGGCGAAATTTACCTAAGCAAGTATCCCTGGTAAAAATTGGCAGTAGAATCTGTGTTCCAAAATACCATAGACCTACAGCCGGCTGTAAGATTTCCAATAGCTTCTATAGCCGGCAACACAATTTCTTATGGCCTTTTATAGCCGATGGCGATTAAGCAACAGCCTGGCGATAAAGTGTATGCTAAACGTTACTAATTACGGATGCTAGGACTCAGTGAGTTTTTTGACTACCGCTCTCTTTTTGGGCCGTAGTATCTTGATTTATTTTGCGAGGAAAGCTCTGTACTTTTGAAGGAAGCCTGCCATTCCTAATATGTTGGAGCGCCCCCAATTTCGTACGATACTGTGCAATACCTCTGGTGTGAAATAGTTGCTTCAAGCGCCGTGGTACGCTGCGGCGCAGCGCGGCGGGCGGGCAGCCAGCCCGAAACGCGCGTTGGCGCCTACAAACCTAACAGGGATACTTCACGCATTGCGCAATGCGTAAAGTATCCCTGTTAGGTTTGTAGGCGCCAGTGCGTCGCCGCTCCGCTTTGTGTTAGGCTCTAATATTTAATCTGGCGGAGTCAGCGTTATTCAACTCGTGATTTTGAAATGTTTGCACATCCTGTATGGATTATTCTCGTTTTAATTGATGAAAAAAAATATGTATTAAAGGAAAATATAACGTGTGTTTTGTAAATATTAAGGTGGTTCCGTATCAAACTTAATGATTTCCAAAGCACACGAATTTCTACACAATTTCTTATAGCCTTTTATAATCGATGGCGAAAAAGCAACAGCGAGGCTATAATGTGTAAAGCCCGGCGATAGGAACTATAGCCCGGCTGTATAATTTTTTATCGCTTCGTGTAGCCCGGCCGTATGATTTTTTCCACTTTCTACAGGCAGCTATAACGTATCGACGGTGAAACTACCAAACCACGTATCTCGGTTTGCGGCGTCGCAAACTTCCTGTCATACTTTATTTTTTAAAGAGGAAACTTCTCAATGTTGATTCTTGAAAACTTCTGTAATTTTTCCTCTCAGTGCGAAGAAAATTCTGTGAAAATTTCAAGAAATAATATTGAATCGTTCCTCTTAAAAAAAATAAAATGAGAGCGGAGATTTTTAAACACCGCAAACGAGATACGTGGTCTGGTAGTTTCACCGTCGGCTATGATTCTCTATCGCCTTCTTCAGTCGGCTATAAGAACTCCTATGGTATTTTGAAACGCAGCTTCTATCGCCAATTTTTACCAGGATAAGCAAGTAAATACTTGCTTATCCTTGAAAAAAATAGTAGCTTCTTTAAAATTAAAGAAGCTACTATTTTTTTCAAATTTTTTAAATTTTTTTTTTCTACACGCAATTTAGGTGTTCAAAATTACAATAGATGGTTTGAGAGTTTTTGAACAATTTTCCACTTAAATTTTACATTATGCAAACTATAGTTAAACCTTTAAAAATACGCCAAAGGGGTTCTCTGAAGAAACACATTTTTACAGTTTTTCTAGAGTTTTCTTTTTAAAATTTTCAAGTTTTTTTCGGACAACATCCGTTAAATCGATTACGAATAATATTGAGGTCCCTTGAAATTTCTCCCAAAATTTTTCCCCGTATCATTTTTTTTTTTGTATTTCTGTTAAAGCTCTGTCTGTATTTGCTCTGTTTACTAAAAATTAAAAACTTGGTTGAGCGATCTGAGCAGCACTGCAAAGCTTATACGTCGTTTCAACAAAAAATTCTCATTGTCAATTGCAGTATATACTCGATCAGTCCTTCACGATTGACCTCTGTGAATTAAAGTGTGAATTAAAGCTTTACGGAGACCTCGTTTTTAAGTGTCCTTTAATGACGACAGGATAGGCTCGTCCACGATTAAAAGGACCTGACCCGTAAAAGTAAAGTTTTCATACAGTGAAATAAAATTTATTTTTAATTAAATACATACCTAATATGAATGTCATACGAATATGAAATTTCATGCTAATAAAATTCAACGGTGGATTTTTAGCACCTACACTCTGATATATTACCTCGATTTTTTAGCCATTTAAGTTGCTTTCACTGTCCTCTGCTCTGATGGATTTAGAACGTTATTCTCATTCCTCCCTTTAAACTTTGTACCTGATTATGTTATTATGTCATTTTTCCGAGGTTACAAATAAAAACTGAAAAAAATTCTCATTCCTAGAGATCTCTTTGGGCAGTTTAGCTTTAGATTCACTTAAGATCAAACATTTCTCGACTGACACGACCGATATTTAGGACCATAATAGATCCATGCAATGTAGACGAAAAGTTTAGAATCGTAAACTGAAATTCCTTGCAATTAGGACAGGTTGGAGTTCGTCACCAAGACGTCAAAGCAGCAGAGTTGATTTCAGTTAAAGTTTTGATATAAATTAAAATTACTTACCAAATAGGAGAGGATTTTTCTTCAACGACTGGTTCCTCATTATTCAGATCAACAAACTTTACTGTTTATATGATTGAAGTTTTACCTTGATTATAATCAGGAATTGGAATCTACTTCATTCTTGGGATCAATGAATTCACTGAGGCAGCGCGCGTCCCTGACAAAAGGGAGGCCGAGACAATGGATTGTGCAATGGTTGGAGCACTTGGTAATAGTGGTAAGTTCCTGGCTTTTTCTTGATGTCTAAATGTTTGAGATGCGTTTAACATAAATGAGAAATTCTAGTGAAAATATTAATTTCTAATCTCTGAGGTCGTAGCACGATTTCGGACATTAATGGAGAAAATAGAACTCATTGGTACGCAGAAAAATCTCTGGAAGGGATCTTTCAGGTAGAAATCAAAATCAAAAGCAACGTTGTATTATTAGGATCATTAAAGAGCTCTGCCATGAGAGAAAAATGCCGTATAAACATTCGAGAGTTGTCAAATTTCCTCCAGTAAAATTTTCATTTTTAAGGAGAGTTATGAAGATTTTCTCTTGAAATTTTCAGATAATTTAGTCCTGTTTACGAATACAATTCTATGAAAAACTGGAGGAAAAATACTCACAGATATCCCTGAAAATTTTTATTTTATCAAAAACGATTCGGGAACCTCTGAGGGTTCATACGGCGTTCTTCCTTGGCACGGCAGAGTAATGCAATGCTCTCTGATTTTCATAATAAATCTGAGGCATTATTTTTTAAGTTTTATAGGATTATACTGCTTCATAAAAACAAACACCAGGCAGAAATTTTAATAAAAGGAATGGCAAGATTAGTTCTTTTTATTAAAAAATGAAATTAATGGATATGAAATGCTACTTAATTCGTAAATCGAGGTGTCTTTATAATTGTCGCAGGCAAATAGTAAAATCAAGCATTTTGTCACATGCCTAGGCAAACAGTCAAATATTCTAACTTACATTAAAATTCTGATTCTTTTCCTAATTTCAGACAAAATAATTCATCGCTCCTGCAGGAAAAAATTCTCAGTTAAAATTTGCACACACAATAGTATTTCAAACAATTTTTAGCTCCTGAAAAGACACTGATCTTGAAATTTTCAGCATGTTGTAAACTACAGAATTTTTGTAATTTCAACATTTAAAAATATGAGAAGCAATTGAAGAGGAAGACACAAAAAGAGTTCGTAGGTTTGATGAGTTATTTTTCCGAAAATAGATAAAAATCGTGAGCTCTTCGCCATAAATTCATAAAATTTTGTAGACCGTCAAAATTTGACTATCTGTTTGGGCATTTGACAAAATGCCTGATTTCACCATTTGCCTGCGACATAATTTTGAGGTGGGTCTTCTGTCTCTTTGAATGTGCGTTTCAGTTTGTGTAATGTTGACGCCGATGCCGGAGGACACAGGAGTTCGCGCTACGTTACTTATTGGTGGCAGGCAAATAGTGAGCGGCATGTTTACAGGTAGGTACTACAATTGAAAACACCTACTAGATTCGCTAATACGATGTCACATATGATGAGGGGCTTGGAGGAAAAGGCGCACAAGTGCGCAGTTTTTCAAATAATTGAGGTACATATACCAATCATTTCAAGTAAAACTAGTCTCAATGCATAGTCTGTGAAAAATTCGCTACCGAATTCCAATTTTTTGAGCATCAAAAAGTCAGTTCAAACTTCCTCTCCGCCATACCCGCCCGGCAAGTGGTTGCCTGAAGTAGTTGCGAAAACGTTGTCACAATGTAACTGTCAAAAATAATGTTGCGGCAACGTTGCAGCAACGTTAGTTTTGTCCGTTTGCCGGACGGGTAAGGATCCATTTAATTTTGGAACTTCCAACACGTACTTCCAAAAATAGCAAGAATTGGACTCATGCCCCTGCTAAAAATGGTGAGTACAAATGAGTAGAAAATCAAAGTCATATGAATAGAATTTCAATTCATATGAATAGAATTTCAACTTATATGAATAGAACTTAGCTCATTTGAGCAGAGTTTCGCTCTCCAGTTCTCGCTAACGCATATGACTATAGAGTTTCCAAGAGGCCTCAACTTACAAGAGCTCAGCGTTGAATCTACCGTGTCCGATATCTCAGAAACTAGTCACTGCATCAAAAAAAGTATAGAACAAAATGTTTTTATTTTTCAAATTTACATGCTATGTCGGTGTCTCCTGGTCAGAAACAGCACCTCTGGAAAATGAACAAATTTGAATCCATATGAGTTGAACTTTTCTACTCTAATGAGCAGAACATTCTAGTGATATGAGTAGAGCTCCCTACTCATATAGGTAGGGAGCTCTACTCAAGTGAATTGGCAAATTCTGAATGGCCTACTGTCATTTTTAGCAGGAGCGCCTTGTCCTCCATGCCTCTCATAAGATCTTTATTTAATTGCTTCGTGCTCACAACAAAATTATACTTGATTCAGCAAAATTTGGACTTAGGCAGCTTCGACTCGTCCGCATTCGTTGTTCTTATGTCTAGGAGTGTATGGCCCTAGCCCATATTTTAGAGGGGCAACGTTGTAATACAATTGAACAATCGAGTAATTTTTCGGGAAATTTACAATGTTACGAATAAAATCAGTGATAATTTACTTTATCGGTGCAATGGGTGACGCTGAAATCAAGTAGGTAAAGGTGTAAGAGGAACGAAATCTTTATCCAGTAGTATCGCGCGCAAAGAACGATAAGCGAATGCGAATTTCATTGTAACGCTTGGATGCAACTATTCGAGCTCCTCGGATGACCATGTTGCATACGCACGGGAGTGAAGGCGTTTTAATTCTCCAGGCACTTACGACTTCACCCGCAACGATTCGCGGCGCAGCAGCAGCGTTTTGTAATGCGAGAATATAAAATAACAGAGCGCTTTCAATCCTCCCTCTACACCACAAAAACATCCACTACGCACGAAAAGTTGTACAGATGTGTAGGATAAGAGAACCTCTTTACAGCGATTTGCTGAACATGACTTGACGAGCAAAAATATGTGCCTGACAGATATCTTCGTAGTATACACGAACTTTGGAGGGCGTCCTGTCATTGCGGATCCTCGAAAGGCGAAATACAGCCCGTGCCGCCGAGCCGCGGGTAACGCGTAGAGTGCCTGGAGAGCCAAGCCAAAACGCCTTCATCTCCGAGCGTATGCAATGCGGACATCCTAAGAGCTCGAATAGTTGTATCCAGGCGTTATAATGAAATTCGCTTCTTGTTCATTGCATGCGATAATTGCGATACCAATGAAGGGGGATTTGCCTGTTTCTCGTACGTCTTCACTTAATTTTAGCGTCACCCACTGCATCGATGAAGTAAACAATAACCGATTTTCATCGCGACATGCTGCTGCTGCTGATTCCCAAAGAGGGCTTTTTCACAAGGAACCATTAGCGTGAGGTTTCTAAAATACTTCATCTTCGCATGCGCCTATATTAATACGTGACCGTCTACAGGAAAAAGGACCTAAATGATGTGCGATGGAGAAACGCTCTCTGAACATCTAGACCATTCTCTCTAACCATTTCTCTAATAAAATACGAATTTCATCATCAAACAACTTATGAATTGCTTTCTATGAATTTTTTTAGAGAATTCGACTCCTTACTAGATCCAGCGTTCCTGAGCTTTTCAAGAAAACATTTTTTTTAAAAACAAAACTATTAAAAAATCTATTGTACGTTTTTTTAGAAGAAAATACACTATTGCATTCTCCCATGATGTCGAACCCAGACCTAATTTAATACTTAAAATATTCAAAGAACATCCACAAAAATTAAAGTTAGTCTCTTAGAGACCTTTTTATGTACATTTTACCGAGGGTGAATTTTACTTTAAAGGACTTTACACGAGAGCTCTTCTTTAATGTAAATTACGACAGTTTTTGGAAAGTTATTTTTTCCTCGTCGGATACTTTTTCGAGACGATCAGGACTATCGCATCCCTGATTTCTTTCTTTTTCATATTTATGATAAGCAACCAGCGGCGATTTTACAAGATGGCAACACCGCTTTTCCTCCATTCAAGTCCATTAAAAACAGGAACGTCATTGAGAACGTCCTTCTCTAGTAAAAGTGAATCAATCTGACGTCAGGGTATGTTTCATAAACTACCCTGAGTCAGACTGAAATCAGCCTGAATCAGTCGACTCGGGGTAGTTCATGAAACATACCCTGACGTCAGGCTGACTCACTTTTACTAGGGTTCTAATATTTTCCATGGCAAATTGGACATTTCATTTCACATTTTTTTCTCCTTTCTTCTTTTAGAANGGGGGGGCATGGGCGAATTTTAAACGTTCTTAATCTCATTGCTTCTATTTGCACGACCAGGACGGAATCCGCCACCCTTCCCGTGCATCCCGATCCTGGTGCCGATAACGACTGCGGCCTGCCTGCAGCAGCGGGACGTGCGCCTGACGAGCGACGGGTTCCAGACCTGCCCGGAGGCGGCCATCATCAACGTGGCCGTCATCCGGTTCCGGTGCATCAACGTCGGCCGCGGGGGCGTCTCCTTCCAGACCGTCAACACCCCCAACACCAACGGAGGTGCCATCGAGATAGATCTGTAAAAATATACTCTCCGTTCCCACTATCGAGTCTGATTTCATTACCGTCCTTCTGCACGGAGAAAAAAACTTCGTGCGTGGGACCCGAAGATTAGGTCATATAGATCTCTGAAGTTTTCGGACTGAGCGCATCTGAACACTTTAGGTCCAGCTGCTGAGGTTTGGATCACACATCTGAAACTTCAGTTCTTACATCTAAAGTACTTCGGTTTTTACATCCGAAAAACTTCGGTTCTCACATCTGAAGTGAGAACTGAAGTTTCAGAACCTCAGCAGCTGGACCTAAAGTGTTCAGATGCTCAATCCGAAAACTTCAGAGATCCATATGACCTAAACTTCGGGTCCCACGCACGAGGTTTTTTCTCCGTGATGCCGCACATTGGATCGAGTCAATATGAGATGTCGGACAATATTCGGAAATTTTAAACGCTCAAAACTCCGTTTATACAAGACTGCTGTCTGTAAAATTGGCTCCAATGGTTTCGTCGTGAAATTTTCTTCAAGGCCTTGACTCCACGGGATGTTTCACGGGATTTTTCCCAAGTTCGAATCGCAGTAATGAAACTTCTGGGCTTTTTTAACGTTAAACAACACGACAAAATTTCTTCTTCTTCTTTTTAAGTCGTTCTTGGGACTCCACAATGACTCTTAGTTGGCGCTGTGATTAGTTTTGACTAACTCAATATTTTTCTCAACTTCGCAAGGGAGATTTTTCCCTGGGACAAATCCTATGAAATGTCTTGTGGAAACAAGGCCCTAGAGGCACCCCTTAAACTTTAAAATGTGACGCAATTAACACCAAAATTTGTAATTTTAATCAAAAATTTCATGTTCGACCTGTCTGATTGACTCGATCCACAGTGTCACGGTTGCAATACCGCCAATGTTTTAGCTCCTTGGCCGAGAAACCGATACTGCCTAGGTTTACATTCATGAAACCTAACTAAAAAATTCTAGAACGTATTTTAACATCTTGTTTTGCTTAAAGAAATCGTTGATTTGATGGCACCTTTTGAGACTTTTAAATAGATAGCATTCTACTTGAACACTATGCGTCTTCACAAATCTCGATAATAATGGTAAAACTACAAAACCATTTATCCCAGTTTACAAATTTTCTGACTCGCGTTTTATCGTCTCGAAGAATGACTGATCAACGTTATTGCGCAAATTTTAGGGTGATTTTGTCGGAATTTTCAATGATACTTTCCTGAAAATTTTGCAAAAAGGTATTGCCTCACGCGAAAAGTTACAGTAAAAGCAGCGATTTTAAACCACAATCAAGAAAAATGTGCCGGCAGTTTCATCGTATATTCATTAGAAATATATTTTTAAGATTAATATTACCTATTTATTCATCAAAGAGTAAAACTTGGTGACAATGAAATCGTAAGGTATTTCAGTGGGAAAAAAATGATCATATCGTAGCGACAAAATTTTAGTCAGCAGTGCTGAGTAGCTTCCGAATTTGCCTGTGTCAAACTGACCATTTGAATTGAAATACTCTTTCCACCAATTCAGCGAATATCAATTTCATGAAACGCAGTATGAAATCAAGTTGCCTAACGTAGAATTTTTTTTTTTTGTTAAACCTCACAAGCTGCCGGAATGCACAAACTCATGCGATGTAAGCGAGGGAAACAAGCGCATTGAAAGTTGCATAATCGACTAATTGAAGGCATTCTTGAGGCTGGTTCTTATTGTAGCTACTTCACACTTCATAGACACTAGACACTAGTGACCTGCTTCCTTAAAAAGTGAAAATTGTGTCTAAGATGAATCGGAAACGCAGATACGACCTCTATTATCTCTTAACGGGCATGTAAAAGCCCATAAAGTCTGGAACTTCGTTGCGGAAATAAATCTTTATCACCCTTTGTAATCAATAATAAAGACTGCAAGTTAATTGCAAGACTGTAATTATGACTATGAAAAAACAGAAGACCAACTGAGAAAAACATGGAAAAAATTGGTAAGACCTCGAAAAAATGACTGTGCGAGAGGCCACTGGCCTATTTAATTCTATATACGATGTTTCATGCTTTAAACTTTGAAATTTTTTTAGCCTGTCATCAATTATCAAAATCAAAGTTTACTGGTCAAATCATGTATTTTTACTTACAAGTCAATACGGTCAATTACTTTTCTTAGTTTGCAATCAAAGTTTTCGCTAATTTTTCATTCAGTAATGTAAAAACGAGTGTGCAAAAATTTTCTGTGAAACTCATGGCAATTTTTTAAAGTGTTTTGATGATTTCTGAAGCGTGAATGAACATACCTCCAAAATTATTATGCACACTAGTTACAAAAATCACTTATGTGTAAAAATTAAAAGTATACATTGTAACTCGATCGATTTTTGGATCCAAAATCTTCGCAAATCAAAAAAATTCTGTGTCACACATTCTCAGCATTTTCGGTGCACGCAAATGATGCTTTACTGCCTCAGCATTTGACAAAATACTTGATTTTCCTCATGGCCTTTCTCAGTAATCATTCTCAAAAGTTGGCAACACCGTGGTTTCTCCATTTATATGATCAATTCTAGGTGAGACATAAGATTTACATGCATTTAAATGGATCCAGTACTGCCAACTTCGATACTGGGCCTTCAACATCGGCAAATGACAAATTGTCGACGCATTTCTGAAGCGGGGCATTGTCAAAGTGATTGACTCGAATACCCGATGAGTAAACTAGACGTTTCAAAAAAATAAGACTGATGTATCTCAGGGACAATCACTTTGTCAATCGAATCGAGGATCCGTTCATCACGAGCACTGTCACAGAAACATAAATACGGAATTGACTCCTTACCGATAAAGTTATGAAACACTAGTAGTTTAAAGCACGTTGCCTCATACGTTCGAAGGTATTGCTTAATAAATCCTGCTGTCGAGAGGTTGTCCGCGGTTTGCGAACCGTATTGCTCAGGGGCAGAAGCGCGCCTTGCGTTGCGTTTTGGCAAACTATTCTCCAGAAACAGCTTCCTGGAGGAAAAAATCACGTCTGAAAATCAGTCGTTTCACTAATGAGAGAACGTAACTGCCAGTGTTCGAAACTCACAGGCGCCAACGCGCCAAATGCGCCTTAAAAATCGGCCATGGCGGCCTAAAAATGAAGGCTCTGCGCCAACGTGGCTCCTAAAAATTGCCCCCTAAAAACCTGGATTTTCACAGGAAGTCACACAAAGAAGGAAAAACAAATCTATTTGAATTGAAAAAAACTCAGAATTTTCAGCACTAAAAGTGAAAGCTTGCTTTTTCTATTCTTCACGATTTCATTCTTAGTGTTTTTGTCTTTCCCAAATTACAGCTACTTACTAGTTCTGTTACGAAAACATCTTGCGTCTAAATTTTCACTAAATGCTCCGTAATATATAGGCAAAAAGTCAATTTGGCCCCTAAAAAATCTTCAATGGCGCCTAAAAACCGAGCTTGAAACGCCACATATGGCTCCTAAAACTCTAAGGTGAATTTCGAAACGTAGTAACTGCATTAGAACGTAGAAAAATCTCCATCAGTGAATAAAGTTTTCACACATAGAAGAAAAGTTCGGTTCAAATCTAACATCATAGCCTTTCGGTCCAGGTAACCAAAATTCGGCTCCTGTGAACGTTTCTATCACCGGAACCGAAATAATTTGGTGCTGAGGATGAACTGAATATCAGTCCCTGTGACCGAAGTTTTTTTTTCTCGGTGTACTAAAATATCTCGGACATTTCCTACTAAGAATTTTACTGGTTTCTCTTCTGATGACACAAAAATCAGGGAACTTTTCGACAAACATTCCACAGTCGTACTCTTGTAAAAAAAATTCAATTATTTCAGTCAAAAATGCTACCTTGAAGTGGACAGCGTTTTGCAGGACGGAACTAAGCCACGTCAGCTATTTCCTTTACCTGGGCAATTTAATTTTGTACAAGAGAACTTTGGAGCTGATTCCTTTAAAAACTTTTAGGAATTTGCTTCGTACTATGCAGAAAATTCACTGAAATTTGCATCAAAATTTGCGCAACCGTTTTCATGTAAAAAATAGAATTTCCCAATTAAATTTGGCGAAAGCCGACGATCGCATTTAGCAAAAAGGAACCAGCGCGATTACAGTGTTGTTAAAATTTTGTTTCTCCATAATTATCTAAAAATTCTCCCAGAACAGCAAAAAGTTTCGGATTCCCGCCAAAAAATTGTTAATTTCAAAGGAAAATAATTGTGTGAATTATAAAACGGTACATAAATTATGTATTTTTAAAAGAACCAAAGGGAGAAGTTGCACGACTTTGAAAACACTGTAATCGGGCTGGTTCCTTTTGGCTAAATACGATCCAATTGGCGTTACATTTTTTTGTCTGGGAAATGACGAATTATCGAAATGCCACATGAATGCACAGTAACTTGTCACATGCCTTACGTAAAAAATTTAAAAAAAAAAAAAAAAAAAAAAAAAAAAAAAAAAAAAACTATCACAATCAGGTCACGGCGATAGCTGATTGTAAGTGTGAAAAAAAATACCAATAAAAAAAAAACATCATCAGAGCTGCATTTCATTCATTCGATAGGGGAAACGCTCCCTTTTTACAACAGTTACATTTCTCTCACACAAAAAAAAATCACAACTAAGTCACGGTGACAGCTGGTAATCGTAAGTATAAAAAAAAGACCACGGGAAAAAAATCGTTATCGGAGCTGCATTTAATTGATTCGATTGAAGGAACCACTGCCTTTTTAGGGCAGTTATATTTCTCTCACATTTTTCGCGGACGAGCTCATCTGTGATGCTTTTCGACTCGTCGTTGTGGCGTCGGCGTCGGTTGGCGTTGCGACGAGGTCAGCAGGCCGTTGGTCCGCGGATCAAGACGTCGCGTCTGGCGTCCCGTTCTCACCTATCGCGTCGCTCCTCAAAAAGTAGTCTCCTCTCGCAATACCCAATGATTTGATCAATATGTGCCCTGCATCGTTTCGTGTTTTCGTTTTCTTGACTGGAATCATCGGCTGTCTCTCCACAATCGTGAGTACTACATCTTTGTTTCAATAGATCGCATCACTGGACCTGTAGACATGGTACGAATTAGACCGCGTTTGACAGAAAGGAACCAAGCCACATCGGCGATTGCCAAACTTAATTGGGCACTTTATGTTTTTACATTAAAACAATTGCGCGAATTTTCTGTGCAAATTGCAGTGAATTTTCTGCATACCACTGAGCAAATTCCTTAAAATTTTCATATAATTTCCTCACATACTTTCTCTTGTTAAACATTCCAGTAAAATTTGACAATAGCTGATGTGGCTTGCTCCCCTCCTGCTAAACGCGGTCCAATTAAAGCACAACGATGCGTGTTATCTCTTCAAAATCTCACGATGAAAACGAATCTCACAACGTCTGAAAATTAAATTCTGAACAAGATGTAAGTATTAAGCGCTCAGCCGATAGGCAGCGCTTTTTGATTTCAACTTGCCTCTGAGTACTAGTATACTATAGTGCAAATGGCGCACCAGCTCATCGATGTGTAGGCTTTTTTTGGGGGGGGGGTCCATTTTTTAAATAAATAAAGCTGTGAAAACTGTATTTCATGCTTTTAACGTAATGCGCAGGTAGTTTTGATCGTTTGTCTATAAGAATTTTTCTTAGCGGTAGAGTAATTCTTATCGAAATTGATCGTTGAACTCAAATGAAGCCTAAAAAAAACGCGCCTGATGAGCTCATTTTCGGGAAACAAAAATACGCGTTTACGGTCTCCTTAGTAACCTTTGTTTGCTATCAGCTGATGTTTTATTTCCATTACCCAGCCAAGTCGACGGAGTTTATACTTCCTTTCTTCCCTGAATACATTGACTAACACCTGGAGCGCTTTTCTAATACGACAGTATTAGAACTTTCCCGCTTGTTTTCTTTTAACATTAGGTAAGTGGCAAAAATACAAATAATGCCACTTATATAATCGTACTCTTATTTGATCTGTGTGCATTTTTTTCTATGTAAGAGTTTGAAAAGAAAACATGCGACGTTTTCTTCTACTTCAGACCTTGTCTGGTGGACCATTAATTGCCACTGTTTGTGTGTTCCTCCATCGGTTGGGGTAAGGGAGCGCTTATTAAACATGGATATAGTTTGCCAGTGTTGTTATTAGCATTAAAAACGATTCATATTAAACATTTTCTTACGCTGAATCAAACCAGAGATCGCTAAGGCGGCAAAATGTAGCAGTCACCCCAGAGACTTTAAACGCATGCGTAGAAAAGTAGGTTTATCGACAAACGAGAGTTGCTTGACGCATGGAGACATCATTATTTAAAAATGTTCTCGTGCTGAACCACACGAGAGATCGCCTAGCAGTGGCGTGGCGTGCTTTGCGATATATCGATTGTTATGCCATTTAAACCTATGGAAAAGGATCGATAAACAGGGTGTTCGCAGCGAACACCTTCGATTCTTTACCATAGGTTTAAATGGCATAACAATCGATGTATCGCAATTCACGCCACGCTACTGTCGCCTAGACGGCAGAATGTAAGAATAACTCCGCAGAGACTTTAATGCAGCGCAGAAAAGTATGCACACCCACTAACGCATTTAAAGTCGCTTGACGTTTGAAGATATTATCATTTAAGAATTTGTTCATGCTGATCCATTATGAGAAGCGTTACTGCGCCGCTAGACGTTCGATACCGACTTTTTTTCATATTATTTGGAGGTATCAATACTAAAAATAACTATGTGAAACTTAATTAAAGTAGGAGGAACTGGGTGAGTAGGATCTGCATGGAGCATAGTTCCTTCGATTTAATTCATTTTTAGCTAAGATACGTCCATTAAAATGCACCCAAAAAAAGTGAAGTTGATTTTACACTGTGGATGTAAAAAAAAGGGTGCAAGAACTTATGAACTGCTGTATTACCCGCTACAACAGACACTATAGCAATGCCGGGATGTAAAATTAACTGCCGTGGCGGGGTAATTCAGCATTTTATAAGTTCTCGCACACACTGGTAAAAAAAACCTCTTGGTTCAAGAGTGCAGTTTCTTGTCGCCGGATTTAAGAGTCTGGACTCTTGTTTCAAGCGGATTTTGAATCGAATCAATGCAAAATCCGCTTGAAACAAGAGTTCAAGACTCTTAAATCCGGCGACAAGAAACTGCACTCTTAAGTCAATGCACCGCGGCATTGGTCCAAGAGGTTTTTTTTACCAGCGCACTCTTCGTACGTTCAGAATGTTAAATCAATGTCACTTTTTTTCGGTGTGTCAAGGAAATGCAATCACGAACTATTCGATTTTTGTTTTAATTCAATTCATTTTCATCACATTTCAGCCGGAGAATGAAGTTGTGGTGAGCGAGGTTGAGGATTGGCCAGCGGAGCCCATACCGAAACTGGGGCTGGTAAGCGGCGTGGCCGTGAACTCACGGCAGCAGCCCATCATCTTCCACCGAGGGCCCAGAAAAATCAAGCCATACGACTCAAAGTATGATTAAACTCCTTAATTCCGTTACCTCGCCTTGTTTTTCTTTTAGAGGGAGGCTTACCAAAATGAGAAAGAAAAAAGAAGGATGGTGGAAAACTGTTGTTCGATTCTTAATAGGAAAGTCTGTTCTGTTTGATGTTACTATATTTGAACTGCATTTTGCAATTTGGAACTATAAATTCTGGGTCATCTGAAAAAACACTTATGTGCATAGGGAAAGTAATGGCACATACGTTGTTTTTAAACCGGGCCAGAATTTATAGTTCCAAATTGCAAAATGCAGTCCATTTGAGCTCAGTAGTCGTGCGTGTTGCATGCCGATTGAACTGAAGGCGCCTCAGTTATTTTCGTTCTCACTACGTGCGCTATGCACATCGCGTCGTTTTAGAAGAGCGTATTGTGCCACTACCGGAGAAATATGAAAAAGGACACATAAATGAGCCGCCATTGGAACTAATCGGACAATTTTGTAACAAATTGACTAGTTTATAAATGGATTGCATTTTGCAAAAAGGAACCACTAGCATTGCAATGTTGCTAAGATTGTGCAACTTCTTTTGTCTTGGAGGAAAAACCGATTATCATTTAATAGTTTTTATTTTACTCGCTAAAAACTGTAAATTTAAGACAAAAATTGCCATCTAAATTTCATAGTTTTTCACAATTTCCGCAATTTTAATTGCAAAGGATGAAGTTGCACAATCTTAGCATCATTGCAATGCTAGTGGTTCCTTTTTGCAAAATGCAATCCAAATTTCCAACAGTTTTTTTCTCTTTTTCTTATTCATGTCAAAAAATTAGCGCTACTCCTTTCTAAAAGTAAAACATCCTTGCATTCAATTCGTCATCAGCGGCACGAAAAGATGGCTGCGATAGGATCGCGCGAGTTTTTCTGGTACTGAAAACTCACATGTTTGCGCGAATATTCAATATTCAACGAGGAAGCGTTGATCTAGCAACCTTGGTAGTTTGTGGTCGATAGCTACATCACGGAAGACTGTTCATTCCCTCTTCACTAACGGGCATGTCTCTCTTCGGTGGATAGCCCTCGCAGCAGGAATGGCCCAGAGAGCTGTCGTAGATATTTAAAAAGTGAAATAGGGGCCGGTGGCAGCTACGCGGCCGCCACCCACTGAAAAAACTACACGTAAAAAATCGTAAATCAACCATGTTCCAGTTTTTTTTTAAGATGAATGGATTCAAAGCCAATGGGTGCACCCGAAAGAAAGCGCATGTTTACCTCTGATTGCGACGTTATGCACCACTTTTATGTATTATTTTTAATAAATGTTTTTAAAAAGCTACGCACAGTTTTTCTGAAAAGTTTCCGCGAGTTTACCAACATGATTTTGAATAAAATTATCGAAAATTTCGACGCGATATTCTCGTTCGTTCTATAATCATGTAATGTAACAAAAAAAAAAAAAAAAATTCAATATCATCCGAGTTTCTTAATCTTTACGATGATAATACATATTTTCCCTTTGTTTTTGATAAAAATTGGAGCAGAAAGTCAAGAATGATGACACGCGGTCCTCCAGCATTCCTACAATTATGTAGGCACTAATATGGGTTTCACGCCGATTGACCGACTGCACTGCGTTTGGCGCAATGCGAGAAGTATTCATGCAGTCTTGTAGGCGCTATTATGGGCTCTGCGCCGACCGCACCGTTTGGCGCAATGCGCGAGGTATTCCTGAAGTCTTGCAGGCGCTAATACACGTTTGACACCGGCCGCACCGTGTTTGGCGCGATTATTTGAACTTGCGTTAGAATAATAGCGGCATCGAATATTAGAGCTTAAAATGCCTATGCTGTGTTTCGACGCCGGCCGTATGAGTAGACCAACGTTGCCTCGTTTTTCCTGATTAAATATTTTTTCCCGAGAAAAGTTAGAAAAGTTCTTTATACCCACGACCATTTTTCAATCTTTTCACTTCATTTATCATCAGGAGGTAAGACATCGATGACTTGTCGACAAACTAACCTAAACTAGCGTTAACATAAAATGCGTTCATATTTCCAACTGTTTCCTGTGTTGCCAAACTTCTAGCTTAAATTAACTAATCTTCAATGATAATCACGAGGGCGCTGTTGCCGAATTGTAATACGGTCCATTCTTGTTTCTTTATATGGAAATCACGAGTCAGAGTAAGCAAGATTCTGGGTAAAGAAACTAAAGCATCATAATCCGGTGTCGCCCTCTTGGTGAGCATTGAAGGTATTATTTTGTGCCTCGGATCATAATTTGAACATCATGATGGTTTATTATTTTTAATAACGGCTGTATACGGCCACAAATTATCTAAGATGGAGGATCCCCCCTTCCCTCAGCTACACCCATGCACTTTCTTTAAAAAGAATAGACCACTAGACAAGGTACGAATTTAAGCAATCTGATACACGTTTCTTAACCAGAATTTCACGTAAAACACGATTCACACAACGAAAACTACTAAATCCAACTCTTAACAAAGATATTACCGTTTTTATTAAACATTGGTTTCGAGGAATTTGAACTGCCCGCTCACAAGAAACTCGAAGCTCTACGTGAATCAAATCGCGCACAACGGTTTCAGCAAGCTTCTCAATCGAGCAACGTTCATTTCCCACCATGTTTTGTTCAAACTACAAGCAATTTGCTATAGCTGAGCCAAAGCGTCAAAATCGAGGTTGCCAGTTTTTTTTTATCGCAGAGGCTGTCATGATAACGTTTAGCGCGCGATGTGAATCACGTAGAACATTGAGTTTTCATGAGCGGCGATGGTTTGAATTCACGCACTAAGAATCATTTAATCTCTTCGTAAGGGATTGATTTCGGTAATTTTCGTTGTGCGCATTGTGTTCTACGTGAAATTTTGGTTGAGGAACATGAATCAGAATGCTGAAATTCGTACCTTGTCCAGTGGTTCATTGTGCGAGAGAACTTTTGAACAATTTCTTTGACTATCAATCAGACATGTACTGAGGAAGCACGCTGGATCTATGAGCGTTGTACGATTTTTTTTCTCAGGCACGGATATGTCGATAATGAGGCATTGCTTTGATTCTTAGGTTATACAACGAGACGGGTCATTTCTTACTGAGCCATGAAGGCCCGATCATGGAGGATACGGTGCTCACCTTGGAGTCCGGCTCAGGAGCGGTGCTTCGGAGCTGGGGCAAAGGCCTCTTCTACTTCCCGCACGGCATTGCCGTAGACTCTCATGATAACGTCTGGCTCACCGATATAGCTCTCCATCAAGTCATGAAGGTAAGCCGCGATCCACCACTTATCACAGCTGCCGGATTGTGTACACGGAGAAAAAAAACTTGTGCGTGGGACCCGAAGTTTAGGTGATATGGATCTCTGAAGTTTTCAGATTGAGCATCTGAACACTTTAGGTCTAGCTGCCGAGGTTCGGATCACACATCTGAAACTTCAGTTCTTACATCTGAAGTACTTCGGTTTTCACATCCGGAAAACTTCGGTTCTCACGTCCGAAAAACTTCGGTTCTCACATCCGAAGTACTTCAGATGTAAGAACTGAAGTTTCAGATGTGTGATCCGAATACCTCTACAGATAGATCTAAAGTGTTCAGATGCTCAATCCGAAAACTTCAGGGATCCATATGACCTAAACTTCGGGTCCCACGCACGAACTTTTTTTTTCCGTGCAATGGACCACTAGACAAGGTACGAATTTCAGCATTCTGATTCATGTTTCTCAACCAAAATTTCACGTAGAACACGATGCGCACAACGAAAATGACCGAAATCATTACCTTACGAAGATATTTAATGATTTCTATTGCGTGAATTCAAACCATCTGTTCATGAAAACTCGATGATCTACGTGATTTACATCGTGCGCTGAACGTTATCATGACAGTCCTTGTTTGCGATATAAAAATCTGGCTACCTCTATCTTGACGCTTTGGCTCAGCTATAGCAAATTGCTTGTAGTTTGAACAACGTATGGTGAGAAATGGATATTGCTCGGTTGAGAAGCTTTCTAAAACCGTTGTTGTGTGCGGTTTGACTCACGTAGAGCTTTGAGTTTCTTGTGAGCGGGCAGTTCAAATTCCTCGTAACCAATGGATAATAAAAACGGTAATATCTTTGTTAAGAGTTGGTTATAGTAATTTTCGTTGTGTGAATTGCGTTTTACGTAAAATTCTGGTTAAGAAACATGTATCAGATTGCTCAAATTCGTACTTTATCTTGCGGTCCATATTGAAAACTAACAGTCAGCGCCGAATTTAGAGTAAGTGCAAAAATTGCATCTGCATCGGGCGGCAAATTATCGATGTTTTTTATGCAATGGGGCTGTAGCACATTTTCTTTGAAATATATTTTCGTAAAGTACATGACAAATTAAAAAACCCGTAGTTTACCTTTTTGCATTGAACCAAATTTTACATGGAGGAACGACCCCCAAAGTTGCCGAAATTTCAACTCCATTTCAAACGGAAAAATATCGCGCCAACAGATTTCGAGACGTCACAAGGATCTGTGACCGCCGTGATCCTTAATTTCTTCTGCGATTGTTCATATAAATAATTCCGGTCGTACAGCGGTGGTGGTACATTAGATTCACAATGGTTGAAACCATGGGTCGTCACATGCATCCCTGGTAAAAATTGGCGATAGGAGCAGCGTTTCAAAATACCAAGAGTTCTTATAGCCGACTGAAGAAGGCGATAGAAAATCATATAGTTGGCTGTAGAAAGTGGAAAAATCATACGGCCGGGCTACACGAAGCGATAAAAAATAATACAGCCGGGCTATAGTTCCTATCGCCGGGCTTTACACTTTATCGCCTGGCTGTTGCTTTTTCGCCATCGGCTATAAAAAGCTATGAGAAATTGTGTAGAAATTCGTGTGCTTTGTAAATCCTTAAGTTTGTACGGAATCACCTTAATATTTACAAAACATACATTATTTTTTTTCATCAATTAAAATGAGAATAATCCATACAGAGTGTGCAATCATTTCAAAGTCATGAGTTGAAAAACGCTGACCACGAGATTAAATATTAGAGCCTAACACAAAGCGGAGCGGCGCGGCGCACTGGCGCCTACAAACCTAACAGGGATACTCCACGCATTGCGCAATGCGTGAAGTATCCCTGTTAGGTTTGTAGGCGCCAATGCGCGTTTTGCGCTGGCTGCCCACCCGCCGCGCCGCAGCGTACCACGGCGCTTGAAGCAACTATTTCACACCATAGTCCAGGTTCTTATGTTCAAAAAAAGCTTCCCGTGGAACGGTAAGTGAAGCAAGTGTGGAAAATATCTTAATCTCTTCATTTCGATGCGTAAAAAAAGAATTTCGATGTTGTCAAGCTCAATTTTGCGTCCAACCCCCCAAAATCAAGATGGCGGCCAAAATGGGGGCTCGGGGGGTGAAAATTATGGAATTTGATTTTGATGTCATGATTGGGGTCAATTCTTATGTAATTTTGGTCGTAGAATCCGAATTTGAGGTCCAAAATACTCTCCGACCCAAAGGGATGCCCCAAATCCAAGATGGCCGCCAAAATCTCCAAGATAGGGTCAAAANAGCTTGACAACATCGAAATTCTTTTTTTACGCATCGAAATGAAGAGATTAAGATATTTTCCACACTTGCTTCACTTACCGTTCCACGGGAGTACATAAGAACCTGAACTACCAGAGGTATTGCACAGTATCATACGAAACTGAAGGCGCTCCAACATATTAGGAATGGCAGTCATCCTTCAAAAGTACGGAACATTCCTCGCAAAATAAATCAAGATACTACGGCCCGAAAAGAGAGCGGTGGTCCAAAAACTCACTAAGTCCTAGCATCCGTAATTGGTAACGGATAGCATACACTTTATCGCCAGGCTGTTGCTTAATCGCCATTGGCTATAAAAGGCTATAAGAAATTATGTTGCTGGCTATAGAAGCTATTGGAAATCTTACAGCCGGCTGTACGTCTATGGTATTTTGGAACACAGATTCTACTGCCAATTTTTACCAGGGATTTAATGACGTCATAAGGAGAAAGGCAACGAGAAACCCTCTTCTCATATCACCGCAGCAAAGTTGCTGTCTGGAGCTTTTTTAAGCTCCGAAACGTGTTCCTCGCTGAAATTTACATCGTTTACATCTTTTTATTAAGCAATTCCAGGATCATACAGCAACCTCACTCATGAATGACGAGTATGATATCTTCACCGAGAAGACGACAACGAGATTCCATTTTGTTTGTCTTGGAATAATAAGCTTGGGGGGGGGGGGGTTTTTCAGCCAATGGCGGGGGAAGGGGCGCAAAAAAAATGTCTGCACTTGGTGCTCTGTAGTAGGCATCTGATGTAAAGAAGATGTGATTTTATGGACGGCAACTGATCGCTGAATTGTTGGAGCTAAATACTACGGTAATATCTTTATTTATCGATTTCAATTTTCGGTGATATTGTTAGTGAATGGATCCCAATAAATTGAGGTAAAATCGCGAACTTATTGCGACCAAATGACACCTTTATCCATAGGGAAAAAGCGCAATGAAATTGGTGAGATTGCTAAAAAAATTCATGATCTATTGCTGATTTTATCGCCATGGATGACCACTATTGTCAACAAAAACATGTTTCACTGGACAAATGTCCCTTGTAAAAATTCAGGCAGAACACGTTAACCGTACGGAAAAGTTTAAAAATGCCTTGATCTACAAAAAAATGTCGAGCCTAGAGAAAACTTCTTGATGTACCTATTGTTCTACGGAAATATACTTGAGTAAAATCTCTCGAGGTGATCACGTTTTTTCTTTTCACTTTCAAATGCATTTCTTTGGAAAATGTAAACCGTTTATCTACAAAATTCGTACGTTTTTAGTATCCTCGGTATAAGTACGATGAAAAAATGTGTTTTCTAGGATTACTGTAGGAATTATTTCAAAGATTTCCACTGAGTCCATTAAACCACTTCATTAATTATATACGGCTAGAAAAGCAAGAACAACGTGGATCCATGACTGTTGTCATAATTGTTAACGCCACATAATCACAATTTACTTAACGCACCGACAGGGTTCTTAACTTCAATTAAAGAGGTAAATGATGGGAACTTAGTGGCCCATTACGTGAATGTATCTGCATGCCTGAACACCATACGAGCCAAATGGCACGCTCCTCGCGAGACGTAAGAGGTAAAAATCCAACTCAGTTTCCTGTTCAATGTCTTCTCACACTTTCAGTTTTTATTTTCTCAAATGATTTAAGATTTCCTTGTAAATGGAGCCCCTGCGTGCGTGGAGAATTTGCGATTTTAGTACTGTATCTTGCGTAAAATTTTACGAGAAACAAGATGGTGCCACTGGTTTTCTCTGAAACTTACTACAAAGCTCAAAAAAAGCTCTCAAAGTTGAGGCTGTGATGGTAGGGATAACCGACGCTATCCTGAGAGTCCACCTCTACATCTATAGTCAAACTCTCCATGCAGAGATAGGGAGCAAATACATTTGTTGCTTTATTTGCTTGGGTTGCCACTTTGTTTGGGGACTCCAAAACTGAAAATACGGCAACCCTGCTAATGTATTTGCTCCCTATCTTTGCATGGAGGGTTTGACAAGACATAGAGGTATACTCTGAGGCCTTGTCTCCACGAGTCGTTTCACGAGATTTGTCCCAGGGAAAAATCCCACTTACGAAGTTGGGAAAAATATTGAGTTATCAATATTTTTCCCAGTACCAAGTATGGTACTTGTACCCCTAGGACCCACTGAGAGAAGAAGAAGAAGTGAAAACGAATTGTGCGATATTTTATTCATTACTACATTGTTAATGTTTGTTTAGTTAAAATAATGTGTCTAATTGTCAATTGAGTGCAATTAAATAATCGACTTTAACCAATTTATCTTCCCGCGCAAACTAGTCGCAGGACTGTATAAGCCCCGTCCCGTGGAGACGGTAACTGAGAAAAATCCCAGAAGTTTCATTCCTGCGATTCGAACTTGGGACAAATCCCATGAAAACGTCCCGTGGAGACAAGGCCTTAGAGCAGCGTGTAATGTCCCCTCTATTACACCTTAGCTTTGAGAGTTTTGTTTTGAGCTTTGGAGTCTGTTTCGAGAGAACCAGCGACACCATCTTGTATCTCGCGAAATTTTACGCAGGAAAAAGTACTTAAATTACAACCCCCCCCCCACACACACACACATACAAGAGCTCCATCAAAATTTTTTATACATTTCATTGATCATGTTCATGCGTCTCCAATGATCATTGTTCAATTAGAAATCAACCAGGTTACTAGTTTGTTGAATCTTTTCAGTTTGCAGAGAACTCCACCACTCCTAAGCTTATACTCGGGGAGAAATTCAGCCCCGGTTCGGAACTCCACCAATTCTGCAAACCCACAGCCGTTGCGATTTCAAAAGACGGGAACGTTTTCATAGCTGACGGTTATTGTAACAATCGAATTCTTAAATTTGATGCTAAAGGCAATTATGTTTCCCAATTTCCAACCCAGGATACGGGTGAGTAGAATTCTCAAGATAGACGCCGCTCACTGGGTCGAGTCAATAGAGGTCGGACAAAATCTTGAAACTTTGAAAGCTTATATTTTTGAGAACATAAAACAAAAATGTTTAAGAGTGGCTCCATTGGTTTTTTCGTGAAATTGCCTTGCACCTCTTGAAATTGAATTTGTGATTAAATAAACCTAATAATTTAAAATTTTAGCCAAAAATGTGATTCTGAAAATCTAAATCTTGGCTGATCCTATTTTCGAAATATCGGAATTTGAAATGTTCATAGTAAGTGAAAGTTTTCCATTGATTTTGATCTAGATTTTATTTATTTGTCCATTGAATCGGTGTCGACCGGTTCACGTGAATAGATTCACGTTTTACTTTTTGTTCGATTCATGTCGATTGAATACATACCATTTCGTTGCATGAAGACTCTCTGTCTTATACTCTTTTTTTAACTAAACAATTCGCCTTCTGCTGTGTCTGCAGCAATTGTTGTTACGAATAAGTTGTGCGTGCTGATTTCAGCGCATTACATACTCGACTCTCTGAAGGCGTTTGCGAAAGCCGTTCGCCTTCAGTTGCGTCTGCAGCAATTGTTGTTACGAAAATGTTATGCGTGCTGATTTCAGTTCATCACATACTCGACTCTCTGAAGGCGTTTTATGTGCGAAAGTGGAACGCCCTGTTGGAGAACAACAGAAGTGAGATTAAATGAATCGCTCAACCCCTACTTCGTTCGTTCTCCAACAGATTGCGCTACTTGTGCACATAAAACGCTTTCAGAGAGTCGAGTATGTAATGAACTGAAATCAGCACGCACAACACATTCGTAACAACAATTGCTGCAGACGCAACTGAAGGCGAATTGTTCAGTTAAAAAAAGAGTAAATGACAGAGAGTCTGCATACAACGAAAGGGTATGTATTCGATTGACATGAATCGAACGAAAAGTAAAACGTGAATCTATCCGCGTGAACCGATCGACACCGCGATTGAATGGACAAATAAATAAAAAAACCGGATCAAAATCAGTGGAAAACTTCCACTTACTATGAACATTTCAAATTCCGATATTTCGAAAATAGGATCAGCCAAGATTTGAATTTCTCAGAATCACCCCCTCAAACCGTTTTTGGGTACACTTTTGTCATACTTTTTTTATTTCTTTTTTTCTCTTTTTTTTGGCTTCAAGATCACTGTGGGCAGGGTTCCCTTGACACATTGGCAAGGAGCAAGAGGAAGTATAAAATGAGTTACCGAGATAGTGTTAACTTCTTGATTTTTTGGCTTAAAATCCAGATTTTTCATAGCAGTAGCTTACAAGTTGCTTGCAGTTTATTTTCAACTTAAAATAAATTATGAAGGCGCACATTAATGTTTCTTCTTGACGTATCTCTGCCTTTGCTTGTAGAATTTTTGGATTGTGTTATCTGATACTTTTATGTAGTAGCGAAAATGCAGGAGCCCGTATTGCGTGACCCATCACTTGAAGGATGCGAAATAGGTACCTAATCTTCCGCATTAGAGTATGATGCATTGATTCCGCATTACCTAGAGCATGATGGACCCGGTACTTATCCTCCAAAAAATTCGATCGAATCACTGCTTTACACCGACGTCTCTAAAAATCGTGCAATGATGGTTGAACTTCTTCTGTTGAACAGCACCTAAAGGATTTCATCTGAACACTCCCCACAGTTTAGCATTCATTCGAGAAGAGGAGCTGTTGTGCGTCGCGGACAGGGAGAATCATCGTATTCTATGCGTCAACATGAACCCACTACACGCATCAGAGACTCTTAAATCCATAACTAGCGTGGAGAAACAAGTCCTGGGTAGCCCTTGGGCCATCGCAAGTAGAGGTAAGTACCTACACGCGACATACAATTATCAGAACAAAGATTTTCGAATTACAAAAATGCTTTTGACAGAACAATTGGGAGGGTATGGATTTTATCAGCATGAATCGATCGAAAACTGAAAATGTGAATCGAGCGACGAGAACACCGATGATCGACACCGATTCGATTGAAAAACGTGAATCGATCGACAAACCCGTGAATCGATCGACCAACCCGTGAATCGATCGACAAAACCAGCCAATCGACAAATCCTTGAATCGATAGACAAAACTATGAATCGATCGATTCCGTGAATCGACCGACAACTCCGTGAATCAATCGACAACTCCGTGAATGGATCGACAAAACCAGCGAGTCAATCGTCAACTCCGTGAGTCAATAGACAAAATCAGCGAGTCGACCGACAACTCCGTAAATCGATCGACAAAACTATGAATCGATCGACCGTCCAGTGAATCGATCGGATTATGCCGATCGAATCATGTCGATCGGTGCACTTTTCTTATTTTTCGATTCATTCATGTCAATCGAATCCATATGTCCTCCAAAGAATTGCCTGTGCGCACAGTATATTACGTGACGACTTGCTGCTCATAAAATAGGGTTTAAACATGAGATTGAATTTGACGGAGAAAAAAATTCAGAGGAGCTACGGACGGCAGAAATAAGGCGGGGGAAAAATCACGGGGCTAATGCTCAGGTGAAGCAGAAAGCTAGATTCCTCACTTCTAGCATTGATACAAATTAGTGAATTTCCTTTTACCTGCGGAGCTCAAGGCCTCAGAGTACAAAAAAAAAGCCGAACCGAATCTTAAGAGTTTCCTGGTAAAATCCACCAATTTGGATTAGCTTAGTTGAACTCGTCCAACCCTTTTTTTTATTGTTAATGAGGGGATGAAATTGAGGAAAATTGTTGATTAGATCTTTTTGGCAAAATATAAAATATGAGCGAGGATTTCGCGATTGCTGTAAATACGCATTTTTTTACTAAAGCCATCGACATGTTTTATTACAAAATTTCTTGAAAACCACTACTAATTTATGAAACATTTCTAAATTCAACCGCTAAGTGAGATATTAGCGTTGATTACCCTGGTAAAAATTGGCAGTAGAATCTGTGTTAAAAAATACCATAGACCTACGGCCGGCTGTAAGATTTCCAATAGCTTCTATAGCCGGCTACACAATTTCTTATAGCCTTTTATAGCCGATGGCGATAAAGTGTATGCTAAACGTCACTAATTACGGATGCTAGGACTTAGTGAGTTTTTGGACCATCGCTCTCTTTTTGTGCCGTAGTATCTTGATTTATTTTGCGAGGAATGTTCCGTACTTTTGAAGGATGCCTGCCATTCTTAATATGTTGGAGCGCCTTCGATTTCTTATATGATACTGTGCAATACCTCTGGTGTGAAATAGTTGCTTCAGACGCCGTGGCACGCTACGGCGCGGCGGGCGGGCAGAGAGCGCGAAACGCGCATTAGCGCCTACAAACCTAACAGGGATACCTCACGCATTGCGCAATGCGTGAAGTATCCCTGTTAGGTTTGTAGGCGCCAGTGCGTCGCCGCTCCGCTTTGTGTTAGGCTCTAATATTTAATCTTGCGGAGTCAGCGTTTTTCAACTCATGATTTTGAAATGTTTGCACAATCTGTATGGATAATTCTCATTTTAATTGATGAAAAAAAATATGTTTTAAAGGAAAATATAATGTGCGTTTTGTAAATATCAAGGTAGCTCCGTATCAAACTTAATGATTTCCAAAGCACACGAATTTCTACAAAATTTCTTACAGCCTTTTATAGCCTATAGCGATAAAGTGTGAAGCCCGGCGATAGGAACTATAGCCCGACTGTATACTTTTTTATAGCTTCGTACAGCCCGGCTATATGATTTGCTCCGCTTTCTACAGCCAGCTATATGATTTTCAATGGCCTTCTTTAGTCGGCTACAAGAACTTCTATGGTATTTTCAAACGCAGCTCCTATCGCCAATTTTTACCAGGGTTCTCTTTTGCTCAAAATAAATAAGCTTTGGAAGACTTTACCTAGGAAGCAACTGAAAAGGTTGAAACCACATGAGAATGATTGCGTGGGAATCATGTGTATTTTCACCCCTGAAAACTTATTTTTGTACCTACTGACGAGCCAAAAATGCTCTACATTTAGGTGAATCCAGCGTAAACAGGCATATTCTTGTACGTTTCATTGAATGTCAGGCAAAAATATATTACTTTACTCCCCAAGCATGTGCCGATTGTGCCACATGAAATTAACAATCGCCTGCTATTTGTCAACCACTTGCAATGGCGACTGATAAATAGAATAACACGAAGTTCAGAAACAAAAAACATGAGTTTCATAATAATTATTCTACCGTATTAATATAAATAGATGATTTTTTTCTCTCTCTTTTTTTTAAATGAGTGGTAGCAATTGGAATAATCGCGTGTGTTTGCAGTGGTTAAGCCGGTGCAAAGTGTCTCCGACAGGTTTTGGTCAGATAGGCAACTAAACTAACGCTATGGAAAAGCGGAAAGTATCACGGGAAACAGAAGGCGTTCCATGCTTGGATAGCAATTTTGTAGTCCTTCATCGAGGAGATTTGCACTGCATGTGTCAATGCAAATAAATTTTTACCGTGAAACTTGAGAGCTGAATCTTTACCGGTGGTTGCTCATTGCCTAGGACATATGTATAAATGTGAAGAGAGAGGGGAAGACAATTTTAAAATACTACAGTCAAGATCCCGTTGATTTGAATGTTCGCATTAAACAATTTTTAGCAACTCGCCACAAATTGCAAACGGCAAGATGATAGAGAATAACGTATTTTGCATTGAAACTTTAACGATTAGGTATATGCTTTCTCTCTACGCGAGTCCAACATGAGCTGTCGTTTTGGACCTCAGTTAGAGTACGGCACGCATGACAAATTCTATTTGCGCACAGTGCGAAGATGAATAGCATCGCAAATTAAAGATGGGCATTGTTTAGACAGTGTTCGTGCATTCCTGCATGCAAAGTAAAACCCCCCTTCTCCGGTCGTAGGGGGCCGTAGAACATCATGGCAGAAAATCACGTAATTAGCGAAATGTACGTCAAAAATATAGCATCCGTGCCTTCGACCGAGCTAACAAAAAGTGTCACACTGGCACCAAAAAACGACCATTGCAAAGAAATGAACATCAAAGTAATTTCCACACCACCAGACTAGAGTCCCTTTATACCCAGAGTTAAGACAACTCACTTTTGGTTCGGCTGAAAGTGGCCTAAAAAAAAATCCAATTCTGATTGGTTCTCGCTCATGGAGGCCGAAACGAGTGCACCAAGATGGCGGTACCTCGAATGTGAACAAGAATAATGAAAATATCACCTAATTGTGGTTTATCAAGAGTAAATTGTCATTTCCATCGGTCCAAAATGAAAAGAGATTAAGAAATTATTCACAAACCAATCTCATTTTCTTTTTAATTGATCAATTTGTTGATGTTGTTGTTTTTGTGTGACAGACATCGCAGGATTCCTGATCCTTATCCCTCAATATCGTTCGTTTGGGTGCACTCGTTTCGGCCTCCATGGCCAGCCAAGGCCGGCTGCCAGTCAGCTGATAATCGAGTTGTCTTAACTCTGGGTATAAAGGGACTCTACACCAGACCAATCAATTAAACGTAGGTACCGCAGTGTTAACACGGTCATTGTCGATGGAGAGAGGGAGGTTCTTAACTTTCCGGTGGAATTTTGGATAATCTTGATATGAGCGGTTTACGTACCTCTACATGAGTTGGACTGCATTTTGCAATTTGGACAGGGCCGGATTTACGTTTTTGGCGCCCTGTGCAGAAATTTTCGAGGCGCCCCTCGCACGTCCTCCCCTCCCCCGCCCGCGCATTTCCAAACCCGACGGTCTTCGTTGGCGGTGAAACAGGATTGCGCGGATGGCGCCTTAATTTCGACAGGATTGCGCGAATAGCGAGGGCAGGTTCGCGCGAATGCGTATCATTAGGAATGCGAGAATGGTGTGAGAAAATATTTTCATTTTTCTCTTACAACTGGCAACATTCCAAAGAATGCGGCTGATTATTTTCGGTGATCTCAGTCGTCTTTTATCACGGGGAAAAAAGAACTTTTATGTTGACCAGCTTCTCGAAAGAAAAAAAAAATTTCTAAGGAAGTCTGCAACGTCGCAAATGGAGAAACGTCGTTTCTTATTTTGCCCAAAAATATGTATGTATAAAATTGAAGGCATTATGACTTTCCTCTCTCAACTTATATTCGTCTGTAACGATGAACAATGGGACGCGCTTGCTACGGCGCCTTGATACAACTATACAACCTCGACGGATGTCCGTATTGCGTTCAAAAAATTGAAGGCGTTTTGACTCCCTGCTCATACTACCTGTAGTTGATTCGATCGACAAACGCGTCGGTCGGCGGTGACGGGGACTTGATGCAACAATTTAAACTTGATGGCGCACCGACTGAAGTGCGAAAAAACCACGTATCTCCATTGCGGTGTTTCAAAATTTCCGCTCTTATTTTATCTCTTCCATGAGAAACATTCCAAATTTACGACATTCAATTTCGAACCAAATTTTCTGCTATCGAATACGAAAAATCATGGAGGATTTAAGTTTTATGTTGACTAGCTTCTCGAAAGAAAAATAAAATTTCTAAGGAAGTCTGCAACGTCGCAAATGGAGAAACGTCGTCTCTCATTTTGCCCAAAAATATGTATGTATAAAATTGAAGGCATTATGACTTTCCTCTCTCAACTTATATTCGTCTGTAACGATGAACAATGGGACTCGCTTGCTACGGCGCCTTGATACAACTATACAACCTCGACGGATGTCCGTATTGCGTTCAAAAAATTGAAGGCGTTTTGACTCCCTGCTCATACTATCTGTAGTTGATTCGATCGACGAACGGTGCCATTAGTTTCTTCTTGTAGATAGGTACTTGTGCAGATGACAGAAGTAGAAGTTCTCTATTGCGTGGTGCGGTCCAATTTATGGGCAAGCTCTGTCATTTTGGGAGGGGATAGCATGGTTTAACTTAACTGGGACAAATGGACCACATTTTGCAAAAAGTAACCACTATTTCTGGCTCATTTTCGAAACAACATAAGTGTCAGTGGTTTCTCTGAGTAGAAAGGTGCTTTTACGGAGGAGCCATGAGATCGTGGTTCCTTATTGCAAAATGTACTTAATCCAAATAAATTTGAATTTTGCAGGTGATTTGCTTTTGACAGTTAATGGTTCTTTGCCTTACACTGCAACAAGTGGATTCATTGTTGATCCCATTACCACCCAAGTTATAAGCAGATGGAACCCTAAATCCAGTGTAAGTATAGGTATATAGCTAAGTTCACGGAGATTTTTTTGTCTCAAATATAGACTTTTGGCGAGTTCAACAATACTAGGGAGGGAATACAAATGAGGCTTATTTTGGACGTGTCGCATTGATAATATTTGAAGCTCTCAAACCACGAATTTCAATTGCGGTATTTGAAAATGGCCAACCGTATTCTCTTCCTCGAAAAAATACCTTTGGAAAGTTTTGAGCAAAATTTTCAGAGTTTAATTTTGAAAAAAAAAAAGAAGAAGATGAGAAAGCATTGACATTTTGTGCAGAAATGAGGGTTAGGTCTCTAAAAAAGAATAATTTGACAACGGATTTGCAACGACGCAAATTGAGATATGAAGTTTGATGGTTTCATAGTCGATATGCATTGCATGTTGCACATTGTGTGAACAATAAAGGTAATTACCTAAGTTCCTGCATTTTGCTTATTTTGGGAGAGTTTATTTCTCATCAGGTTTACTGCAGAGTAGAAATATAGCGCGATCAACCTCTAGGTATCATCCAATGGATGGTCGGTGAGACTGCAGAGTAATCTAGGAGTGAGCTCTGTCGAACTCAAAATGCCAAAATTGCCTACCCTCTTGGGGAAGTTGACCTTCCTGTGGACGTAGGCATAAAAGGCATCCAAAGGCTAGTTGGGTGCCGGCTCGTTCATAAAATATTTTAGGGAAATCGGAAATGTCGTACGATTCATTTCCTCTCTCGCCACCCTGACTCAAAGAGCATCAGACATATTTTTCCTTTCGGCGAGGAACAATCAGCAGACAAACTTGGTCAATAAGAGGGTAGAAAAATTCAAACCTCAAACCTGGAGGATCTACAAGGGGACTTATAATCAAAAGCTATTGCAAATAAATTTTCTAAAGCATTCAGATCATTATTCTAATTAATGCAAATGTATTGGTATGTTTAGAGTTTCCGGTATGCTCATGACATTGCAGTTTCTCCCGATGGAAATTTTATGTATGTTGCAGAAGTTGGTCCAAGTAAAATTTGGAAGTTCGAAATAAAACAGATAAATTGATAACTTAATTCTTGTTTTTTATTACTCATGCCACTTTCGATCGATCCAAAACAATGTGATTTTTTTTCACTTTTAAAAATCGTCCAATAATTCTTTCGGGCATTGTTAAGGCTTTTTAAAAATGTTTTAACTCTGTGACAAATATCTGTTGATATTCTTGCTAATTCGTAAATTATAAATAAAGGGTATGAATGAAAGCGTTAGGTACATAGACTATGAAATTTGATAATTGACTCGTTTTGATTGCCACTGTGTAAAATTGCTTACCCAAAGCGAAGAAAAACTATTTAAAGAGCAGCAGAAGGAGGTGGGGAGGTTAAATGCACAACACAAAAGTTCTCATTTCAGGTAATTTTATTCCTTCAATTATAAAATTGTTGAGAAGAAGTTCCAGTCCAAGATTCATGAATTAAAGCAGTCAGACTGATCATCAGATCATGATCCAAGATTAACCAAAAAAATGAGAATTTACATTGATTTTGATGCTAATGATTCTGCTTTAAATCACTTAGACTTGCATTGCACAGCTGATATGAGAATAGAGTAGATCAGTATTATAAATCTATTCATAATTCTGAGGAATGATATATAAAAAGATTTTTGTGTGACTATGGTCAAATTCTGCGGGAGATCCGAAGATTCCTAATTTCTGTTGGAAAATGAGAGGCACAGAATAGGATTTAGGGAACTGTTGATGAAGTGATGGCCCCTTTCTAAAGATAGGGAACTTTCCGTGGAAATTTTAGAAATTCAGAGATTTTTTTATAAAATCAGATTTGCCTCTGGAGAAAAATTTCCAGCTTGCAACAACATGATGGTTTCTAGGGGCTTTCTACATCCCTAAAATTGTAAAAAAAATGTCTCTTCCATTGAAAAATAAAAGGAATTCACAAGCCTCCACTTTTTTCCTAGGTACGTATATTTTTCATAACAAAACAATCAGTGTTTCCCTCTTTTCTTCTTCTAATTCCTTTAGCTGGAACGCTGCCAACTTTAAAATTACAAAAATTCCTGATTACTTTTTCTCCTACTTTTAAATATCAGGGGTTGTCTTTGGCTTAACCGGACTATACATAAAGTATTTTTTTATTTTTTTTTAATTAACTAGAAAATAAATAACTAAATGAACCAATTACAAATATCACCAGTGATAAAATTCTTACTTTTAAGGACACATTTTAAAAAGTAATGAATAAACTTCAGTCTTCAGTCACCGAGCATAATCAGCATAATATGCTCCATACTCTTTCAGGATACATTTAAGAAAATTTATCAAAGCTGCTAAAACAAGTGAAAGTAACTCGCCGAGACATTCTACAGTTGTTATTGAGAGATTTAGCACGCACAAACTGAGATGACTTCAAACTGAAATTTTTGGAAGGAAGAATGATTGGCCCCAATGTTCAGTCTTGATGTTTGAAAAGCTTAGTATTTTTAGCAACTTGAAACACACTAAACTAACAATGTTCAAGCCACTGGAAACTTTAAAAAAATTGTCACATCATGAAGAGGCCAGTTTCGAGAGATATCTAGGTCTTGTTCTGAATTTTGCAAGGGATTTGTATGAAAATACAGACAGAATATACTCTCTATAATTAGACATTTTTTGCGTGACACAGAAGGAAAATTCTGAAATGTATAATGGTTGCATGATCAATTTACCTAACTAAATCAACTTAGAAAAAGCCAACCAGAAAGAGAATATTAATACCTTTCGACAAATTGATGGCTGAATGCGAAAAATGCATATTTTGATTGCAACGTTTGAAAACCTATATTTGCTTCATTGCTAAGCTTTAGTAATGCAGTTGATTTAGAGCCTTGGAAGACCAGGAAAACTTCTTGGGATCGAATGCTACTAAGATTTCATGCAAGTTTCTTCGCCTCAAAAGAGTGAAAGAGACTCAAATTATGTACTTCAACTTTCTTGTACACATTCCACTGTTTAGACTTTTTCTTTCTTTCTTTCTTTCTTTTTTTGTGTAAAAATTGAGCATGTATAAAAATTATTTTATTAAATAATTGTAGAACCTACAAAATTTTAGCGGGAATGTATCCAAAAAGTGTTTTTTTCTACTGGGGTCCTCAGTGAACTGAACAAAATGGAACAAAGAGATGAGATAAACTGAGAGACTAAATAAAGAAAAAACAGCAAACTCACATCAGTACAGCTCATTGGTGCAGTTACTCACAATGACAAACCTTGCAGCAGGGCTCTGAACTTTCTGAGCGATTGTTTCTTTTTAAAACTGTAGGTTTAGTTTTGGAGCAGATTAATAAGTATGTATCTCAAATAGCAACATCCTTCTTTCCCCCTTTTTTTCCAAAAAATAAAGGCAGGAGGTACCTCATTGAGGTAGCGGTATTTTTCTTTTTCCTTTCTTTTTTTGTGCAGGGTCTGGTCACAGGGCAAAACATACATTGTCTAATTTGCTGCATGCTGAGTAATTTCCTTTCTATTTGTGTGTACGGGTATGTTTATGCATATTAAATCAAATAAAATAAATACACTTTTTTTCTTTCTACTCATTGCCACCCTCATTACACATTTAGGTTGATGATATTTGACATACATAAAAAATACATATCGACGGTGCGGTGTAAGTCGGCAATCACATAACTCGTTTTGCGACGTTGCAGACTTCCTGTCATACTTTATTTTTTAAACGGAAAATTACTCAACGGCAATTCTGTAAAACTTCCGTGATTTTTCTTCTCTGTGCAAAAAAATTCTGCAAAAACTTCAAGGAATGATGTCAATTTGTTCTCCTTTAAAAAATAACATAGAGGCGGAGATTTTCAGACACCGCAAACAAGTTATGTGATTGCCGACTTACACCGTCATGCAGTGCCATGATAATTTGTTACAATTTCACAAGGCTCATCAAATATTTTTGACTAACATTGAAAATCATGAGTACTATATGAAAATGCATGGCCTGAACCACTGTTTTTCAGGTAAACATAGAAATATTTGGACCCCAATTTTTTTTTGTTTCCATTTTTATGTGAACGGTGCCCAGGTGTGAGTGGAGACCTTGTGAGGAAAAAAACCATGGCAATCAACATGTTAAAGCTCATCAAATTGAAACGTAAATTAAAGAGTGAACCTAATTCACTCTAATTTTTTCCAAGATAATCTTTTTTATTTTGCATGCATTACCACTTCAAGATTGAAGGTTTATATGCGACTAACTGGATGGTAAAAAGATTAACAAATAAAACTCATAAATTATCATATATAAGAAATATGAACAACAACATACCTTATCAAATTGAATGTAAGATTCCACTGACAAAACCAGCATCTCTCACTTCGTGATCACCGAAATATCTGTCTCTATATCGTGCACAGTCACTGAAGCTAAAATGTGTTAATTTAGTAAAAGCACTTTTGGAGAGACTGTTAAGAGGATACTGTCCAGAGGGTAGCTCTATTTTTACGGTGTATTTAATTTTTGGTTGAAAGCAGACAGGTTTTGATAAGTTGATAATTTGGGAGCTGTTGTACTCTACAATATTCTCATATTTTGTTTGATTTATCTCCTCATCAGCTTCATTCTTTATGCACAGTACTAATTGCTCTTTATAAGTGTTTGGTTGGCCGCGATTAATAACAAAATCAATTTGCGAAGCAAGTCGAGTGTATACTTCAAATCCAGTCACCAGTGTTTTTGAGCTGGAACTGACAACACTGAACATGGAGCCACCGTAAGTCCATGTGTTTTTTCTGCTAAGTACGGCACGGGCGCATTTTTTTGAAGAAAATACGTAAGTGCGTCTTTTCTCTATGACTGGACAGAAATCCCATGGGAGAAGACTGACTAAACTTTGAGCTTTCTCAGAAATTTCTGGAGTATTTCCAAGACTTTCTTGCTGTTCAATGTGCTCCTTGATTAGTTTTACTTCTTCATCACGAAAGATGTTAACTTTATTCAAGACCTCTTCCAATTCGACTGAAGACAGTGTTAATAAACGAATTTTGGAAAGAAGGTTAAACTTATCTATTACAGCACGAATATTAGCTGGCGTGGCAGGGACGTTTTGAAGATGACATTCATTTTCTGACCAGGACAGAATGATTTCCAGGAGTTTTTTTTCACAGGTATCGATGAGGGGCTCATTTATAAATCTTCTTAATGTTCCAATTGACATGTGCTCACTGTCATCCCACCATACATCCTTGCTGTATTTACACATTACCTATAATTCAAAAGGAAACGGATAGATTTTATTATAAACATCAAGATACATGAAAGAAAATTCTGAGACAAAATACTTTGTATCCAGCTACATGCTACATACTTCATTATAGAATTATAAATAGACTTTGAAAATTGTGACTCAAAGTCTACTAACTACCAGGTCTCCTTAATAATTACTGTATATAACTTAAATTTAGTCTATCTTAAGTTCAATACTGGTTTCACTACTTTTATTAAATCATTTTGTATCAATTAAACAGAACACTGCAACACCCTGCCCTGGGAGTAGTTCAGAAAACATTTCCACATTTTCACTGACAAAAATAACGTTGTGGCAACATTTTTACAGCACTTGCTGGATGAGCAGTTAAGATATTTGACTCATTTTTTCTAAAAAAAAAAAAATTGATTTTTCCGATGGCAAAATCCTGTCAATCAAAGTCAGAAAGTATGTAAGAGAAACAACGGCCTTGGCAGGCTTCTTAGTCAATTAGTTTTCCCTACCCGCCCTATGTTGTTCACAATGTTAAAACTGTGAAACAATTGAGCCGAAGCACTGAGATTGAAATTTCCATATTTTCATATCATAGCGACTTTTACATTGACGTTTGAGGTGCAGTTTGACTCAATTAGACTTTTGTTTTGTCAGAGCACCGGAGGTTTGAATTTATGCGTCAAGAAACATTAAATATTTTGGTTAGGAGTTAATATCAGTGATTTTTGCTGCGCAAAATGTGATCTACATAAAATTTTGGTGAAGGCACATGTATTAGAACGTTTGAATTTGTACAGTGTCTACTGGTCTAATGATGTCCTTTATTACTGAGTTGAGGTTTGGCATCTCTGACTCTTTGGGGCTGCTTAAAAGAGATTAAATTACAAATAAAATTGTAAAAACCAAATTCACAGAGACGGTATCTTTTGAAAAACAGATAGATGACTTCATTTTTAGCTAATAGTTAGTAGCCTCAACCGTCAAGGATGGAGCAGCCAGTGCACATTCGTGCATCGCTGATCAATGAGACAAAGATGAGAGAAATCACAGCATGTAGAAATATGGTGCATGACATTATCCTGGTATTTTCCTGTAGAATAGTTCCTTGGGTAATTTATTACATAAAAAATGGCATAAAAATTTAAACTCAAGACAATACATTGAATTTAACATTGGCAGGATCAATTTTGAAAGACTATTTTACTCACCTTAATACATGAACTTAAGAGAGTTTCTTCATTCAAATTTTCTGCAACACATAGGATGTCCCAAAGTGTATTTGTGCGAAGATTCTGTTCCAAGTACTTAACGCACAAAGAACTGAGGTGAGGTAGCAGGTACTTTTTTGCCGCATATAACACGCAGCCGGCTTCTTGCACATTAGCAAAACGGACATTATCTTCATAAAGATATCTGAGAGGAAAGAAATACAAGAATTTATAATATTATTTGAATGAAGGTCAACCATAAACAAAAGATTATTGGGAAAAAAAAGAAAACAAAGATGAACATTTGAATTCAATTCCATCAAAACATTTAAAATTAAGGAGAGAGTTGACACAACTGCTTATATTGATCAAGCTTTTTTTATTTTCTATTCTGGAGAATCAGAGATACTTTGAGTGAACTTCAGTACCAACTGCAATCAAATATCTTTCAAGATATGAGCTGCTCATCCCTACTGTCAAATCATTCGCAAAAAGTAATAAATCGAGAGAACAAGCATAATCAAATACGTAAAATATTCGCTTCGTAAATGAAATAAGAGATACTCATGAATAATCAAAACCGGTAAAAAATATTTACCCATACAGATTACCTAAGCCCTTGAAAAGTGTTCATGTTTTTTAAGACTGCCATGCTCCTCAGAGGAGGGTTAGTTGCATTAAATAAAGAATTAAGTTTAAATGTTTACAGACTATAGACCAGCAAAGAAAGAATAAGATCCATCCAGACACCAAATTTCCCTGTCCAATATATTATCAGAATGTATTGCTCTTCAAAGTAGCAGCCTATGATGCCACCCACTTATCAAGCTATCAGTGCAGATGAGGGTGTCACGAATTGATGAATAGGTGGGAGAGACCATAGTTTGTCCTGCCAAAACTGATGAGGTCTTGCACCGAAGTTTTTGGAGGGTGATATCTCTGTTATTACTGGACATAGAAACAATGACTTGGAGCAGATCTTATTATTTTTTGCTAATCTAAAGCTTAAAGCGTCAAAACATGTTTCTGAGACTAGCCAAACTGACCTATTAAGCAAAAAAAACTAAATTATTCTTTACTGGGAAGTAGTTTCAAAATACAGTCTTTTTTTATACGATTACTAAATGCCTACTTCCGCTAAATTTGTTCTCATATGATAGGAAAAATAGGGAGACTCACTGCAGCATGAGATGAAAAGTATGCGGTGCTATGTCTGGAACTCTGATGGGACGATTACTTTCAGAAGTGGCAAGCAGACCAAAAAAAAGAGCCTCAAAGACAGGGCTACTTGCTGCAAGGACCAACTTGTGACAATTTATTACCTGCAAAAATAAAAAGTCTAAAATGAAAGTTTACACTTTACTTGCTAAGGAGTGAGAATTTTTAATTAGGTTTACTTAAATTTTATCTCCAACAATAAAATGCTGCATAGTTGCGAAACCAAATTAGAGTTGGGAAAAGCATACTTTCTGCTTCCTTCAGAGCGATAATTTATCAAATTTCTCTTGCAGGCTGAAAGAGGCAGAGGCAAGAAATTTCTGCAGAGTTGTAGTATAATTTACTCTTTGATAAAAATTCATAAAAATACCAGAAAGTTACTTAAAAAGTTCAAAAAATCATTTTGATAGGGAGAAAAAGCTAACCAAAATTTTACTAATCAAAAGCCATCAGTCAAGTAGCCAAAACAGGGCAAAACCTAAAGCTAAGGTCTGCCGATTGGTAAATCGCGTTTCTCCTGCTTGGCTGCGTCATCAGAGCCCACCAAAAATATCATTTTTAACTGGTCCCACTTTTAGGATTTTTCAAAACAACAGTTTTTATGATGCCATTTACTATTGAAAAAAGCTGAAAAAATTCATAGACTAAGCTTAGTTCACTCAATACTTTCAGAAAAATAAATTTTAAAAAATGGATGTTATTGACCCCCGGACAATAAATTATGATGGCAATTGACAAGCCAAACTTTGATACTTACCTTATAATGTTCGTCAAATCCAACGATGAAAGTGCAATCTGTCCATTTGGATAAATGATGGAGAGTTTTGAACCTTTCACAAATAGATGTTTTAGAGTACTGCCAATCCAGGTTATTCGCAGCAATTAAGGCCATCTGCAACATTTTTTTTTCAAGTAGAAATTTTAAATTTTGTAGAAAGTTGAGAAAGTGTCCGTCATTTCAATAAAAAATCTAATTAATTAATTTCTCAGGCCTGTCTTACTTTTAAATTAAAGATGGAAATCGAATTAAGGGCCAATTGATTTGATTTTTCCATAATTATATTAAAGTTCACACCAAACAAGTTTGTGCACTTGTAGACAGTGACCGGAGATCTGCCATCTTCATTCGTACATTTATTTTCCATGCTAAAATGACATCAGACAAAGACAATCTTCTGTTGCAGTCGAACAGTATGTACAAATATTTGGCGTTGACACAAAGTGATGCTTGAATATTTTTGCATCGTCTACTTAGTGATCCACTCAAATTCTTGTAAGTTTGTCATTGAGGGAAAAGCTATTACAATAAAGTGTCAAGCTCTCACAAGCATGTATTCTCTTTTTTATAGACTGATTCAATTTGAGAGGGCTACAAAAAAAAAAAAAAAAAACTCTGTCTGCCTCGCTGAACTTCAACAAATTATTTACAAAAAGCAAGAATAAATTGACAAAGATATTGTGAAATACTAAGATTTGAGGTTGAGACAGCATAACTTACTATCACTGTGCAACAATATTATGGGAAAAATGGGACACAATGCTGAAGAGCACAACCAAGGTCTTGTCTTGGTTTAGAAAGGAAGACCTTAGGAGAGGTCTATTGTTTCTATTTGACATGTGCACAGCAAGAATTGAACTACTTAATTTTGGTCCGGAATCCCACAAGAAGTGTAAGGACTGAGTAAATCAGAAAAATTTAGAGGTGATTGGCGAAATAATTTAAAAGAAAGATTTAAAGAGCTGAAGAGGGACTTATAAATCTTGTCCAAAGCCTTGAAAAGATTAAGGCAGAACGACCGAGAAAAAGACTCTTTTGGATGGTTTCGGTGCAACTAAGAGAGGTTATAACTATGCTGAATATTCATTCTATGTCATTAAAAACCTATCAAAAATTTTTTGGTGATAAGAAAATACCTAATTAGAGGAGTATTACGGAGGACAAAGATGAGGAACCCTTGAAGAGAAAGAAGTAACCATGCCCAGAGTAATAGTTATTGAGTAAGATATTACCTTCAAGAGTCAGTCAATATTGGCATACAAATGTGAGGAATAACAGTATTTTAAATGGAGTTAATTAATTCAGGAAGGAGTAACGGTTCACAAATAATTTAGATCAAGAAGAGGAGAGGAGAAGGAAAAAACATTGAAAACTAAAATCAAAATATTTACAAGTGAGGCTCACCATCAACCTGTGATTCAACGTTGACAAATTTTCTAACCTACGAACAAAATCATGTGTTAGTTCCTGTGTTTTTGTACATTATGCACTTGTGTTTGTGTATCAAGAAATAAAGAATAAAGATGTAATAATTGAAATTCAGCAGGCATAGATCTGGTCCAAGAGTTTATATGTGCTGAAGTTATTTCATTAACCAACGTGATTCATATGTTGTAGAATTTACTGTGTTATTTTAACATGTTGAGACAAAGTTTAGGTGTCTGTCGAACTTTAGTGTCTGTGGGAGCGAAGAATGAACTCAGATCCTGTGGTCATGGATCAGTTTCAACGAAAACTTTGTTTCAGAAACGATTTTATGCAGGTAGTATCTCCTTTCACTTATGTTGTATCTTGGTCCTTCTTGCTGTGTTAAGGTGATTTGTCAAGCTCAAGTGACATGGTCGGACTGGCATGTGATATGTTACATCGATTAGGTCAAAAATCTTGGCAGATTTTGAATTTTCATTCATTTAAAGGACGATAGCCCCTGTGCATGAGCCTAAAGGATCATTCTATACCCAAAAATTGGCAAAATACAGAGAAATGAAAGCAGAATAGTGTTGGGAAAAAACCTTGCATTCAATACAGAAATCGATATCTATATTGAATGCGAGGTTTGTTTCCTAACACTATTCTGCATTCATTTCTCTAAATTTTGCCATTGTTTGGGCTCAGACTGATTTTTTAGGCTCATACGCAGGAGCTATCGTCCTATTTTTGGCTAAAAATCCAAATTCTGCCAAGATTTTTGACCTAATCGATGCAACTTATCGCAAGCTGGTTTGACCGTGTCCCTTGAAATTGACTAATCACCTGAAGGATGAAATTAATTTACAAACATTGGCTGTGAAAAAAGAGGCTGTATCTGTGAAATCGCATCTTAAAGTGTGCATTCATGCTAACATCCGGTTTGAAGCTGATTTCATAGTCTAAGTACATAGAAAAGTGCTGTTCGGAAGAGATGAATTCACTTCAATTTGATTTTAAATCAAGTCTCCAAGTTTACACGGCATTTTCAACACGAATTCATGGATATGGAGCACATCTTAATCAGGATCTAATCGAACTTGATTTTAAGTGTTATCATGCGCATCTCTCAGTTCAGATTCAACGTTACTGCAAACTCATCATTTTGAATTCTGTGTTGAATCGTTCCTTAAAACATTGCCACCAGCTAATTCTAAATTCCAAATAGTGACTCAAGACTTAACTTGAAATCTTAGTTGTTTTTTAAGTTAGTGCTGAACAAATTATTATATTGAATATTTTGAAAATACCCTTTAAGAGCTTTCCATGCATTGTGTCAGACTGAAAACCAGATTTACAAATCCTTCCCTTCTACCCTGTCGCTGTCACATACTTGTCTCATGAGCTCTCCCCCCTCCCCTTTTACCCCTAATGTTATGCCGTTGTATCTCTCACCGCTCCCTCCAATTCATACAAAAAAAAAATTCACATTGAAACCTATACCCTAGACCAATTTGGCACTGAGACTCTCGGTTCTTGAAGGAAATGCAAAGAAACAAGAAAAAGTACAAACAGCAACACAGGTGTGCAGAAGGTTCCAAGACTTTCACCAAATTTAATTGATCCTCATCCATTTTCAACCAAAATTTATGATCTGTTCCCTTTGTTATTTCACTGTAGTTCCATCGCAATTGCAACTGTAGCCAGTACGTATTCAAATGCATTTAAAATCAAGAAATTCCTATCTCATATTTTTTCAGCCCCACCAAAAAGATTCTACAAAAAAACCGGCGTGCTTTACAATGATGGAAGCTATGAAATCACATTAGATAATAGAAAGTTGAAAACTCCAGCTGGAACATTATTCAAAGTGTCAAATGAAGCATTAGCTCTTGCTGTGGCTACAGAGTGGGATGCTCAGAAGAAAGTCATCAACCAAAGCAGCATGCACTTGGTAAGGTAAATCATTGTTACTTTTACGCTCAGTTGATTAGTGATGAATCAAAATAAATAACTTTTAATGCCTGCTGAATTGGCGTAGGTATCACCTAAAAATTTACAAGAAAGTTCTTCTGCCATTATTAAAGATGTTTCAGCACCTGATGGCCTGCATTTGAATTGATAATTTTTCTGTGTCAAAATGTTTGATGAATACTGAGTTTTCCTCCCATATCAGTAATCTACTCCTGACAGATAGGCCAATGAGCCCCTGAAAGCTGACAGCTGGGTTTGTCGCAAAATATCACCTATCTTGGTTTTGGCCTTGTTTTTTCTGAATATGTTTGTTTCCTGAGGCTTCAATAATCCAGGTGAGCTCAATCCTCTAAAATACTGGAATATTTTGTTGTGTCCTCAGGCGGATTGGTAAATAGATGACACAGATAGCAGCAAGGCAAGCTTCACTTAACGAAGGTCTGCTACAGTATTCAGGAGTGTGTATTCATCCTGAGTGTAAGCTAATCGCCCTCAATACATTTCAATTTAATATTTCTTAATTTGTTTGTTTGTCCGTCAGACAGCCCTATGTAGCACATGTATAGACAATCCAAACCATGTAACGAAGGAAGATCTAATTCAAAAAATTATTTCATTTCTATCAACTGACACAATTCTCTTTCACTCTTCAGTAAGTATAACTGTTTTGCAAGTTTACTTTATTTTTAAAAACTCTCCATTCCTTTACTGAGTAAATCAGTAGGCACTAAAATAAGTAATGGATATTCCTGAACTAGATGTTACATTAAGTGGTGTGTTGTTCAGTAAATGAAATAATAGACTCTTGGTATCTAAGAAAATACACATGATCGAAGTATATAAATGTGAGCTAAAAATGTGGAGAATCTAAGCAATTCTATTTCACCAATTTTAGTCATAATTTCTTGGAAGCTTTGCTTCAAAGGATTCCAAGGGTGTCTACTGAAAAAAATACATGAACAAAAAGTTGATGGAAGCTGAAGAAAATAAGTCTGAAAATCACCTTGAAATGTATTTCATGGTACTAATTGAAACTATTAGACATTTAACTCGGCCCTGATCTTTAAGAATTCGGCTAATATCTAATATAACTTCGGGCTTATCCGTTTTATTGCATGATCCTCTCTGCCATTGTCATTTGATGTGAGATTAGACTTGTAACCCAACAGAATTCTCCTAGTCTTGTTGTAAATTTTTCTTCAGCTCCCAGTAACCAGCGTATGTATCTTGAAGCTTGATAATATCAAATCAGCTTGAAATGGTGCATATAGTCAGGTCCCAAGTTTTAAATTCTTCCATACAGAAGAACTAACTTCCAAAACTGTATTTTTAAAACTCATAAAAGCAACTAGATACCTATGTTTTTTTCTTTTTATCAGTGCTTACTTGCTTCTCTCTTACATTGATGTTAAGGTTTTAATTTCCAGGAAGATGATGAACTTTACAAGTTCCAACAGTCTGAGTGGCAGCCAGTTGTTGACAAATTCAATGAAAAATTTAGTGTTAATTTAGCCCCCTCCCGTCATTTAGGAATGCCGCAAGTTTCAGATCAAGATCGAAACACCGTTCAGAAGTACTTAGCCTCCCATAATTTTTGGGCAATCATTGGTAAGACATCAACAGTATTATCTGTAGGTTTAAATCTTACCATTTTGCGGGGGAAACAAAGTCAAGAAGTTCCAAGTTCACTGACGAGTGCGATCTGCTGATGAGGTCTTAAAAGACCCAAACCGGTATGGATCTCTCGCCGTGACTCCAACTTAATAATCCAATGCAAACTGCCTGAGCTGAACAACATGAAAATATTAGAATCTCAGTCCTGGCACATTGGCTTATGTATTCCACGTTGTTTTTATTTTGAACAATGCAGGATCAGGAAGGAACATTACTTATTGAGAAGCCTGCCAAACCGGCTGTGGTGCAGGATGTGATTAAAGTAGACTTTTGTCTCTCTTTTGAACAGGAAATTCAAATATTTCATAACAAATACTGAAGAAAAACGTCAATATCTTGGTTAACCCTAGTCTGCCTGAGCCTCTGAACCAACGAAAAAGCCTGAGCGGGGTCAATTTGACCCCAGCTGAAAATAAATTAGTTAGCTACGTTTTTTTCATGTTTTTAGTTAATATCAGTGCACTAACCTTACAGGCCCTCACCATAAAGCATATCTAAGTTTTAAAAAACACGGCGCAGGGTATGCAACCATTTTATCATACACATGTTGCCATGTTGTTCTCAGCATGAGAAAAAAAGATCATAGGGCTACTAAATACTGAAAACGAAAAAAATCTGAAAAATTTTGCTTTTTTATAAGTTTCTGAAAAAAATTAAAAAGAGAAAAATGAATACACCTTCAAAGTAAGCTTTTGTGATGCCAAATGGTAAAATATATGTTATAAGGATATCTGACCCCGCTCAGGCTTTCTAGGGGTACTCGTGAATTTTTTGATCTCTCATGCACATTTTTTTTTTATTATTATTTTTCCTTCAAAATCGTGTTCCTAGATGTTTTTGTAGAGCTATTTGTGAAGGACAAAAAATTTCGTGCATACCAAGAGAAATGGCAAAGAGTTGAAACTCCCGTGGGGTCAATCTGACCCCACTCAGGCAGACTAGGGTTAAGAGTTGATTTCAGCAATTTTTGCTGCGCAAATTGTGTTCTACGAGAAAATTTTAAGAGGAAACAAACATCTGCCGGCCGATTATCGAAAGCTTTAAGCAGCTCAATAAGGCATCAAAATGCGATATATTGCACAAGTAAGATTGGGCTATATTTTGTCTTGGCTATATCCGTAATGGCAAAGTTTTAATAATCAGGTTGTAAAATCCTGTAATTCATACCTTGCCTATCGGTCCATTGAAGTAATCAGGAGGACGATTATAGATTTTTTTCTGTATTTTTTTAGCCATACTGATTTATTGAGGCTCTATAATATGGCTATCGATTCAGCTGGCTCAAACAATTGCACACATTGTAATCACAATTTTTGTGATGATTCATTATCCTGGAGACTCTCTTTTTACAAAAATGAATCTGCCTTAGACCTAGACACTATCAAAATTTCATAGAAAAGAACTCATTTAATTCTCTATCATAGCCAACAGATATTTTAACTTTATGTTTTCGTTTTTTTTCTTTTCAAGGTTTCAGTTTTGCTGTAGAAAGTCTCAAATCAGTGATACTTACGTTAACTTGTAAGGAAAGATTTATAAGCGTGGAGAAGGCTGTGCTCCTCTCACGGTTAGAAGAAGAGTTCCAAGTAAGTTTTGAAAGTTTGAAAAAGTTTTTACGCCCTCTAAGTTTGATGGGAGATTACTCGTTGTCTCTCGTGAGAATTAGCTTGGTTCAGTTAGAGGAGTTCTCTAGTGCAAAATCTTCGCACAATCTTGTCCCTGTTCGAGTTCAGCATGTTACATCTAGCAATTTCCAATTTTCTACAATCCATCCAAATTGGATTTGACAAAAAAAATCGAACAAAAAAAGTATATGCATTTCTAAATTATGTTTTAGAAACTCATACTTCAAAGTTCAATTATTTGTGTTAAATTTCTCTAAGAACCTCTAAGGAAGAACATTCTATGCTCATACCAATTATATAGTCTTCTAAACAGTCGACTTATTTTTAACTGTAAGTGCAGGTTTTTTCTTTATTTATTTCAGAGATCTCTAAGTTCATAACTGCAGATCTGGCAATGAACTTTCATGTATTGTAAAAATAGAAGTAGCAACATTGGATATTCTTCCATCAAGCCTTCTTTAAAAAATGTTTCATTTCAAAAATGTTCATAAATGTTTGTCTCTCGGCCATGACCTTACTAAAAATTGGAATTACCAATCTCGAATCTGCCACTTTCTTTTTTCATCAAGAAGTTTACCTACTTTCCTTTGTGATACTTTAATTGAGATCAATTTCAGATTTTTTCGTTGGCTTGATTTGTTAAAAAAACTAATTTCTTTTTTGAAAAAAAGTGCTTTAACTTCTCCTTACAGACAGGACACTGGGGACGAGTTGAGTGGGCCCACGATGTAAGCCAGTTAGACTTACAAGCCCGCGTCGCTGCCGCCATTATGTTTGTCTACCTGAATTCTGTCGAAGAAACTGTCAAGATGAAAAAATCAGCTCCCATTACGTGAGAATTGTCAATATCGTATCAATGTATTGCCAGTCAAAGATTAAGGCTGTTGAGGATTCACCAAGATCTCCGTTGCAGTTCCTGTATTTTGTATTGTATTCTACAGAATTAGGGTAATGTTTACCAAATGGGTGCTTTCCTGACCAAATTTTGAACTGAAAAAGCATAAGATTTGTTGAAGTCATACTAGAATACTTTTAATTTCTTATCACTAAGTACCCAATGTTGAAAAGGTCTTCATTATAAAAATAACAAGGGAGGGGGTCGGAGATTATTACCTCTGACTTGAATGTAGTTTGTATTATAAATATCCACTTCCTTTTTTTTTTTTTTTTTTTTTTTTTTTTTGTTTGGCTCGATCTGTGAAAAGGTTTCTATGAAAGTTATTCGACCGTAGCTATTTCAAGACTTTCAGGTCATATTTTGCAAAAATGCAGTGCGCATTATGAAAACAAAAACAAAATGAAAAAATATGGCACCTCAAGTAAACTTTCAAACCTTAAATATGTACTAAAAATATGGAAACCGGAACTATAAATAAAGCAATGTAAAAAATGTGGTAGTAATCTTAATCTATTGAAAGATTTGTCTCTCCTGTAAAAGAACCTTGGAAATACCCCAAATATACCACCAAAATTGGGGTAACTTTGCCGCATAGGCAATAGGCACAAGTATTTAACTGTAAATAAAAATAGACAGTACATTTAAAGATTCTGTTTTTCTTATTTTATGAGAGTAATACTCTTGCTATCAATAACAACAATTTATTTTCAAATATCATAACAGAAACAGTTGTAAAAATCAGTTTTTGATTCCTGGATAATTAGCTTGAAACAACCAGAAAGTGTTAGTTTTTTTTTTGTTTTAAATTTGGGCTGCATATGTTCAACAAAGAATTAAGGCTTGGAGGACAAGGCGCATAAGTGCAGTTTTTGCTATTTTGATAAATATGTGTTTGAAGTTTCAAAATTACTCGCAAATAGATCCTTATGGCAGAAATAAAGTTCAAACTGACTTTTTGAATTGAAATTTGGGAGCAAATTTTTCACAAAATATGCACTAAGACTAGTTTTACTGGAAATCACTAATATCTTAATTTGTTCAGAAACTCCTTTTATGTGCCTTGTCCTCCAAGCCCCTCACATGAGCATTACAGTTTTGCCTCTCAGAAGCGTAATGCTCCGTTAGGAAACTTCAGTGATTTTCCTTCACTTTCCACGGTATTATCTCGAACAATTTCTCATGATTGTTGGGCAACTCTTCTATTATAAAGAATTTTGAAACATTACCATTCCTATTCATTCCCATTTCAAACATTACCTAGATGCCTTTTGGAATTTAATAGATTTGCTGCGACTACTTCCTCTTATTATACATCCTCAAGAGATACCTTCAACTCCAGTCCTCTTTGCTATTTTTTCAAATTTAGTACAAATGTTCAGACGAAGAATCATTTTATTCACTTGGTAAAAGTTTCTCAGTTAGGCTTCGAGACAAACTGATGGTGCAAGGGACTGTTCATGAAATACATAACGTTCTAAAAGTGGAGGGGGTGGAGGACAGCGATACGTCAATTTTTTCTCACAAGTCAAAGGAAAGGTACCTGTGTCACAAAAGCTTACAAGGGGGAGGGGGAATCGAAAAATTCGAAATTTGGTGTATATTTTATAAACAGCGTCAAAGTGGGAAAACACAGATCTCATTACAACAATTTAAAATCTCATGTTTCCTTTGATTTTTTTTCAAAAAAAATGAATTAACATTATCGCCTGAAATTTGCACATTTTTTTTTTATGGGCTGAAGGAGAATCAGTAAAGATTCCTTGACGTTATGTTTATTGTTGGCCTTGTAACGAGTGGGTAAAATGTGACAAGTGATTTGGAGTGTTGCACATTGATGTTAGTGCTTTTAACTTTTTTTTAAAAAAACGCTGATACTTAGCTTTGTCATACACAAGCAAAATGGTTTAGAAATTTGAATTAAGTCAAAGAAGTGATGTATCTATTGTTGTCTGACTCCTTTTTCATTAGTTTTGCAAGTAATGGTTGACCCTCTCATTACCAGGCAGGATTCTTTCTGCCTAAGCCCAAAATGGAAAACTGCTGTGATACAAACAAGTTGAAGCTGTCAGAAAATGGCTTAAGTTGTAGTTCAGATCCTTCCCAAAAGGTAGAAGTACAAACGTGAATGCTTCAAAGTTGAGGTTTTTAAATTTAGTGGAAATGTTGCCTGAAAAAATACGGTTTTCCTGAATGCACAGGCTGCGTTCATGGTAATGAAAGGGTAAAAGGTAAAAACGCTCAAAAGATTATTCAAGAGGGTACAAACCACTACATTTATAGGTTAGGAAAATAGCAGGACTACAATAACCAAGTACGAAAATAACTCCTTTTATTCTTACTGTCAAAATACACGGAAATTACAAGAAAAAAAAAAAACCTCATTGGTAACGGATAGTTTGTTTTTTCATTGTTTGGGGACTTCTTGTCGCGAAATTCCATGATGAAACCTGGGAAATTGGGTGTTGCACTTCAAAGTCTCAAATAATGTTGTGCAACATCGAGATAACGTAACGCTATTTTTAGTGTGCTGGGCACTTGCACTTCAAACATAAATGGTGAACACTTGAAAGAAGAGAAAAAGAGGGGAACTTTCACAAACTGTAACATTAAAAGCGTTTTGTTAAACTTTAAAAAATTCTAAAAAAAATTCTTTCTAAAATTTGTTAAACTTTATCAATGGAGAGAGGGAGTACTCAGGATCGAATTGGGAATTTAAGTCAGGCTCTCTGCTCAGCTGTCCAGATACCCTTCGCAGGCTAAGAAGCTGCTAATTAAAATTTTGTCTTAGTCAATGAGACAAAATAATGCAGAAATGGAGTCACGTCATTCGCTGATCGGGCCTTGTTCACTACTGTTCTTTTTACGAGAGTATACTCAATACCACAGGAGACGCTAGGCCTGGATTGGCCATACCAAAACTTTTCCGGTGGGCCGGTAGGTTAACGACCCCAGGCCCATGGCCACTCCGGTGGGAAAAAACGCAAAATAAAAAAGTTATGAAAGAGCAAGTGAGAAGGAAAGAACAAAAAGGAAACCTGAATATTTGAGCATTAAAGCTCTGCACCCCTTTGTCAATTGTAAAAAAAAGCTTTGCTTTTTGTGAAAGGGATTGGATCACTGAAGTTTTACTATTCAAATTTTGAAACTTCAAAATTCACATCTCTTTTCCTCCTCTCGCCTTCCTCTCTCCTTCCAAAATTTAAGAAGGTCTAAGCTTGCGTTACGGAGGGAGGTGAAAAGTTCAGAGCTACATCACACAATACTGAAATTAACATGTTGCGATGATTTTCAAACTTCAGGATGAAAAACCGATGCATGATTGCAATTTTCCATTTAAAATTCATTGCCATTGGCGGAGGGGGGGGGGGCGCTAAGCAATTTTAATGGGGAAGGTCCAGACCTGTGTTAAAAGGAAGTGAGATGGGAGGGGTCCAAAGATTTTTGAAAATTTATGTTATGCGAACAACTCACCCTTCGGCAGGAATTATTTTTGTATTGACTAGCTTTTAACTTTAGGCTGACCTACAACTTCCTTAAAGTGAATTTTTGCAGTATGAGTTGGATTGTACATTTAGGATGCGTAATAAGGAGAGGAGGGGGTAAAAAGAGGTATTTTTTTCCCTTGAATCCTCCAAACTGAATATAGGATCTTTTCATACGGACTGTATTTTGCAAAAAGAAACCAAGATCATTCCAATGTTGCTATAATTGTGCGATTTTTTTCACCATGCAAAAATAAATTGATCATCTAAACAAGTTTAACTATACTCCGAATAAACTATGAATTCAAGACGAAAATTACCTATTTAAATTAAATATTTTGCATGATTTCCGTTATTTTTTTTAAAAGAATGTAAGTTGCACAATCCTAACAACATTGGAATGCTCTTGGTTCCTTTTTTGCTTTTGGCTTTTGTAATCCATGTGTGAGTCAATTTAACAAACTTGTTGCAAGAACATGCTGAATGTGAAAAGCAATCATGTAATCAACGAGTTTGCTGTGGAAAATGTATTCATCAGAGTTTTGAACTCGATTTCACCGGTCCTTCATTCACTGAGGAAGATGCACTACCGCCTAAAAACTTTTCAATGTACCTATCATAAAGACGTTGATTCAAACAGAACACATATACATTCGGCACATGAGCACCAAGTTTTACCAACTCATTTATCCGCTTCTGAAACAAAAGAGATAAAATATTCATAAATGTGTGATGAAGCAAAGAAAAAAAAAGGAAATTGGAAACTTGAATCTTACGTAGCTATTTATTGATGCAAACCAAACATAATCTACGAAAGCAAAATCTACACTGATCTCTAGAGCAGGGAAGACTGTAGAAAATAAGCCAATTTCAAAACCTGGATTTCTTCACATTGTTCATGTTAATTGTTGAAAGAAAAAAAAGACACCCTCCATCTAGACTTGCTTTGCATTAATCTACACCTTTTGCAAGAGTTAGACTTGAAAAATTAAAAAGTCCTAGTTATGGTCCACTAAAAGTCAATCAATGAATGTTCTTCAGTCTTTCTTTCAGAAAAAGGCACTTTTTGCATCAATGCCAGTTGCAGAGTTATCCCGTAGAAAGGCGTCTTTGAAAAGTATCCGTTCCGAGCGAAGCGCATTTGAAGCTTGGAGATAGCGGTTTCGAATATTTTGACCTCTACTTCCACATACAAGAGCGTCAAATCATCATGAAAATATGACGATGTGTTTCTGAAGATGCGCAGATGCTATATGATTGATTTTGTAAACGGAGACCAATTGGATCCATTTAGCAAAAAGGAACCAGCGCTATTACAGTGTTGTAAAATTGTTGCCTCTTCATAATTATCTAAAAAATCTCCCAGAAAAGCAAAAAATTTTGGCTTCCCACCAAAAAATTGTTACTTAATTTTAAAGGAAAATAATTGTGTAAATTATGGTACTGTGCATATAATAAATATTTTTAAAAAAAGAGGAAAAGTTGCACGATTTTGAAAGCACTGTAATTGCGCTGGTTCCTTTTTACTTAACCCGATCCAAGTATTTCACAATACTCCCTTCTACAGGCAAACTCTTCAAATAATTTCATCCCATTCATCCAAAGTTCAGCTGAATTACAAAAACTAATAGCTCAATAATCAAATAAAATCATGAGATCCTTTAACAGGTTCAGATGAAAGCATTGTCCCAAGAAAAGCTTAATTGAAACTCTAATAAACACTATACGCAACAATGTCCCAAGTTCCAAGCCACGCATCTCTGTTGCTGTGTTTAAAACTTTTCGCTAGTATATTTTTTTGAGGACAAACAGGCCAACTTAATAGCTTGAAATTTATACAGGATATCTTGCTAACACAGGAGAAAATTATATTGACTAGTTTGCCAAAGAAAAAATAAGGTATGACAGGAAGTCTGCGATGTAATGGATGAAGACATCTGGTTCTGTACTTCGGCTATCAAAATGTGGAGTATAATAATGAAAAATCTCAGTTCCATCAAGTTTTCAGAGATGGTCTCCATAGTAATTGCGACTTAGATTGTCAGAGTTTTTCAGAGGGTACTGCTTTATGAAAATTCTTAATTAGTTCTTTCTCAGTGGCACTTTTGAAACTGAGCTCATTTATGCTAAAATAGACCGACCGTTCATAATTTTCAGAATATGAATCTTTTAAGAAAATAGAGTATTTCCTTGGGAAAATAGAATGATAATACCATTAGACAATTGAATTCAGCATTTTACACAAAAATTGCTGCACCGACTTACCAGAGTAACTGCATCAGTCACAAGTGAATGTTGCGGAATAATGAGAAAAAAAAGACTTTAAGACGGGACTATCAGGCTCGCAAGAGCCGGAGCATGAAAAAAGAACACAAGGGCTGGAAGGAAACATCCTGAGAGCGCCGACCGACCTAAACATCAGGGACAGAGAAGAGAAAATCGGGAGATTTCCCCCTGAAAAATACTAACATTCATCACGACAGATGAAAACTCGACCTTGCGGTCTAAAAGCTGAAGACTCAAGTGGCGTCTCTCTGATCCGTCCCTCTTTCCATCTGGCACCAAGCTCTTCCATTGGTTGACCAAGTCATGTGACAGGGTCCTCCAATGAGAACTCAGCCACTAGACAGAGATAGGGAGGGAAATAGATTTAGCCATAAAAATTCATGAGTCAGAACTTCCTTGGATCTGCCGATGCTGATCATCAAATGTTTATAAACTGCAATCAGGCTAAACCTGACACATAAAATGAGACCAAACCTTAAAGTACAAACTTTTTTTCGGTCCAATTTTTGTATTTCATTTTTACAGGAAGTGTTGGTGAAAAAACTCTTTTGAAGGACAAGACAAACCGCAAAAATTACTCAGGAATCAACACAGTAAAATCAGCTTTTAAGTTTGAAATTTACTTACTTTTAGCGTTCTTGGACTGTGACAAAGGATCTTTGGATGTGCTCTTATTTGATCTTCGGTGATACCTTCTGACATGAGAAAATCTATCATGTGGAGAATTTTCGACTCCCTGATTTTCGACAGTTGGGGATACGTATCACAAATTCTTCCGACCTCTGCTTCATCAATATGCAATTTCTCCATCAAAAGAGCTTCTCTTGTCTTATATTTATCCAAAATTTTCTTGTTGGTGGTCAATATTTCAGCTGACCTAGAATTCAAACATACATATACATGGACAGATCTAGCCGGAATTAGCCTAACAGAATTTTACATTGGCTAATTTTCTCCCACAACATTTTTTTGACAGAAAGCTTGACTACTTAAGATACTACAAAAAATCATGCTTCAGCCTCATTGATTCCATTGTGAAGATATGAACATTTTTTGATCTGTACAAAAGTATAATCAATTTTCCAAAGAAAATTAGGCAATATCTCGTAAAGTTGGGCAGATTCTGGTTATGGACGTTCAAATGATAAAAATACATGTAGAAGATCAAAAGACTCAAGACTCAATTTTAAGTTAGCTTGAAAAAAAGCGGAGGGGAAAAAAAAACCTGACCTCCATTTTACCTACACGCATTAGGCCTATGTAACATTTGACCTTCAACACCAGACCTGCTTAGATATGACTAACAAATTTGGACCTGCCTTGTTTTTTGCCTCCAAAATTTCTTCCCTACAAAAACTTTGATTTGCAAATTTTTTTGCTTACACATTTTCCGACCTACATATTATTCCACCACGTAACTCAACGTGAAAACTCAAGAAACATAAACGAATTAAGATGTCTGGGAAAATTATGAGTACAGCGTTTATAATTGATTTTCCGAAGTCTGAAAGTACTTTTACTGGAGTAGGTTTTGGAATGTTGATTTGCATGCAGTAATTGCATACCTCGGCCAATACTGTTGGGTAAGTTTCTTTTTGTTTACTCACCACTGGGGCAAATACTAAAAAATCAATCCCAAAATATTCACCGCCAATTGTTACAAGTTGAAGATAAATAGATTGATTCACTTTAAACGTTCCATCTATGTACCATCTTCCTGATTTGGATAAGATGTTCGAATTCTTGTTTGATGCAAAAATAAGAATTAGACCAGCTTACAAAGACTTAAAGGGCAAAGACCAAACGGCGTGTAGGACAAAAATGTGTAGCAGAACATTTTTTAGGTCAAAACTTTTGTAGACAAAAATAATTGTTGGTCTAAATTATTAGATTATGTATGTGTAGGTCAAATATCATGAGGTCTACTGCAAGTAGGTGAGACATCTAACACCCCTCCCGACAAAGAGTCTAGATATGGAAAATATCGATGTTTAGCTTTGTTCCACTTGAAGAATTTTCTGAAATTTAAACAGTTCATTGAGGGGCTTACGTAAAAAAAAAAAAAAAAAAAAAAAAAAAAAAAAAAAAACAATGATTAGAAATTCTGAGCAGACAATACACAAACATATTTTTTTGTAAATTCGGAGATGAATCTTTACTGTAAGCAGACTGGGCATTGCAAAAAGCAAAGATATTCAATCTATCTGTTTGCGAGACTCATTACCTCAAGGTCTATCATCTCTTGTTATGAATTAACCTTAAGTTAAAATTTAACAAGCAAAAAGCTCCTGTCCAAGCAATTTTTTTAATGTTTTTTCTTTTGGGGGGGGGGGTGTTTAGACTTACGATCTATTTTCTAATTACTTTTCACTGACGCTTTGGCTCAGGTAAAAGATTTTGGAACATTTGTCAGGTTCTTTCATTGGCACCATTGCCAAGATGTGGTAGGGCTGGGTGCGGATCAAAGGTAATAACACATACATACCTTTTGAGGGCTCTTAGGTTGCATCGGCTCATCCAGCATTTAAACTGATCAAACTGAAGACGCTTTGCTAATTGGATTCTCTCCTCTATTGTTTGCTCCTTATGTTTGAAAATCCAAAAATCATTTCTAATTTCACTTTTAGATACACCAGCATCTAGAGAAGAAAAAAACGACTACTCTTATTGTCACAGAAAATTAGATACTTATCCTTTCCTCAATGGTTTTAACACTGAAAAAAATAAACTTCACTTACAGTCATTCCAGACTTGGAATCGATCGTCATTTGAACGAAAAACAAACATGGAATTTTTCTGGTATGATGTTTCACAGTTGTTTACGTGGGTCTGATCAAGTACAATATTTGTGGAAACTTGAACTCTGTCATTTTATTTTTATGTTATTCTGGAACTTTATGAAATGGGGTTCTATACATTTGTTTGATTGAATTTACAATCTCTAGCTAAAAACTTCTTGTAGTGCAGGCTAGAAAATTTTTTAGAACTTGCCTCAGATATGTTGATTGTTGTTTGCTTTCCAATAGCAAGCGGCTTCCCTACTGCCACCCAATAGCAATTGAAGAGTGACCTTCCTCTGAGGAGATTTTGCTGCATTTGTCTACTGCGCGTGGCAGTCAGGAGTAAACAACTGCCAACTTATTTGACACAATTTCTAGGAGCTTAATGTGAAACGAATTCTGCCATGTTACGAACAGATGATAGACTGTCTGTGATTTGTGTGTAACTTAGACATTTTAATTTACTTTGCATCTGTTTACCACTAGCAAAATATCAAGATTTTACATCAATCCCCATGAACAGATTTAATAGAGTTCATCTTGAATCTCTATTTCTAATTTTGTGTTTTTCTGGGCTCTGTTTTCTCCGTGGAATATTGTGGACCCAGTGCTACTATATGGACCGAGTTAAGCAGAAAGGAATAAAGCCGCATCAGCTACTGCCAAATTTAATTGGGCAATTTGATTTTTCACATGGAGATGCTTGTGCAGATTTTTGTGCAAATTTCAGTGAATTTTCTGCCTGGTGCGAAGCGAATTCCTTAAAATTTTCGAAGAAATCTGCACAAACATTCTCTGGTACAAAATTAATTTGCCCAGTTACATTTTGCAATAGCTGATGGGGCTTGGTTCCTTGTATTAAACACAGTCCATATCATCCTTTTTTTGTGCGAAAACATACATCAATGTACCCTCCAAAAAATTATCATAGTTTTGTCATTTAACATTTATACACACCAATGAAAAATAGTCTTCAAACTATGGAACATGTCAAGAGATAATCTGAGCTGTAAAACCAACAAATTTCTTGAATATTAAACCTCATGCTGTATCATAAAAGGACTGAAAATTCAATGAAAAAAGGGAAACAAACGTATTATACCTTTGAGCACTTGGTATATTGACATTATTTGCTGCAAACTTTTTCTTCTTAAAAACGAGCGTTCCACTAATAACGAACAAACTTCAGGAATTGAGAGCTGAAAAGCAAGGAACAAAATTATTCAAGAGAAATAAAGGGAAGGAAAAAGAGCTCTTGATTCAAGGAATTTTACAGTAAGTAAGTGATTTTTACAAGATACTCAGGCTCGCTGCGCTTGCTTCACCTCTGACCAGAGGTTTGATTATTGGATCATCAAGCACTCGTTGTGCATATGACTTGGGTACAGGTTCCTGCATGAGCCTAATCTGTTAGGAGTACAGACTAGCTGTCAGCTGCATTGGTTAGGGCTGTTCAATCGGTTGTCGGTAAGCTACCGAAACAGTTCCGTTAAGAAAAAGTTACGATAAGAGCGCTCTTGCCGATAGCGATCAGAGTTTTCGGAGCTGGTGAAAATAAGCTGTTGCCATTTGTACATCTATTTTACGCGCCGCCGCGCCAGGCAATCTGATAAACCGACACACGGGGCAACAATGCATTGAGTGCGAGCTCTCAAAAATCCGATAAGGCCAGCTGTTGTTGACATCATCGCTACTGTCGGTACTGCGCCAGTTTCAATAAGAGACGATATCGATAGCGTTCCGGCAAGAATTCGTTTGAACACCCCTAGCATTGGTGGCAGCAAGAATGACAAGAGTGGACTTCTGAATTGATATAAATTGATGAGCTACATCAACAGACTGATTCTATTTAGAATTTGAAACAAATTTTGAAGTTTGTAAAGAAACGTTTGCTTTTGAATTTTTTCTTACTTACAGTAGAGATGGGGCAGATGATAGAAATTTCTGCCAGACAACATTGAAAAAACGCTCGTTTTAGTAAGATCTTTGCATCATTAAAGACTAACTCTTAAAATACTCTTAAACACTGCCGGTATCTTCCTTCAAATTCACATATACCCAGCCAGTGCCTTTCCAATGCAAAAATAATATAGTACAAAAAAGGCTTTGATACATATGCTACTATTAAAGGAAACTGAAGATAGATTGCAGAGGAGGTGGTTTATTAAGGACCTATTTCAGCTCTGTCGTTTTTGATATGTGTTTGATATTTTCAAAGTAGTGATCCTAGGTAACTTTAAAAAGACCTCCTATGAATATTAAGGGGTCTAATGATCCATTGTTACTGTTTTTGACAAATTTCTATGAGTTTTTTCATACAGCACATATAAAACTTCATTCGACTTTAAAAGCGTGCACATTTTTTTAAAAAGCTCAGGAGGAAAGCATTAGGACATTAGAACTTTTCAATTGACCCTGAAATCAAGAGAGGCATCCCTACGAAAAAGGAGCTTGAATCTTAGAAATTTCAAGAAGGAAGGAGAGGGAGTGCCTTCCGTTTCAAGAGGGAAAGATAAAGATGATAGAGGTAGTTAAAAGTCTTGAAGGTACTTACACCAAATTCTCGCGAGAAAAAATCGATTCTGGTCTCCATTAGGCTTTCTCTATCCTCTTCCAACAGATCTAACAGATCTAGTAACTCAGCCTTTCGCAACTTTAAGAGATTTAATTCATCTATTTTTAAGACTCCTTCCTTTTGGCGAAATACCTCAATTTTTTTTTCTAGCTCACCTGTTGAAAGAAAAAAAGAAAATTGAAACAAGTGTGAGTATTAATTATTATGAGCTACAATGCTTCATTGAACATTATAAATTCCTTTTTCATCTGTTTAAAATTGCTTTTCAACTTGAAAAATTATTTGATTGAAAGAAAGTTGGACAATTAATCAGAAAAACCGCGTGAAAATGTTGATCCAAACCCTAGGTAGATGTTTAGAATTCTTAAAAAAATTCTAAAATTTAGAGAAAGATCTATTGAAAGTTTTAATATACCGTGGTCAGAGCTTAAAAAAGTTGGGTTTAAATGCTTTTTTTGCACCCTCCATGACACCAAAAATAAACTAAATTGAACTGAAGAGAATTTTCCTTGGAAATTTCAATTTCCATTTTTTAACTCAATTACTCGGACGAAATCACTCCCATAAAGTTTCAATGTATCAGAAGTCCCTGAAATTCTACAGATAAGTGAGCTATGATGTCATCTGCAAAAAGCCATAGTAGGCATTTGACAAGATGCCTGAAAAGATAAGTCAGAAGTGCTTAACAAAATTTTGTATGTTTCTGACAAAGAGCTCTTATTAAGCTTTCGGCATTGAAAATATTAGAATTTGCTAGAAGTGGAGACTTTTCTTGAAGTTTGCTCTTCAGGGATCCTAACATATTTTAGCTGTCAACATTTTGAAAATTGTATTTTACGACATACTGCAAATTTTGGGATGAATGCTTGTTTGAGCACTAGAAATAATCGATTTCCCATTGTGGCATTCCGATATTTACAGAACGTTCTTTCCTGCATAAAAAAATAATTATTTCGTTTTAAAATAGCGAGAGAATCAGGATTTGAATATACAAATGAATATAAATCACAGTGCCGTGAAATTTATCCGAAGCAAGTTACAAAAAGCCTTCTTTTGAATTTTCAAATTCATCCAACTTTCAATTTCAATTTACAATATACAAACAATAATAAAAATCGATTTCCCTCATCCATGAGTTCACTTGTGTGGATGAGTCAGTTATCCCAAATTTACAGTCAAATCTTGCAAAGGAGATGTGGGTTCTATTTTGGCTCTTAGGGCTCCATCTTTAATTCTTTGATGTACATATCCTTTGTGGTTCCCACTTGTGAGAGAGGGTTCAGCTATCTTAGACAGAAAATCAAGGATATTTTTAACAAATTATTATCTTTATCATTGTACATTCCTAAGTACCTACGGGCTTCGTAGTAGTGGTTGGCCTCTGAGCAGTGATCCCGGGTGCTCCGTGAGCGAGATCCGTACGCTCTACCGCTCTCCGTGCTGCTATTGGCCAAGTATCATTCTGTGACGTCACGCGTACGGATATTTTAAGATAAGGAAGCGTTTTCCCATAAGGTTTTTGTCCGTACGCGGTCCGTGTCGGTATAGGGAATGTGCGCGCGGCACGGATAAATCCGTACGCTTGGGATCACTGCCTCTGAGACTAAGATGACAATAGAAAATAGGGATCATATGGGTATACTCACCTATAGAAAAATCAAAGAGCCACTGGTGTTGTGCAACTAGTTTAGCGTCTAATCCTATTTGATGAAGGATTTTCAATTTATCAAAGAACGTCGCACTCGTTTCAGGATCATCAAATAGCCTCTGATTGATAGCTATTTGCATAATGCTGTTCGCATCTGCTGAGCTACATTGTAATAACTCGCAAATTTTTAATCGCCTTTCATTCCTTGTTTTGAATGATTGAAACAGACTGAAAGACTGGAGGGAAAGACCTTCTTCTTGTTTCTTTTCCACATGCACAGGCATATTAAACTGACGATCACCCAGAATGAAATTCACAAAGTAAGAGCGATTCGATACATGAGCGATAGAGAACTTAGACATCTGCTTCATCACACTTCTGGATGGGATACTTGTTGGTCCATGAATCGCACTGAGGCATATTTGAAACACTGATCGATTCATTTTGGGTGTCGGAAAAAGTTGACAAGATGATAAGACTTGTTACAGTTAATCAAACCTTCATTCCAAACACTTCAAGTGATGACGGGCATTAAGTGACTTTACAAAACTATGGTTTTGGGGATAACATAACATAACACTGCGTAAAAGGATAATGAATCAAGGTCTTCGGGGGTTTGTGCAAAGGCAAACATGGGAAGGGAAAACTTACACGACATTACGACATAACCTCCAGAAACCAAAACAAGAAAATTGTCATACAATAATAACAGACAATCCGACAACATGGACAATACCATGCATGCATGAATAGAGTTGCCTGGAGTTGCCAGATTTATTTTTTATTTTTTATTGAAGATCAGCTCTGTATAGAGGCAAAATAATTGAACAAAGTAGCCAATCAAAATTTTAAAAAACTTGATCATCAATTTAAGGAGGAATGGTAAAGTATAAAGTTTAAAGTTAAGTTTTCAGTAAAGTTTACAATACATTGCTGGGCAACCTTTTGCAACAAAAACCGTTGCATTTGAGGTTATGTTTGAAGAAAAGACCGGGATTCGAGTGAGGTGAAAAAATGTGTTCATCCACATGTGAAATTAATACCCTTAATTGTATTAAATTCAGGTTTTAGATTGGTGCAAGTTTCAGTGTGTACCGTACAGTTTTATTAGCTCCTATCATATTCACACTTTGTTTTTCCACCTGCAGTTTTGTTGTTCTGAAGGAAGGTCAGAGTGCCGCAGTTAACAGTTTTAACGCAGTAGTTCCTCCGTTCCAGGGTTGAAGTCCTCTAAAACTCTAACACAAGTAAGATTTAAATATTTACCATGATACTATAAGTAGTAGAATTTTCACTTGAAGCCGATTCTGAGAGCATTTTCAGTACCATCCTAATATGGTCTGAAGGACTACACTGCTCAAGTGTTGTGATTGCAAGTACGCAATGTAGCTAGGTACATACAGTATTGATGGCTTTGTCATGAAAAATACCTTTAAACAGTCTCTGACACGTGTGGGATTTCATCAGCATGTCCTCTTCAAATGAACAGAAGCTATGCTGTCTATCTACTCTGTACGCAGAATGTTGGAAAAAGTGTCTTGGCCACTTTATGGAGCTCTTTCTTATTACACAAGTGGTATTGTCTCTCAGGTGACAACAAGCTGAATGCTATTGGAATATTGTAACAGAAGCGTACTCTCAAGGTAGAGTACGACTCTGTTACAATATTCCTCTTATACTGAGTTTTAATTAGTAGTCAAATGAACTGCCAACTAAACTTACTTAATCTGCTGTCAGCTTGTGCTACGAATGAGCCTGGTTTGCCGCATTTGTGTGCGACATTGTGTTTGCCCTCTGTCAATGCAAAGACATTATACTTAACATATCGGTGATGCGTTTCCCTCGCTCGTTTGTGCAACGTTACTGTTTTCTCAACTGCTCCATGATAGGCAGGGGAAAGTGTTGGGGCTCCATTCCCAGATGTTCCTGAATTTACTTGGAACGCATTACTCTTTTACATATAAGTAAATGATATTGAAGGAAAATTGCGAAAGACATCTCTTAGGAAAGGTTAAATATTTTATCTGTTTTATAAAATTCATCCATAAAAATTTCTGTGACTGAATTTTCTTCTGTTTGCAGAAGCTCCCTCATGGCTGAGTCAGATTTCAATGATCTTCTACAGGCAGCAGAGCGCTTGGCTTGCGAAGTGGAAGGAAATGAAGAACTACCCAGAGTAGATAGGACTCTTCGTCAAGTGCTTGAGGCTTCTAATGATCTCTGGTCACGTGTCACACATACAGGAGCCCAAGATGTCCAAGCGTTAGTATCTAATTATTAGTATTATATATATGCCATTTTTCATGATTTCATCATTTGTTTATATCAATTTTGCACAGTCATTTTAATATTATCTGTCCTTCTATTATAGAATAAATAATGGATTACTTGATAAAGGTTTTCGCTGTCAGCACAAAAACTGAAGAAGGATTTGTGGCAATTGGTGTAATAATATCGTCAAAGTGTTGTCTAAATGACAAACAGGCTAAGGTCATTTTCTCCATTAATGATATTTATTTTGTAAAATCGAACAGCTCAAAATGTCCCTAATTTTCCTGCAGTGATATCTTTTTCTAGACCAAATCAAGATTTAGTCCAGACTAAAATATCGAATCGTCAGTCTAATAACTTTGAAAGATCCAAACGTTAATAATTAGTTTTCGAAATTCTTATAATAATCGTGTCAAGTTCTGGCAGCTCTGCAGCTTTTTAATCTTTAAACGTGTGGAATTAAATTACTATTGACAGTTTATAGCAACTACTAATCTGTACAGTTCAGAAGTCAATAATGGAAAGAAACTGTAAATTTGTGGAAGTTCCATAAAAATCTCAAAATCATGCACACTTTTCCTTGCCAAGTGTAAAAAATTTAGTAAAAAATACATACATTAAACAACTTAACTTTTGAGATGAATATGTGTGACCAGGTTAATGACCATTTGTTTTGAGTTTGCTTAATCGTATGGAAAAGTGCAGGTAGTTCTTTTCTCTTCTTCTTCAGGAATAAGCACTGGGTGCAAATCAAATGAGTTTCTTCGACTGACAAATTTTCTAACTTTTGATCTTTGGTCTTCTTTTTCAGGAATTTGCTGCTGGGTACAAGAGGAGTGGATCTCCCTGAGTTGTCACAGAAATTGGAAGTGTTAAGTGCTCGTAAAACTTTTGAGCCTCTAGAGCCAGTCCCAGAAACAGATGTTCATAATTATCTAAAAAATGAGGGAGAAAACGCCATTCTCTCATTGATCGATGAAACCTACAAATCTGTAAGAGGTTTTGTTCCCTCCATAGTTTTCTTCTTTACAGTTTCCATTTATAATATTTTTCATATCCAGGCATAGTACTTAATTTTACTCACAAAAAAAGAACATGTTTTGCCCGCAAAGGGTAAAGAGCTGCAGCTTTATTCTCTCAACCTCACAATAGCTCCATTGCTGTTCTTGTAATAATTTCTGAATGAGTCAGTGACATCCATTTTTTCAAAATTCATTTTCTAACAGTGGTAAAATAAGCTTACCAGGAATTTTTCCAGATTTTTTCCAACCCTAAGTGACAAAGAAACCCAGTTTTGAAAATGCTGATAATGGGACCTGTTTGAAACGTTATCCTTGGTGGGCTGATGGCATTTGTTGATTGCCTTGCCACACCAAATAGACTGTTGGCATTTGATTGGTCGGATTACATTTTGTTTTTTAGCCCCATCGAAATGCTTTTTTGAACTTTTCACAATGCTCTCTTTGGTTTTTTCACAAAACTTTAGCCAAGAATATTATAGTACAATCCGGCAAAAATTCTTTACCACCACCCAATCACCTCTCATAAGTTTTAATTTTTTTTTCAGACTTTGACTAGCCTTGATGAAAAGTATCAGAAAGTTTTGAAAGAAGATTGGTTTTTAGAAAAGCACAAACTGATGAATTCACTTATTGGCTACTCTTCGCATGTCATCGAATTGCCTATTCGATCGCAAGTAAGTTTAGTTGTAGAAATTTATGGGAATTCCTCATATTTGAAGAGTTCAGTATATGAACATGAATAGTGCAAAAATAGAAATAAACACAATGTTCGGACCGTTGCTTACTAGATAGCAGCATGCTTGCTGCCGCGCCGCAACCTTTGTGCAGTATTTAAGTATGGCCTTGAAACTTGGAAGCTGCACCATGATGATGGTGGGACTGACAGAGTGTCTGCAGATTTGGTAAAACAGGGAATTGTGAGGGAATTTCATTAAATCAAGGAAAGTCCGGGAATTTTAAGAATAAGACTGAAAATTTAAAACAATTTGAAACTTGAAACCATAAGAAACACCAGTCCTGTCCACACAATCAAATTGACTCTCAGTCTGGTTCAGGACTGTGCGCTCTTAATTACAATCCTTGAGTTAGGTTAGGTTATAATAATACTAATTTTCAATAAGAAATAAAGACCTAGTCTTCAAAACTTTGAGGATAAACTACCGGCAAAAATATCAGAAAGTTGTTCAAGAAAATTAATTCTAATAACACTCCTTCAAAAAAGCATATTTTTATCTGTATGTCATTTCGTGGAAAGCAATTTCAGATGAAGATTTTCCCTTACTTACTTTGAATATAAAAAATAATTTAATGAACAATCTGTTCATTCTTAATATTCTTTCATGCATTATTATTGTATACACTTTTATTGCGACTGTAAGTTGAAATCAAATACAATAAAATAAATATCAATTTCAGGACTGGCAATAATGTTGCTCTGGAAATTTTTCCTTCCAAGTGAGTAGAGGAACAGAATGGCAAAGGTTACACCAATCAATGAAAATATAATAGCAAAGCTATGATGAAGGCCTAAACATAAGATCAGTTCTTCACTGACGCTAAACATTGACTTCCAAAATATGAAAAAAAAATTACCCTTTCCACATGAATGTATGTATGTGCATATTTTCATTGTTTTTACTGTAATATCATGTTTTTCTTATCATACAATTATCATTCATTTTCAGCCAAAGACAATTAATGAAGCAATTGGATCCAAAAGCTTACTGGATTCATTTGAAACTGCCTATTCTAAACATTTAATAGATTATAACATTGCCTGCGTTACCAACAAGCCTAGGCCTAATCTTGCTGAGGACTTTTTATCAGTGGCTATCAATTCTAAAAATGAAGTAAGTTTTGAATTTCATCCCAGTAGTTTTTACATTATTTGAAAGAAGTGAGGCAGAACTTATCTCATTTTGCCCCTCACTTCTTTCCTCTCTCAGAAGTTCCCTTCCTTCTATACATAGAGCATATGAAGTATGATCAAAGAGTCCAAAGGTGCTACCTAATGTCTAAGCTCAGAGGACTAAAGAAGAAAAAAAAAGTTTCACCAATTAAAAGTTAAGAGACGTCAAATAGATTTGGAGAATATATTAACACTCACTAGGAACTAAATTTATGATAGTCTGTCATTTAAAATCAAAGCTTAAACTCAGAAAAGCTCTCGGAATGTTTTTAATGAAGGGTGCAAATTCACATTATTGTAGGTTCTATCAGGGCTGTTCCATAGCTTTGGTTAATTATTATGTAATTATGTCTTACTTTTGTTGTTATTATTTTTTGTATGTTTTACTTGAATCATACCCATGTAGCCAGTCTTATTATTCGAAAGAGGTTTTATTCTGTCTTTAAGTTCAAAATCTCTACTGATTTTTTTTAATTTTTTGAATCACCTTAGTTTACCTGCTTTTTTAATTGACGGAGTAAAGAAATTCATCCAAATACTTACAGTAATATAGTAAGAAAGAAGACAAGGAGAGAGTATTAAGTTAGAACTCTATGAAAAAAAGGTTGATAATTTCACATTGTTGCAATGAAGTTCCATTATCTGGCCTCCAACAAAACATTTTAAAAATTAAATCATGATGTAATAAAAAAAAATTACCAAGTAAATGAAGTGTCCTATGTAAATTGTAAAGGCTGGTCTAACCCTTTCTGGTCCAATGTCGGATATATTCGCCGTGAAAAATAACGCGTTTATGTCCGATGTCGGATATAGTCGCCCAAAAGTTTAAACTTCTGGGCAGGCCCGATGTCGGGTATATTCGACTGCTCCAGCAAGTGGCGGCCTCTGGTGGACCCTTTGGAAACCACTGTCTTTGTTGACAACATTGCTGCTACCTTAACCTTGCTTCTCGCGGCGGTGGAAAACTGCCGCGGACCGGAAAGGGCTAAGTTCCTTTTTCCTTCTTTCTTATCATGTTCATTTTCTCTCTTTAAAGGAGTTCCTCTGTCAATTGACTGCTCATAATCTGCTACATTTTTGCTCAAAATTTTAAGCGTTTTTGTCTTACACTTCTTTTTTTCCATAGAAAATTATCAACTTGTGGCAAATGGTCAATAGCATGATTATGCTGCCTCCTCAAAACAAAGGCGAGTCACTGACTGCAAGATTATCCAAACAATTAACAGAAAAAATGATTTCTCAAGCAAAAAATTATTTAGAAAATATGTAAGTGTACGCAGCGTTGCAGCTGCTCAAGACATGCATTTTGTATACCATATCATGCTCTTTTCATCACTCAATTAGTTTACTGTTTTCTTGACTCTTTTTTTAGTTGAGTTTTGATTTATTTCTTTGTCCGTAGTCTGTAGTTACTACTTAATTATGTGATAAGGATAATTTATGATTGACCACTTTCAAAAGCTGTGACAAATTATAGACAGTAGTAGGTAAAGTATCAATGGGAAAACTCCCAAACCTCGTATTGCATTTGCATTGTCACAAAATCTATGCTCTCATTATTATTTTTTGAAAGAGAAAAATTCAATTTCATTCCCAAAAGTTTTTACAACATTTTTTTCACAATGGAAAAAAAAAGCACTGAAGTTTTAAATTAAAGAATTGACTTCAAGTAGTTTTCCATTTTAAAAATGAAGTATAGTAAGACCTCGAATTATCGGATCGCGATTTAACGGATCGATCCTCCAGTCCCTTCAGCAGGACCGACTAGCGTGATTTAACGGATTCAGCCTCCGGTCCCGTGGTTAGTTTACACATCACTTTATACTTTTTAATCACAACAAGCAAAATCCCATTCATTTCAGTGTTCAAGGAATTTGATTCTCAAACTATGATACCTTCTTTTACTAAAAGATAAAATTGTATTTTTCTTTCATTCATAACCTCTGCCACTTCTTTTCCCAGGTACAAAGATTACATGAAAAGTGTAGTCTCTGGAAGATTAGAGCAAGCGCAACGAGGTGGAGTACCAGGAACATTTACTTTAGTTCGCAGTTTCGTAGCAGTCCTAATTGGCGGTAACACAATTGGATTAGATGATACAATCGTCGAAGGCCAACCTGTCTGGCCAATGATATATTATTGTCTTCGTTGTGGAGATATACCGGCAGCGATTCACTGTGCTACTCTTGCAGGGTATGTATATTCTACAAACATCAAAAATCAATAGTTCATTTCTCGCCAACTTGATAAGTTCATAGCAGGGTTTAAATTGACTTTGTAATTACCCTGTTTTCTCAGATATTTTCAGAAACTCTGAAGTAAAGCATCTCATCTACGTATTTCCGTATCTAGTTATTCAATGTAGTACTACTACCACTGAAGAATCTCTCAAATTTTTTAGTTTTTTACCTCATCAGTTCAGTTGATTGACGTAGAATCTCACAAAGCTGGTGACTGTAGATGCATGAAGCAACTCTTTGTTTTGTCCATTCGGAGCATCCAGAGAAAATTTATGCATTTGTCAAAACAAATCATAACCCACCATTTTTCTGTGTTTAGAGTTAAAAAACGTTTCTCAGCCTTTGAAATGTTGCAATGTTGTTTAAAATGTTGTCTTGTATCACTTAAAAGCAAAATTAAGCCTCCGGTATGAACTGCGCGGAGAATGTATCATTGACTGCTTTTATTCCAATAATTTATTGTTCACATGTGGCTTGTTGTTAGACCATTCTCATTTTAAACCTAAAACTGCTGTATCATTAGAAGTATTTTAATGTTGTAGAATTGGTATGGAGGAGTTCATTGTTGCCCTGAATGAAATGAAAAGCAACATCTTGAAGAGAGTTAGTGACAAGTCCAGGACGCAAATTCGCTCGCAGTATCGGCGCTCTGTGCGGCACAGTTCAGATCCTTTTAAGAGGTTTGTACATTATTTACCATGAACTTAATTGTCAATATTGTCTTTAATAAGTAGTGAGTACTTTTATATTTCAAAATTTTCATTTTTTCTTTTTTCTTTTTCAAATGAAAATGATTTGCCTAACATGTTGCGAGTAATGTGTTTTTGTTCTTTTGCTGGAAACATATCGCTAAGGATAAAGCTTATCTCTCATGTGACTGAAAAGCAAAAATATTTATCGACCCATCAATAATACCTATATTGAAGCTCGAATTTCAAGTCTTATGAGTCTCAAGTAATGAACCTGTAAGTAGATTATGTATTCTGTCTCCAGCAAGCGGTGGCAAGACACAATGGAAAAAATTAATTGATGGTTTTTCCCCCTAAAAATTTGGCACAGCATTTATTGAGAGGTTCAATACTTGACCCTTTGTATCTTTGACGTTTCATTATTCTGGAATCACCATATTTTCTCATAAAAACTGAACTCTCTCGTTTACTTTCGTTTCCATTGTAATTTCAGAGCTGTTTACTGTGTTATCGGAGCATGTGATGTTGTTGATGAGCACAAAGAAGTGGCTAAAACAGCCGATGATTACCTATGGATCAAACTATCGCAGGTAAAATAAAATTTTAACTGGTTGACAGGTTTTTCTCTTTTATCCTTCTATTTTGTGTTTCTTGTACTTTAAAACAAACTATCTGTTTATTGTAAAAACAAAAAACTTGTGTACAAAGGTTTAGCACATCAAGTTGAAGTATCATGGTATTTACCCACTTACAGTGGACCTTGTTCTTGCACCAAAAAAATGTGGAACATGTTTTCCTACTAGTTAGACGCTCAGTTTGTGTCTTGTGACTTTTTCTTTCTTTCTTGTGAGCAGTTGCAGCATTTGTTGTGCATTCGTTAATCAATGTGTGGGAACCATCATAGAAACCACAATTATTAATAAATCTGTGTTATACACGGAAATGCTTACTTATGATAAGCCCTCTTACATGCCATCTGCATCGATCAGTGATGCCATAGGCCACATCATCAAAGGATTCATCAATTTTATTTCTGATTTTAAGTTGCATCTGATTTAATAGATATTTCTGAGAAAAGATAGAATATGCATAAGTAATAACAAATTATGTACAATTTAATTATATTTTAATCAAAAATAAGTGGAAAAAGGGTTTTCGATTGCGAAAATGTTACCAGTTTCTTATGTCAGATGATTCTTCTCAATTTAAAGTTTTCTTAATACAGTGAGACCTCTAATTATCGGATCGCAATTGAACGGATTCCGCAATTTAACAGATCGATCCTCTGGTCCCTTCAGCGTCGCCAACAGCGGGATTTAATGGATTTGGCCTCCGGTCCTGTGAAATCTGATAAATCGAGGTCTTACTACTACTTTTATTATTTCCCATTAGTAGGATAGTTTTCTTTCGAAGTGAGTGCTGACAGCAAGATTTTGGTGAGGTCATACTTAGTCTGTATCCCACCACACAATCTTTTGGCTTACCTCTCTAAATCAAAAACGAAAACCTTTTGGATTTATTACTAACAGACAACAATTCTGTTTTTAGAAAATCAAAAATAGTGCGTCCCAAGGACATCAGAAATATGTATGAGTAAAATGGCGTTTGAATTAACTTTAATTGTTTGCTCGTGTTGGTAATGAAAGTTCTTGTAGTTCAGTCAGTAATTATGTTATTTGTACGTCATATTTCTATAGTGCTAATTATTTTGTCTGCTCAGGTTTCTCCAGAAGACGATGATAAACGACCAGAAGCCCCTTCATCCGATAAAATCACCTTTTCTCTTCTGCAAACTCTCATTCTGGAAGAATATGGTATGATGAATCATTATTACTTATGTATGTTTACGGATATGAACTTACAGAAGTATGTATAGTTTTCAAGCTGGTAGTTATCTCTTCAGATGAAAAATAATCTTGAAATTAATTGACAAATTTTTAGCAGTCTTTCTTGAAGTTTTGAAATATATCATTCCCGAAATTTTTGGTGTGAAAAAATTATTTCCTCGAGTAGTTGCTGAAAAGGAATTTTGACTTGATTAAAGATGCGTTTTGATATTATAGTGTTACCCAAATCAAGGTATGAAGAAGGTTTTTAATAGACATGCCTTGCATTTGTCCAATCGAGCAATGTATGCAAGCTCCTATCTTCATCTCAAATTCATCGATGCTGATAAGAATTCGATGCTTTTATTTTTTCTTCCCTGTTTCATTTTTTTGGATTAATTTTTAGGAGAAGCATATTACAATGCGCAAGAGCAGCCTCATGTCTACGCTCAAATGTTAATTTTAACTGGACAGTTTGAGTCTGCGATTGAATTTTTGATGCGAAATAATTCTTTGAAAGTACATGCAGTCCACATAGCAATCCTGCTGTATATTAGGGGTCTTCTCAGTATTACTGTCACCGCCAAATCACCATTACGTAAGTTGAACTATCATTTTTAAATTAATCAGTTTTTTACCTTTTTCCTGTTAATTCTTTCAAAGTCTTATTATTTATTTGCTGAAGAAACTGTTTAATTTTCGAACATACCTCTTGTTTTGAATCATAAAGAACAAAATAAAAAAATAGGATTTGTGTCCTAATGCATCTATCTTAGAATCAAGCTCTTAACCAAAAGAAGACATTTCAAAACAGTAGAAAGCTCAAAATTATGGTAGTAAGTAGCAAGACCCGTTGAGTGTACTTTGAACTCGCTCATACTCAAATGCGCTACTCTCAGCGTAAGATTCTCACTGATGTATTTTAATAAAATTTCAATTAAGCTAATTATATGCATCTACTTTTACATGGAATTTCACATGGAACATGTCAAATCAATAGATTTTTAACCCTTAGAATGCTTTATTCTCCTTCAACAGTCGTCAAGGATCCTAAAGATCCAGCTCCAATGCGAAGATTGAATCTTGCTCGAGTTATTCTACTCTATGCCAGGAGATTTGATGTGCACGATATCAGAGAAGCTCTCCATTACTACTATGTTCTCAGGTAATATTTTTAATTTACCGGCAGCAGTTTAAGTGTTGGATGAGTCATTAAAAACTGGATGTATCTCACTCACATCAAGTTCAACATTCATTGGATCGATTTTCTCTTAAATTAATTTAACATCCTCTGTGTTGTTATTCAATCTTGACTTATCAATTCTGTGTTTTCCACTACCACTGCGTTTTTTGCCTATTTTATTTAACAGTTTGCTTGCCAGATTTTTCAGTTTCATGTACTTTTAACCTTTCATCGATTAATTCTCAAAGTTCAGATTGAATGGTAAATTCGTTTTAAAAAGAATTTAACGAGGATTTGCTTCCACTGATAAATACTGTTTAACTACCAAAGCAAAAGGCTCAAACCTCAACATCATAAATGTATTTCATTAGATTTCCTAAAGCCTATCTCGATAAATTAAACGTTTGGTAACATATTTTAGCTTTGCAATGTTGTGGTCGAAACTTTGAGGTTTGTATTCTGTATTCGAATAACAGTAGACCAGAGGGTATGATTTACTCCTAAAAGAAAAAGCTGTTAAGTAATTACCAGCTCAGTAAGCTCAGTCATTAAGTAGACATAATCTTTTTTCTATTATCATGATTTAGATTGCATCCATTAACTCGTCAAGTTTTTGCTATCGGCTCATTCTTAGACTTCTTTACATTACAGGGAATTAAGCACGCCAGTAGGTGACAGCCTATTTTCACTATGTGTCAGCAATCTTATTCTCGAGACAAGAGAATTCGATTTGATTTTGGGTAAGATGGAATCAAGAGGTGATAGGAAACCAGGACTCATTGATGAGTTTAGTGGAGACGCGGTAAGTTCTCAAATAATTTTTCTTTTTATCTAACAACTTAATATGGAGTATGTTCATTTTAAAGGGATGCATAGTCCTCTTCGAAAAAAATGTCTAAAATTTCTACTTTCACTGACAATCCACCAAACCAAAGTAGTATCATTTCTTAATGCTTTGTTTGCGTACAAAAGAGTGCTTTTGAGGATAATGTTGGTGAAATTGAGAATAAAGATGTGTGGTTCTAGGAAGGGTATAAAATGAAGCCTTATATCAATTGTTTGCATCTTAGAAGGCTACTGAGGAAGTGGATACTCTGCAGCAACATGGTACTGTCAATATCACTGACAGTGATATTACAGGTATTTTTGTATGATTGTATGTTTCGTATGTACTCAAAAGTTTCATTTATTTATTACTATTTAATCATTATAATTGTTTCAGAGCTGTGTAGCTGCTGTCATGGAGTGTGTGGCTGCCCAGACAGAAGCCAAAGGGCAATTTGAAGATGCCATCAAAATTTATGACCTTGTAGGAGTATGTATCTTTATTTTCCAATTATTCTTCATTATTTACTCGTTATTAGTGATGCTTTCTTTTGAACAAGCTACAAGTTACAAAAACATCAAACAACTCTTAAACCGTCAGCCAACAATTATGTTTTTTGCGCAATGTGACAAAGGTATCAGATCAACTTTCTTTCTCTGCCATTCTGGACCAGACCCACAGACCCCCTGTCGCCAACAAGTGCATTATGTAATTTATGAATGGCCCTACAGTTCTTATGGGGTTGCATTGGCTTACTGCTATAAATTGAAGCAATTTTGATTACCACCAATTTTCTCATTCAAGATTCCCTGTAAGGCCTTTGAAGACACAAAATTTTAATATTTCCTAGCTGTCAGGAAAAAGGACCATAGATTTGTCTCTCTACAATCGCTAATAAGATTTTCAGCATCCATCACACTGTTTACCAGCGAATTTAATTCTATGTAGAGCAACCGCCTTGGCATGGTGGCTTTAATTCCATGAAAGTGTCATTGCATAAAAGGGGCTATTCTTTTATCTCCTAACTTTGTACTGATTGTCCCAATCTCTATTTTTCAGAATCATGAAAAAGTTTTGTCTCTCATGAACACATTAATGTGTCAAGTTGTACATAGAGTTGGAGCTGAAAATACAAACAGCCTCAGATCAAGGCTGTCTATTCTGGCAGATGACATCGGTGCTCGATATGGTGGGCAACGCATCAATGCTCTACCTGAAACTGTTGCCACTTTCCATTTATTCAGGGATCTGTACATGTTTTTCGATTATTATTACGAAAAGAAGCACAATCTTGCTTTGGAGGTGAGTCAGTTCTATATTTTAACAAGCATAACCCTACAATATCAGCGATCTCTGATACAAATGCTTTTCGTTGTTTAACCATTCATTTGTTAATTTTGTATCACATGCAAGTAACTAAGTCCCCTCTTTTTTTGTGGAAAATGACTCTATTTGGCACTCCGCATCATCGCAAATAGCGCTGTAATCCGGAGCGCAAAGGGGCCTCACATGTCAGTGAGATTTCCCTTTTGTCGTTTTCATCAAAGTATTTCTCACTTGTTGGAACAACTCTTCAGCGTCTTCACGTTTTTCACTTAATGGACCGGTCTTTAGATCAAAGAAGTTATAGATCTGTGCCTAGTTCCAGGGTCTCTTTTCTCGTGTCGTCTCATTAAACAGCTCAAACTTAGCCAGTTTAGTTTCCGTCCTAAAAAAAGTAACCGAATACCAAACACTGTGAACGACTCTATCTTCATTTTTTATGTTTTTTTAACTTTTGCCTTATGCTCCGTCTCTATTTGTCTTTCAATGCTTTTTGCAGGTCATACAAAGTACTCACTTGATTCCCATGACATCGTCTGAAGTCCCGGAGTATGTGTCCAAATTCGAAAAAATTGAAGAGCCTGTAGTTCATCTAATACCTGAAGTTTTAGTCGCCACAATGTCAATGATTCATGGCCAATACTCACATTTAAAGTAAGCACTCTTTCTTACCTTTTAATTCAGTCAAAGTAGCAATTTAGGTACATTAAGAGAAAATCTAAGAGGCTGTACTGCCATGCGTAGGAAAAATGTTGTAAGAACATTCGAACATTTCCAATTTCTTCGATAAAATATCTACGCTTGAGCATAGTTATGAATATTTCTCCCTGAAATTTCTGATACTTTTGATTGAATCATGAATGGATTGCTCTGAAACTTTGAGAAAAAAATGTTTTAAAGTTTTCCTGAAAATTCCTTGATAAGTCTCTTATGGTAGGAAATTTTGCAACGTCTGAAGGCTCATAGGGTGCTCACTCTCAGAATGGTAGATTGGTACTCCCAGTATGATCAGAGAATTTCATCCAAAATAAAAATTATCTATGATAAACTCAGGCAAAAGGGCCCCTCAAGATGTAAACGCAAATTGGTCACAAGGAAAAAACTTATTGGAGGTCAAAAATATTGATTTTCAGTTTTCAAGGATGAAAACTTTTTATTACTTTTAAGAACATTGGGTCAAAATTTCAAGCTTCAATATGCAAGAATAATTATGTTATAACTGTTCGGCTCCCAAATGTGGTAACAGTGCTTAGCTTAGGAGCAGAAAGGTAGGCGGGAACTTGGGGAAAAATATCATTTGGTATTTTGGGTGGTTTTGGATTGGTTTTTCTCCTTTGCATGAGAAAAAATAGCTAAATCAAGGACTGATGGGCAGATATTCCCGGTTACTTTTTCAGTCCTAGTCTACCCCTGACAGCGCTGACAAACTTTGAAATTCTGTTTAATCAAATGCGTACCTCGTCCTCTACTTTTAAAATGCTTCTGGAGGATCAATTTTTAAATTTGTAGGAGTTCTTTGTACTGAACGATGTCTTTTACTACGTAGTTTTATTTTATTTTATTTTTTTTATTTTTTGCAGGAAGAAAGGCAGTGGCTCTGTGAGTGATCAACATTCCAAGGAAAAGGTGTGTATCTTTAGGCTTCTGCAGTAAAATTTTAGTGTAATTCATTCTTTGTTCTTAGGACTGAGGAAAAATCAGTAGCGCAAAAATTTCCTCTGTTCAGTAACCTCTTCTTTTAGATACAAGAGTGCTTCTATTGAATAACCTTTTTTTAAATCAATGTTATAGTTTTATAAGAATAAAATTCAAGATTTTTTTAAAAAAAAAAGAATGTAATTTAGGGCCTAAGAGCTCCTTTAGTGGCTATATTGGCAGGTATTTTAATTCTGCAGTAAAACCTTGCTTCAACGACCCTCAATTGGACATATTTTTCTTATGATTTTCATCCATCCTATCAAAATCCTTACGTCAATATTACAGGTTTTTTTTTTTATTTTTTGCAAAATAACGTAATTGGAACAAACCTGGATTCAATTTATCGACAATTTTGTTGATCGGTGAAAGAAAAAAAAAGCTACTTATTGCCAAAAACTTTGAAAATATTCCAAATCTGATCTTGTCACAATGATGTTGGGAATGATATGTGCTGCCGTCATGTTCAACAAACCCTGGAGGCCTTGCAGTTTTTGCAAAATCAGTTTTTAGTCACAATAAGTCGCATCTGATTTGTCAATTTTTGTGAGATAAGTTCAGTCTATTTTTGTCTATCTGTACAATACCTCAGCTTCTAACTGAATTCTATTCCATTCTTGCCACTGCAATGTTGCCTTCTGAACGAGTCTACATGCTGGAGTTTTACACGCACTCTTGCAGTATTTTTAAAATTTGATGAAGATGATTGAAATACATGAGGATCTTATTGAGCTCCATATATTTTCAAAAATTGCAGTTTGGCACCTCTGATTGTCTCTATGGTAGATTCACAGATAGTCTTATATTTGGAAGCATCTTCCATGGATTTTCCCATGGAAATAATGGAAAATTTAAGAATACCCCATTAAGTAAAATTGATTCTTGCCAAATTGCTTTATTTTCTACATTGCTCTTTAAACACTGAAACTAAGTGTTCTGTATATACTTTCTTTTTGGTATGAATAAAAGATTAAGTAAAATTCTCCAGGACTGAAAGCAAATTCTGAACCTTTAATAACTTATGTACCTTTGTATGCCATTTCAGACTCTGGAATTCCTACGTGAGAGAGCCAAAGCTCTGACAACATTTGCTGGTTCAATATCATACCGAATGTCAAGTCAAATCAACTCTAAATTAGTTCAAATGGAGCTCATGATGCATTGAAAAAAATTTTGTGTAAGTCTTTCAAGTGTCAAAAGAATTTAAATTTGTAAATGTTTCTTTTTTAGCGCTATTTTTAATGTATTAAATATAATTTTTCATGGATACATTTTCAAAAAGTATTTATTACTGCTCCAATTATGATGAGTAGCTAAAGAGAAATGCATCAAAGCTATAGTTTAAGGAAGGAGAAAGCTTATCGTAACAGCCAAGGCCTTGTCTTTCTTAAGATGTTTTCCCAAGATTTGTAGCTGTGAAAAGTCCCTTGTGAAGTGGCGACAAATATTGATGTCCTCAATATTAATCACTGTCCCAAGAGCGACTCCCACTTTAATTGTGTAGTTGGACCACAGAGCAACTGGGTGGAAAAAAAAGAAGCGAAATCATAAGTGTGTCATTTTGTTGTATACTTGATTGACTGTTTTTATCTCCATTTGATCGGCTTTGCTAATCATTTAATTTTGTCCTGTCTCCTACCTACATTCATAATAACTTGCTCAATTGTTAATTATATTCTCTGAAAGTTAAACGGAACAGATTTTATCAAATTTTGATGTATTTGAAAGGTAAAAAGGTTAACTTTAATTGTGCAAAAAGATGTTCAAACCAAACAATCTAGTCCAAAGCCATTGCAAGATTACAAAGTGTTTTTCATCATGTTTGAAATAAGGATCCAATTTCCCAATATTATAACTTCTGGTGTGTGGCATTCATCTTTAAAGTTATTCACGCGGATCATTCTGTCATGATAAACATTGAATTACTGCTTAAGAATATATTTAGGAATACGATTCTCCACAGCCAAAAATCCAATATCCAGTCCATGTTTGAAGCAAGTAAAAAATAGTGTATTTCCTTTGGAAAATACACTAAAAATCTGCTTCATCTTGTGATAACTTAGGATTGAAGCATCATTCCTATTGATACAGCTTTCAAAATGGTTATAATTGACCTTTCTACCTTTAAACTGTCCATACATTTGATTTGTATATCAAGTTCTGTTGCGGGTGTAAAGTCTCTCAGTGTTTTGATTTATCAGCTGTGACAATTCACCACCTCAGTAACATGTGTTTCTGGCACCCGTGCTTTGTTAAAAGTGGTGATTCCTCAAATTTGGATGAACTCTTAGCAAGAAAAAGGCGTCTACTTTCTGATCTTATCGGTTTTTGTAAAAACTTCTTTTCTTACTCTAGTCATGAACTTTGTTGCATTACTCTTTACAGCCCTGCCTTATAGCTTCTCAGCCATTCCTCATAGTCGTTACTCTTGCCATGAAAGAACAAGACCAGAAGAAGTATTTACAAATGAAACTTTAATTTTTTTCTGGTAACTGAAAAAATTTGTGAGAACAGTGAAAAAACAAAAAAATTGTATAAAATTTTCTAACTACTTTGGGATATGGTAGTGTATTCTGAGGACCAGCTCTTCAAAATCTTACAGAACAGATGTTCAATCCTGAGTGTAGATCTCCGATTTGCCCCTCTTTCATCTGTAAAAAACGAAAACAAACTTGAATAATAAAACAGCAGAAGTTCAAAGTTCACTGGGAGAGGTCGATTGTTGAAAATTTCTTAGGCAGAACACTGATTCTTTCTTCTACTCAATTGATATGGATTCAATTAATATTTATTTCAACAATCACAGTTGCATTGAATGGCATCAATTCTGTTGGCACACGTTCAATGGACCTCAGTTTGTTTGACAATGATTTTATCCACAATGATTTGATGCGTCTAGAATGAGCATTATAATTTTAATATTAAAAGAACGAAAAAGCCTCCATGTTAAGATTTTCTACAAATTTTCTGAAAATTTTCAACTTTTTTGAAGGAGCGTTTAATGGATTTTGTTATGGCTAATACTTCAAAAATTGAATACCTACTGCTTTGTAATCCAGTATCATTTGCTTAAATGCGATGAAGTCAGTCAGTGTAAACAGCATTTCAAATACCTCTCCGTCTAGGTCATTTTTCCGTTCTCTAAGAAGAAATAAACATTTACATATATCTGTGAATAGTGTTTTATGAGTGAATACCTTCTTATTTCGGCAGTGATTATCCACTTCATTGCCACATGTATTAAAGCATGCCATTGGTTGCACGGATTATGAACATAATGAAGTTTCACAGTGGGTCAGTTGCACCGGCCGAAGAATCGTTTTATGATGATTTCAGATTATCGATCAGCAAAAAAAATAGGATCTATCCTAATACCAAGTTTCTGTGTCCAATAGTGACGAAGATATTGCCCTTCAAATACAAAGCGCATGAGATCAATGTAAAAGTACTTTCCATAGTTAAGTTCCACCTTGGTTTCATTTGTGTTTTTGGTGAAGCAACCAGCGAAATTGTATATAACACTAATTGACGAATCAAATATGGAAAAAATCGTCCGATGTGTTACTGCAGTGGATAACGTCATACACTGTTTTGCAGGGGGCAATATCTCTTGTAATTTTGGTCGTAGAAACTAGGCATTTGGACAAGTCCTATTATTTTTTTGCGAATCTACAAGCTTGAATCACCAAACCACGATTCTGTGACTAGCATGACAAATCCATTGGTTTTGAAGGTAAACGAACAGCTGAGACATACCTATTCAGAAGGTTCCATGATTGGTTCCCATGAAAGGTTTCATCATATATTATGATCTTCAGCCCGTCAAGACACTGGTTAAGTTAAAGACATTTCTCTCGATTTTGAAATTAAAAGTCTTCGCTAATTTTATTCATTTTTCAAGAAAAAACGTAAGAAATTTTCAGGGAATATACTACGTGTGCAGGAAATTCAAAGAAATGACGTTTTTCGCTTCTGTTTGAAAAAATAACAGATAATTTACAATATTGCAGATCAATTAATGTATTGAGTCTTCTGATTTTCACTGCTGAACTCCACTCACATTGGATTATTTAGGATGAGTTTCGTATCTTCCTCATATATTACTGATAAGAATATTTAAAGTACTTTTTTGGGGAGTGCAACAGTAAGGGCTGAAGTGTATCATTACCCAGGCAATTAGTTTTCTAATTGGACAGCCAGCACATTCTAACTCACAGGTACTACAATAATTGCATACTTTGTTCCGTTTAGTCTTAAAAATATGGTTTTGAGGAAGACCGTGAGAGACTGAAAAATGTCAGTAGAGATCTTATCAGTTTCAAAAACTTTACTTACATCAACTCCTGAATGAAGCTCTGCATAAAGAAATTCGGAATCTTCTTATTTAGTTCATTCTCAATGAATATTTCTATCATGTTCGTCTAAAATGATTAAAAAAAAATATTGTATCAGAATTATTGAAGATAAGTGCAGTAGCAGTAGAAAAAAAATCTAGCAGTTATAGCTTGATCATAGTTCTTCATTTTCGTTTCAATGAAAAGGTTGCGAAACTGGTCCATTCTGTCATGCTATCTGAGACTTCACAATTTTATTGCAGAACTCCCCCATGTTTCCAATGAAAAGTGCTAACTTCGCTTAGCTCTCATTTTCAATCAGACACCTCATTTGGGTTGAATGTCTGTGTGGCGCAACTATTATGCTATCATGTTAGAGCAAATAAAAGACAAGAGTTATTTTACTCTCAAAAAATCGGTCAATTTTTAAGCTGCAATAAAACTATTGGTAGAAGGAATATTTTTCTCCAGCACTTACTAAATAAGTAGAGTCCTTTTATGGCCTTTGGTGGCATAGAGTCTCTCTATGAACTTATCAAAAAGTATCGTAAAATTTAAGAGATCTGACGAACAACCGGGGCAAAGCACATAAAAGTTATTTTATTTGCAGTAGAACACTCACATATTCTTGGAAAATGTCCATATAACATAGTTTGTTTTCCTCGCTGTTTTCAAAAGTTTGCCAATACTTCTCCAGGAAATTTTTCTGCATATTAGAGAAATTGTCATCTGTAAAAACGAGGTTGATGTGAGAAAACTTAAAAAATGATGCAACTCATTTAGTCAACATCGTAAAATCAGCTGTGTGTAATGTTAAAGTTTGATTCCAACAGTTAAATATACTGACCGGTGGGATAAACTTTGGGACTTTTGTGAAATCTTCAAGTGTTCAGAATCTGAGTTTAACTCTTGAAGATGTTCTTGCACTCACTAAGTTACTCATTTGCTTTGCGGAGGAAAATTTTGTGTACAAGTTTTTATAAAAATAAGGGAAATTTTACGTAAAATAAATTGTATAACGTTAGAAGCCGTTTAAAAATTGCATTGNGGGGGGGGGGGGGTTGATGAAGCATTACATACCCTATTATGTCACAGAAGCATTAAAAGGAGGATGGGGGTCGAAAAATCTGAAATTTAGCTACGCGTATTTTACAAACCATCCCTAAGCATCCATTCCCAGACAGATCAAAAAGGTATTATGTGGATGTGGAAGCTACCAGCGCTAATTTTAATATAGTTAATTAACTCAGGAGACACAACGTATGCTTTGACTGAAAAATATAAAAAGTAAAATAAAATTTTCTATTAAAACACTTGTTTTACTCTTTTCCTTTTCTTTTTCAACCAATTTTTTCCTGATACTGGTGTATAAATTTACATGAATACAGCCATTTCATTCAAAATGATTGCCATCAACAAAGGGATAAAAGCATAAAAACAGTAGAGTTTATTTCCGTTGATCTACAGTTAAAAAATAATAATCTTATGCCATCTCTGTTCATTTTAAAATGACAAAACAAAGAGAATATTTAACTTGGTTCATGCACTCACCTATTAGAATGTCTTCTATACAACCAATTACTGTGTCAAACGTTGAGGGTTCTCGGCGGATAATTATATCTCCATCACTGTTGTCTAATTGATTGACGATATTAGAGAAATGAGGCAAACCTAAAAACCACACTGTCACATATTTCTTTGTTGCTTTATTGATGAGGGTTACAAGGGAAGAAAATTGTAGGTCACATCAGGTACTGTCCGAGTTGAACTAAGTTTTTAGTTTTCTGGAAGCTATTAAGACGTCAACTTCTGCGAAATTTTGAACGGTAAAGATTTCTTCCATTCAAACTATTTACTGAACAGTTACAAACAATTTAGAGCTTACTTCTTAAATGGAGACAAGTTAAAAGTTGGCACGATTTTGACAACGCCTGATGTGACTGATGGCTCTTCTTTCCCTATAATCCTCAAATAATTTACATCTAATTATTAGTATACATTCGACTATTGGCAATCTCCTTTCGTTGTACGTACTCCTCAAATCATTTACGTTTATTATATTAATAGTAGGTACATTCAACTACATTAATTTGATCCAAGAACGTCTTTGAACCTCGCAGTACCCTCCCAACTCAAACATTTTTGATTGGTGTAACTTGAGAAATGTGTAAATGTGATTTGAGTGAGCAATTTGAAATTCCTATTACTTGGTGATCTCTTACATAAAACTCAACATCACTAGCTACAATGATTTGATAAAATTTATTTCTATCAATAATGCCATCAAAATAAACCTATTTTAACTCCTCAGAACAGAAATAATCAATATACGTGAAGAAAATATCAGAAATAAAACATTCAAATTGGAACATGAAATTATATATTTTAACCTTTCTTATTAGAAAGCAGCACTGGGACAAAAACCATTGCAAACGAGCTTCTGGAATTATTTCGGTACAATACTCCTTAACTTTATTTTATAAAAGATGAAAGTCAAATGTTTTACTCAGAAAAAATCTGCTGGAGCTGTTAGGAAGACTTTTTAGAACTGCATTTTAACATTTGCTTAATCATTTGGTATGATAAGTTGAACTTTTGAACTATTCGAACTTGCAAGCAAGTAAGAAAAGAAGGAATATAAAAGTAACAAAGGTACCTTTGTTACTTAATCAGGCTACTAAAGTATGTTTACAACTTCTTATCAATACATTCACATTGCCTTAAGCATTTTTTAAAGATATTTGGAGGTAGGGGTAAGGAAGAGTAATTTAAGTACTTACTGCTTTTATTTGAATTAATTTTTGTATTCATGATATAAAGATTTAGAATATGACTTTCTTAACTTTGGAATGGAAACAAAAATTCAAAGGTGTTCATAATACTGGAAGACAGGATGATAGGTTTCTAAAACGGTATTTTAAAACACTTCTTTGTTGACATAGCAACAGAGCCATCGCAGAACAATCAATACAAGGCAAGAAGCCCCTGCAATAGAGGAGGTATGCAAACAACACTACTCTCGACATGAAAATGCGAGAGAAACTATCTTCCATGAGAAATAATCTACTTGGCAAATTTTTTTGAGAATTTAGTACACCGTCACAGGCTGCGGAGCTTCCAACATATTTCATGAAAATATTTGGAGTACCGAAAACAGGCTTATCATCATCTGTAACGGAAGGAAGTAAAATTTGTCCAATATTATACATTTTGCCATTCGATCGATACCAACCTGTGACAGTAAAACTCCCGACTTTTAAGTCTTCTGGAATAGAGGTTGAAAAAGAGTATGCGATTCTAATCCACTACCAGTTATGTTCTTTAACTGAGCCCCACTTTCCTATCTTGTTAGCAAATGAGTTAGAAAATAAGTTCTTAGCGTACTTCAACATTTTTTCGACATCAGAAAGCGAGTGATTTTAGAACCAGCCATCGAATTGGCAATTTTTTAAATGCTTGATGTTCATGTTCTGAAATTTTCAATTACAGCTGGATAATGGACATGGTTATGGAATTTTGTGGTATTTTGCGCTGAGAAATTTCTATACAGATCATGATGCTCTTTGACAAAATCATTTATTAAATAGGGTGCACTAGTTTGCATGGAAGGGGAGAGTAAGGTGCCTACTTACAAAAAGAACTTTTCCCAATTCATCATTTTTTCGGATGACAAAATGCTAACTAGAGGAATGAACCAAGTTTCTCATTAAAAAGAAATTCCTAGAGGTTTACCTTCCCATAAGAAATTTTGTCCAACGCTCCTCATGTATAATGTACAGTTCCACTTCCTACAGCTTTACACTGAAATTGATGTACCCCACAAGTCTACCTTCATATAATTTGGTATCGCCAAAAATTATATTCTCCCTTTATTTCTACATTGAACCCCAACTTGGAAAACTTAAAGAGAACGTAAAAGAGTGTGTTCAGTAGAGTTAAATGAGGACGACACCACATGCAATTCTAAAAGAGAGTAGAGATGCAAAATGCAAAGCTAGGTTTGAAACGTTGGCAACTAGTGTCATGCATGATATTTTACCTTCAGGTTTTTTTTGTAATTAGATTTAAAATGAGTGCAAAAAAAATCAGCTGGTCGGGGTAAGGTATGATTATAATGAGAAAGACTGACAATTTTTCAGAGAACTACGATTTTTTATTGTACTGCTAGACGAATACATCCTGTTGTTATATTACAGTGATGCTTGATTCTCCTGCTTTGAAGTAGACTATGTTACTGTTTGACCCAGCAATTATAATTGTTGTGCAGTACATAATTGAGGAGAAAACTGGTGTCTTACTATTCACTTCACATAGAATCCTTCACGTACTGCTTCACGTATTTGCTAATTTGTGGTGAAGAGAGTAACGCGGATCTAAAAACCGATTGCCGATTGCCATTGATGGCTTGTTGATTTGTGGGGCATGAAATTGCTGGGGACGTTGGGTAGGGTAGTCCACCACATTCAAAACTTTCACAGCCTGTAAAAAAAGGAAAAAAGGTATCGAAAAGCATAATTTGAGATTTTTGAACCAAGAATCATCCCTTAAAGTATACAACAATGGCAGTGAGAGCAAGTAAAATTAATAATATTGTACTTTTAGCCAAAAAAACTTGAGAGTTAAAAACTACTCTGCCTCTTTTCTTTTGTAAATTTTTTTTTGTGAAAAATTGCTAACAAATGGAGGGAAGTACCGTGAAGTTCCACCAAGATTTTGCTTCGAGCATGCCAAAAATTTTCAATTCACGAAACTATTGGATTTCTATTGCACCGTTTTTGCGAATGAGCCACAGAGGAGCCAAGAGAATGTATAAAAAAATAACGGAAAGAGCCAATAGCTGAGGTGACAAAATAATGCTCCTCTCATTTCAGCTCTAAGATGGTGACGACTTAAGTACATCGACTTTCTGACTTATATCCATTCGCACTGTCCAACAGGTTTGTGAATCGAATCCTGGTGTCCTATTAATATTCCTCATCGTTTCTGTGACGTTGAACTTGATTTTTTCTTACTTTCATCCAATTGCACACGTAGCCATTCTTTTTGTGTGCTTTAGATAAGTTGGCTATTGTTTGCTTTTTGTTTGAGAGCAAATGCATTACAGATGTCCGATATGCTGCCAAGCGCAAAGGTAAGTTGGTTTACTGTGCGTAACGGTCAAAAGTAAAGAGCTGCTAACTTTTCTGACACAAGTTCCGGTAAAACGTCCTGAATGAAAAAATGTTGCTTCTATACGCACTTTAATAAATAAATCAGTCTGACAAGTCACTTACTTTGAAAGATGGATATATTCCAGATTTAGAATTATTAACAGATTGCTCTTTTAAGGTTGCCCTAGAATAGCCATTCCACAAGTTTCCCTCGTGAAATATTATACTTCCGTTTGTGAGAGAAAGCTCATCAGGATTTTGCGCTGAGTGGGTCTGAGTGACAATTCTTCGCTCTGGAACTTGTCCTTCAAAATAGTAATCGAGGTCAATGGATCTAAATCGATTGAAAGCATCTGGAATGACAGAGTTCATCACTTCATACGCCAATCGGCAGACCTAAAAACAGACAGAGGATTTTTGAAATATTGATGGCTAAAATAGTTTATGAAGTGATAACTCACCCAGCCGATTATATTTTAACAGAGATGTGGCATGTGAAGTCAGAATGACACACTGTGAATATGAGCAGCTGAATGTAACAGAATGTGGGAGTTATTGGTTTGTTGTTGAGTAATGCCCTGAATTTTTAGCTTGACGCGAATTTTGCCTGCTTTTGACGGGAACTGTGCCCTGAATTTTTCACATCAAGCGCGAAATTCAGGGCATTAATGAAGATCTGGACTTGGCTGTTATCAGTTTGTCTGAACTATTCAAGTAAGTTTAATACAAATGTGGGAGAAAATTCAATTTTTGAAGAATGACATTCAGCTACCATGTTCAGCTGCCAAATTCAGCGTGTAATTCTGGCACGAGGGATTTTTCCACGCGTAGCATATATACTAGGCCGATAAAATCGGCTATTGCTCTTTTAAGAGATTGGTATAAAAACCTTAGATTTTGTTGTTCACGCTAAGATATCATGGATTATCAATGGCTAAAGTCGAAAAATATGTGCCTCAAAATACCTTATTGTAAATTTTAACTTGCGTGTTATTTTTTTTAAAAAGAAAACTGACGAAAAGTTTTCACTATAGTTTTCTATGAATTTTGTTCATTCACTCTAAAAAAGATCATACAAGATTGCTAGAATTTATTCTAATTATATTTCCCAGAGAAAAATTAAAAATAGACCGTGACTTTTAAATGTTGCGATAAAAATATGCAATTTTCGCATTTAGCCATTAACATTCGTTCTTTCCTTTCCAGGGGTGTAAGAATTTTAAAGCTCTAAAGTGAATAGATTCTCATTAGAAAGAACTGATGGCAAAATCACCTTGTGAATGTTATGATCGATATCTTAATGAACCTTGCTTTAAAAAGTAGATATTGTAAACCAAGAAACTCCAAACTGTCCATTACAAGAACGTTAGTGATTTCCGCATAAGTCAATTGAATTCTTATGCTGCGTCATCTTAATACAACAGTAGGAGAAAAAGTACATAAGATTGAAGTACCTCAGAGGAGAAAGCGCATACAAGAAAATCAGATCGGGCGAGGTAATGAACGTTCGTTAAAACAGCATTGAGCGCAACTACATTACATTGGTTCTCCTGAACAGTGAAAAGAGAAAAATTTCCATCCCCAAGAATACTATAATCTGGATACCTGGAAAATTAAAAAGTAGATGTTCAGTAAGAAGCTTTCAAAAAAGAAATTCAAAGATGGTTTTTGAAATACTGTGCGTTATACATTTTCTCAAAAAATATTGATACCAAAACAAAATAGTTTATTCCATTAAAAAAGCTGCACCTTAAGATTCATCAGGTGGGAGAGAGCTAAGAAAATCAATTTTCCAGCATTATTATCAGCGCTCACACTGTCAGATCCATACATGTGAGAACTTGGTTGAAAGAGTACGATTTCTTTCCCATGTCTCTGGATGTATACTTAAAATAATTTGAGAGGACTCACTTTTCTTGAATCTCTTCAAACAAATCAACGTCATTAGTTGCCAAGTATATTGCTTTCTCCATCACTGGATAGCTTAAATTCAACCGAGAATAGTAATCCTCAACTTCCGACATGTAATCTTCAACAGGGCGGTAGATTCCTGTATGGTCAAAGCGTGTAGGCCGATGAATGTGAACTCTAAAAAAATGACAACAAAAAAGACTAAGGATAAGCAAATCAATCACGTAAAATCCTCGTAAATCCCGAAAGATTCATCACTATCAATACTGGATGTAGTACATCGACTTCTGTTTGTAAGCTTTTCAAAGCGTGTTAAAAGATTTGTATTACACAGATTTATACAACTCTCATCATGATGTTTGCTATCCAAGGTCTATTATTCTAGATTCCTTTTCTACCTATCTTCATATACATCTTCTATCTTTAAATCTTCGTCTCTTGGCAAAATTAACAAGACCATAAAAAAAACTAGTTCGCATGTCAGAAAATCAGCCAAGGCAGAAAAGATTATGAACAAAATACAAAGCTGTACATCAAATGAAATTACCTTATCTTTTGGAGGAAGAAAAAAAAATAAAGCTGCATCTCATCAACAATTTACTATTAAAATAGATATTCATTTTTAAATTTTTCAGCACTCATCGCAGTTTTTTTTTTAAAAAAAAAAAACATTTCCCCCTATTTCTCCCAAAAAATGAAAATTTTGAATAGGCATAGCTTATTCACTGTCTGAAAATATAAAATTTTATACATTTATTAAATTTCCAATGGAATTTCTCTTGATAACAAAAAAGTATTTGTAGATACTAACGCAAAGATAGAGTATAACAAAGGGATAAGACATGTCTTAAAACATTACCTACCCAACTACTGGATTGAAAAACTCAGTTTCATTGGCAAATGTGTTCAGAGCTTTTTGAACACTCGGTTGATACTTCATCAAATAATGTAAAAACTGAGCAGTCCACCAAACTTCAGGGTTGCTATGAACCTTAATAAGTCTGGAAGCTAAGTCCTTAGGAATTGTTCCAGGTAAGAAGTCTTGCCTTCCAGAATATGCTGAAAGGGGCATTAAGTCTATGGTATTAGCCTGAGGGGAATCTGGAAATAAAACAAAATAAATAAATTAGAGTGATCTTTCCTCTTAATCTTGATTCTATCAGGCTACAAACTACATATACCTCCAGTAGCTGCAAGAAAAAAAATTGGGCCGCATGTATTGGAATGAGAACAATGTAGATTCACTTCTTACAAAAAAAAAATATGGCTGGAATACTTTAAGTGACAAAATGGTAGAATAATGCTCGACCTACACTATTCTAAGGAGGAAATACCAGACAAAAATAAAAAATTAGAATTACATACACAGCTTCCTGCAGAACCCTACTTAGCATTAAAATACCATCATAAATACGGCGCTGGGCACAGCACTAAAGTACAATCCTTGCTCTATCTGCAGTTGCTTGCTTTCATTTAAAATTTTAACAGAGATGAGAGGGAATTCTAATTGAATATTGATTCCAAGATGTGTGAGCTAAATATAATAGATTTTTTCTTTTTCAAAACAAATCAAAATCATCAGTAAATGAAGGAATTCTGATGCCATTTACCTTTTCCGCATGTTCCACTGATAGGTAGGAACATCGATTCCCATCGTCTCATTCCATGATGCTCATCACCTTCCTTCACTATTAATGTTCTGCCATGACCAAAGGCAATCATCAAACAGTAGGTAAGATGGTGAAGGACACAGGCATAACAACATGTCTGCAAAATAAGTTAGCCAATATGAAAAATGCACCAGAGGACGAGGAATGAAGTTGATCGCAGCAAGTGTAACAGATTCCTTCGTCCAAAGTAATTGAATTTTGTAAAATTACTGATTAAGTTTTTATTAAAGAAATTCAGTACTAACAGTCTTTATTGTACACCCCTCTACTTGACTTTAAGGACAGCTGATCATTGTCATCAAACGGAAAATTGTGCAATTTTATTTTGTGTTCTCTCAAGAGTATTCCAGTATGATAATTTCCTGTATAAATAGCACCTCCTTTATATTTATTTCAATAAATAAAAAATAAGGCAAACTTTGACATTGTAGCTATCAAGAAACGTAGGTCACACTAGTTTTAATATTGATTTGCATGGTTTGACTGTAGTTCAGGGGATCATTTAGAGCAAAAGAAAATTCAACACTGTGGGCAAAGGTTGAGAGACTTTAATCTCAATTGCTGTGTTATAAAAGTGATGTGTTTGCTTTATCTCCTCAAAGAAAAACAAATCAATATTACTGACTGAAATTTTTACAGAATATTCCTTGGGAGAAAAAAAGCAGAAGAAATTTTGATATTAATTTAGCTCTCTTTGGAGACAAAATATTTGGGTCAACTTGCGACATTGTAATACATTCAAAATACATGCTTTTGAATTTTTAATGGATAATTTCAGTTGAAAATACCTTGATCAGAGTACACGTAAACTTTTCTGCTCGGAAGCAATCTGTTGGATTCTGGAGCCTCTCAATACGCTGCTGAACAAGATTAGCGAGGTCATTCAGTTCATGCCAACGCCATGAATCATGACCATCAAAGGAACTAATAGAGGAAAGATCTTTCAAAATCGATCTGAAACAAAAATAAATACAGTTGCACTAAGATTGCAGATATAAAGTAAGCACAATTTTTGATTTTTTTTTTTTTTTAAAAAAAATAGTACTTAAGTCTTCAATGAAAAAAGGAGGTGAATAATATTTTAGTGACATACATTGGAGAAAAACGAGTTTAAGGGCAGAAATTGAACGACTCTTTTTAAACAAGTCAATAAGAGTATGTTGCACAGCTGAAAATCGACTTTCAATGGTCAAACCTTACACAATGTTAACTCAAAGACAAATTTAATTGTTTAAAATCACCAAATAGGTACTTAATTTTCCCTAAAGTCCACCAGCCACTTTCTTTCACCATAGGCGAGGAAAAGTCGCAAAATTCTGTGCATTAGTGTAGATCAAGTCATCCTCCAAGAAATTGAAAAGTAAAAAGAAATTTGGGATGTTACAGAGGTAAGTCATTCCACAGTTTTACTATCGATGCAACATCCTGAGAGTTTTCGTGCTTTGGGCTTTGTCCCGCAGCAGTTAGGTCAGTCTACCTATCTAAGTACCTTTCAATGTAACATTATGTTCCAGAAAAAAAATGAAAGGAGATAAAACTAGACAAGGTAAAGAGAGGCAGACACCCACCTTTTATACTCTAGACCCAAACTCAGTAAATTATTAAAATCGTCATTCAACTCTGGCACTTTTTTCTTCTTTTCTTTGATCACTTTTTTCACCTGACTTGAGATGAACCACCAAAAATCTTGAAAATCGATGTACAATTTTCTTCGTAAAGTTTCATATTCAAGGCTTGGCACAAAATTGAATCTTGGCATTAGAGGTGGTACGATTTCTGAAAAAGAGACAAAAAAAACTGAGGAAGCAAAAGCCATTTCTGCATCAGGCGCCACACAAACACACAAGGAACTACTGGGGGAACATAGTTTACAGATTCCTGTATTATTCGAATCGTGAGAAACTCAAGAAAGTTCATTGGATACATTTTCTTTCTCTTGCATCAAATTTTATCTGACAGTGCTTCATTTTTACTGAAATTAAGTTTATCCAATACTTGTACAGAAACAGAAGCATGCCAGAGATTAAACATGCGTAGGAAGTCTTTTTTCTTTAAATGTAAATTTTAAGATTCCTTTCTTTAATATTAAACTGTTTACAACTGAGAGAATATTTCACCATAAGCAACTACTGTGAGCTTTATCTGATGGGATAAACCCTTAGAGAGTAAACAGCAGGAGTGCAGAGAGTTTCAGTCTTCCGCATTTCCCTGCGTTTGCCCGTTAGCTTTTCACATTTTTCTCAGCGGCCGCCAAGAATATTTCCTTCCATAATTTTCAAAGATGACCTGTTTTTTCGCTTGTCAGGTTTTCAATTTACAAGGCGTTGATGTTAATTATCCTAAACTTAGGAATGAATTTCAGTACTCTGGTTGCCCGATCGTGGTCGTCACAGTAGCAAAACTTCGGACCCTGAACATTTCCCTATTTCTACAATTTTAAGGGCTTTCAACATATTCACACACCTGCCAGTAACCCCAGTAAATGGCAAATGGTACTTACTGGCTTGGAAAATTCCAGTGGGTTGATTAGTGACTCTATACAAAGGTACTAAATTTGGAGGTGTTGGTCGAACTAAACGTTTTCGAGAACGCCATGGGGGATACCTTTAACAAAAAAGGCAAGATGTAAATACAAGCACACATAAGAAGATAAGGAATATGCTCCTTTTTCTTCATCATTATAATCCATTTCTAATAATCTAATCCATTTCTAATTTTTTTATAATCATTTTCTTTATCATTTTCTATATCATTATTTATCTCCATTATCTTTATCATTATATCTCATCAGAAGTTCTGAATAAAGTTTAAAAAACAACAACAACATTGTAGAGATTGTTTCAAGAAGAAAGTATGCAATGCAGATGAGATTTGGCTCGTGCATCAAGATGAAACCTCATCATCTCTCGTCAAAAATTTGAAGCGGAGGAAAAATAGTTTGAAAATGAGAATACTGGTTAAATTTTGGCCTTTACAATTTATATTGGGTCTTACAGAAGAGTAAATTTCAAATTTCTTTTCTCGGATCAAACACGCTACGACTTAGTGAGTTTTTAGTTTGGTCCAAATGCCACTTATGGCTAATTGAAGAACCTACTTACATACTACAAAAGTAATGTCATGATACATACCCAAAATAACATTTCTCAAACAGAGTTTTCAACTCTGCATTCTTTTTTTCAAGGAATTCAACTTTATCTGAAGTTTTGACTAGGCTTTTTAGTGTTAGCAACTGAAATTGTGCATCACGATTTAAAATATACACTGCACAAAATAGAGATACAAACCAAAAAACTACAGCAAAACACACCCCTCGATTCCATACAATATTCCTCGCAGTTAACATCACAGTTGTTGCGATCATTTCATTGAAACAAAACCTGTTTATTTAATCCTCAAAGTAAGATTTAAGTGCACGTGCTAATAAACACTGCAACTAAAAGGGTGTAAAGTGATTTAACTTGTAGAAGGATCTGATCCGTTTTTCCCCCCAAAATTTTCATCATTAAGAGAAGGGCATTTTTTCCCTCTTCTCTGCTTAGTCACGACGAGAAAAGAATTCAAAAGAGAAAAAAGTGTTCCGAGGCTCATGAATCTAACATTAAATAACCGGGGGCTGAGATTTTACTAACAGACAGCATAAAATGAGGAGCATATCAAATTACAAAGGATCAAAATATAAATTCTGAGTGAATCTAGTAACAACTGAACCAAACATGGGTACCAAATAAAATTGGAATCATTCCGAATGATGGGAGCTTGTTACAGAGATGACAGACCATAGGTGCACTTTGAATTGACATCTGTCCAAACAATTTGATGGGATGTCACACTTGTTCTGCCCATGAAAGAGCAAAAATAAAGTTTGAAATGAAATATGTAGGTAATTGACTGCTGAGCAGGGTCATGACATGATAGCAGTGAATATATTTGTATACTTATTATTTCTTACGTCCCATTTTTCCTGATTGTTGTTGCCAAAATTACAAAAATTCAAGATTTTTCTATTTTCAAGGAATTGAAACATGAAATAGATTCTAATACATCATCTGAGATTGGCTATTTTACAGCGTTAGTTTTGAAAGAAATTAAGATGGATTTACCAACTGATTTCACTGAAATTTAAAATGAAATAAATGAAGTTTGAAATTCCTTTGATACTATGAAATTGAAGGCCAAAGTGCGAAACCACATAACTCTATTGCAGCATTTCAAAATTTCTGCTTCGACCTATTTTATTTTTTCTGAGGGAAACATATCAACTTTATAGCTTGTAATTTATACAGAAGATTTGCTAATATAGAAGAAAATTCAAGTAAGTTTTAAAGAAATTAGATTGACTAGTTTTCCAAAGAAAAGCTGAAGTATGACAGGAAGTCGGTCACGTTTTAAACGGAGATACGTGGTTTTGCTTTTTGGCCATCAATATATGCATTGGTAATTATTTGATACAGAATCCTGCATGTCCACCAATGGCAATTTAGAAATGAAAAAAATATTGAGTACAAGATATCAGAAAATCAAAGAAATCGTCAACGTGGGTGAGATTTTACTGAAATTGAAACTTTAAAAGTGGTAAATCTTGGAATTTCCTTGGAATGTCATGGAATTTGTGCATTGGCAAAGAATGACTAAATGCAGAATTTCGTTTTTACCACAATAGCAAAACAGAAATAAACAAATATTCAGTGCTGATTTTACCTATTTTTTGAAAAATCAATTGTTATTGACTCAAAGTACAATACCCTCAGGAGCTTTATTCATCAACATTGTAAAATTAAAGCACTTTGCAATTGAATCCCTTGTTTCGGAAATTGCCAAACTGTGAGGAAAAATCCACGAGGAAACAAAACACTGAGCTCACAATCAGCCAAATTGTTAGCAAATGAAAAATGTTTCCAGCGCGTGTTGTTATTGTTGCAAATTTTTATGTCCTTTCAATTGTCTGATAAGAACATTCTGATAATGATGGAGTTAGGAACTTTAGACAAATAGCAAAATTTGCATTTATCTTTTCAATGTAAAATGAAAAGAAACAGAGGAGAAAAAATATGCATAACCTTACAAGCCATTTTTTGGAAATATTCAAACCAGAATTTTCACTTTTAACAAGTTGGGTAGTTTCCAAAGCAAAACATTCAATTTTCTTCTTGCTGTAATTTTAAACTTGGTTCCTTCTACTTAAAGAGTCAATGGAAATTTCAGTTTGATCGATGTGTTATTTTTGCTTTCAGAACTTTACCTTGGGGGCCCTAGTTGTGAAACACTGTAAATTAGGTACTCCTTCACGTTATAGACAACATTTGTTACAAGTTTTATTCGATGAAAAATTTACAGTAACAGTAAAAATAGGAGCCTTAAATTAAGGAGGACAAAGGAAACTTACAAATTATTAGACAATTTTTTTTCTGGGCTCTTGCTTTGGAAGGCTTCAATTATATCTACTGAGTCTACTGTAGATGCCAAGTTGTAATTTGTAAAAAGCAACATGGATGAATTCATAAGACTCAGTCTTTCATATTGTCCCTGCTTACAAATTACAATTTTATGAATAAAAAATGGTTTTACATGTACCAAGAGTACATGAGGGTACAGATAGTTAGTTCTTCAGAGCGAAAATTAGTTGTAATCACAGCCTTAAAATTTTCTCACTTTGCAAAAAAGTCAACAGTGTGCTTCAAGCCGAAAAAGTTAAAATCGCGAGCTTTTTCTCATTTTTTGCCGAGAGGGAGGAAAACGGGTTTTTATTGAAATGTTACCTCATCGCTCAATCATTTCCTACACCCTGAAGTTTACAAGTTTAATAATTGCAAAAGAACATTTGCCGATGCATTTACAAGATTACAAAAAAAAAATTGAATTGAATCATCTAAAAATTCTTCAATGTTGTAGTGGGCATTCATTTCTAATCTTATTTTCAACCGATTGAGGAATGGGAGTTGATAATATCTTAGATCATGCGATCCTAGGATCACTGTTTTTGTGGTAAACCCTCGGATTTTTTTTTCTTCTGGGTCGTGCGAAAATCGCGATTGTTGCTTAAAATTGAAAAAACTGTGGAAGACTTCCACAGTTGTACTGTCAGTGTTTCCACTCTTTTCGTTAACTGTGTGAAAACTGCAAAAATTGTGGTTGCCACTTCAAATTTAAAAATTGTAGTGTGGAAGTCATCCACAGTTTACCCAAAAGAAAGAAAGAAAGAAAAAAAGTCATCAATTTCTGTGGAAAGGGTAAAAACTGTGAAAGCATTTGTTGCTTCGGATCGCTGATAATATGAAAATCACAGAAAATCACTGGCCCCTGGATAAACTCTTCCTGTATTTAACCTTCATTTCATTGCTTAGGGCGTTAAGAGCCTTATTTTTACTTATAACCTCATTTTTCATGGACTAACTCAAGCATAGATGTTACAGAACATTACCTCCTCCGATATCCATGTCCAGAGCTCATTCTGCCTTCAGTTTGCGAATTAATACACATACCTTCCTTAATAAGTAATCTTAAATGGTGCTGTAAAAATACCCTCATCAAAGAATGAAATATTACAAATATTCTGATTTTTTTTTGCATGATGAGGCCAACATCCAATGTCAAAGAACATCCCTCTGTGGTTATCTGATACTTAAAACATAGAGTGAACTCAGGCATAATAGTAATCTGGTGTAACGTTTAGTTGTACAATTCTTGGTAATCTTCTACTCGGATAGAGAATTCTTCATATTTGTATTTATTACATGATGGACATAATTCTGCCGATTTAGATTATTATCCATTGTAGCGCCTAATACATAAATACCTCCCAAAATTAACGACTTCAATAATATCAACTTCAGTTTAAAATCTTGGAAAAAGAGCAAGAGGGATGATGTTGATGGTAAAAGACCTTTTGATATAAATCATCAAATTATCAGTATTAGAGTGAGCAATGTTTCAACATTTCAACACACAAACAATGTTTCCTCGACAAACTCTGAGGGTCAACCAACTTTATGCTTTGTACTCCAAGTTATGTACTTATTATACGCTACCTCAAGCAGAGTGTTTAAATGCCGTGTAAATTTGAGATACAGAGGAGAATGTTTACGGGCTATTTGCTCCTCAAATGGTTTCATTTTTACTTCATGAAACCTTCTTAGAGCCTCATGCATTCTGATAGCTTTTTGTTCTAAATTGGCTGTCAGCGGAGGGAAGCACTTCCAAAAATGTCGTAAAAGCTCGTTCAACGACCGGGTTAAGGTCCTAAGTTCTGCTTCTATTTGAGGGGGTATTGACTGTTCTAAAGAGTTATCTTGTAGACCTTTCATTAGGATGCCACCAGGGGTGAGTTCTCCCAACGCACTGACGGCTGATGAGGGGTTGACTAAAGCTGTAGCTGGCACAGCATGATATTTCCATTTTTCTAGTTCTAACCTTGCTCGCTTTCTACTATAACTTGTAGGCTTAATGCTGTGGCCATTTCTTTGGTGCATATTTACTGAGCCATTTTTAAATTTAAGTTCTAATTTGGAGGCTGATGTTGATTCCAGCCCTTGCAATACGTTCTTGTAGTTTACAAACGTGATATTTGAATCTTGTGATTTTTTCTCTTCGGTTAAGTCTGGATATTCAATTCTATCTCCATTGATACCTCTATTCAGGGGGCAGATCAATTTAGTTGGAGTGTCTGAATTGGTGGAGGGAGGGCCACCTTCTGACCGGGTAATTTCTTTTGCTTCAGGGTCTGGATTCTTTTGGTTTGCTTTCATTATCATTATAGAATGCTGATTAAACCTACGAATAAGTTCTTTGTGTACGCCTAAATTATCGGAGGAACTACCACTTTTCTCTACTACTTCTTCACAGCCATCATCAAACCGTGTGAGATTCACGGTTGGATCTGAAATCCCACCAGCTAAATCTTCTTTAAACTTTTGCTCATCTACTTTACCACATTCTACAAAAATATCCTCTCCACCTGGATGCAATCGATCCTTATGAAAATAGTGTGATTGGAAAAATTTGGTCCAGAACTCTGCTTCGGACACTTTCATTGGAACACATTCCATGTACTTTTTGTGAACAGCTGGATATGCTTTAAAAATACATTCAATGACATCAGGTGTTAATTTATATTTCAGGCCATTGCAACCATCCGTTTCTGATCGTATATCCGACAAAAATGCTGGTGACACACCGATAGCCTGAGGCTTAGTTGTATTTTGTTTATTTACGTACAAGGCACTGTGTTGAGACCAGAATTCATCAGCAGTCATTACTTTGGCCATGACTAGATCCCTATACAGATGCATTAAAGTTGGATTATTACGTAGCAGTCTACTTTTCTCTTCAAGTTCTTTATTAACTTTCATCTGAAATTTTGGGAGTAAATTTAGCAACAAGTTTTTAACTTTATCCCTATCCGCTAGACATGCATCCATCCCTTTACTATTACAAAATTGAAATGTTGTAGTTTCACCGGAATGAAGAACCAACTGGAGCTGTACTTTCGCCTTGCCTTCTGGTGATATTTTCTGCTGCTTGATGTCCGTGTAAGGGTGACTGACGGAAACAATATCTCTATGGTCCATCATAAAAGCTATGCGTTCACTCATAAGGTAAAGCGTTCCTTCATTCTTCTTGCACCTCACACTTTCCACCTGCAGCAAAACGTCTTCAGAGACAGTGGCCATTTTCAGAGTGATATCAATCTGCCAAATTTAAAACTCTTCGTATGAATCCTTTTGCACTGAACCTGCAAAATAAAAGATAATAATAATCGAACATTAGATCATCAGTAGAATCACACAACAATGGTCTAATGCCATTCCAAATATTATCAACCTACTGCAAGCTCACCGTTCGGATAAATCCTTTGAAGGGAAGAAAGCAGAGACACTATAGAGAAATGGTAAAATTAACAAAAATTGATTTCCATACTTTTTCATAAAGATTACTTACGATGAGAAGTTCTGCTGGCTGAAATCACTTGTGCTCAGTGTTCGAAACTCACAGGCGTCAATGCACCAAATGCGCCTAAGAAATCGGTCATGATGCCTAAAAATGAAGGCTCTGCGCCAACATGGTCTCTAAAAATCCCCCCCCCCCCAAAGAAAAAATCCTGATTTTTCTGTTTGGTGATTTGTGGAGCTTTTCTCTTCCCCAAGTTACAGCTACTAGTTCTGTGACTAAAACATCTTGCGTCTCACTTTTCACTAAATGCGGCATGCTATGTAAGTAGGCAAAAATTCAATTTGGCCCCTAAAGAGTCTTCAATGGCCCCTAAAAATCGAGGTTGATGGGCCACATGGCTCCTGCAACTCAAAGGTGAGTTTCAAACACTGCTTGTGCTGCCAAAAACTGGAACAAACATTTATTTCAGTTGAAGAATTTCATCGGGTTGAAGATAGAAATTTTGGGTGCTTAGCCACGAGTATCTCTGATTTTAACCAAGATTCTTCCCCTTCAAAACACTAATTCCTGTTTCTTATAACTAATAATAAAATTCATGTTTAAAATCAATCAAAGCGAGAATTTGTAAAATATTAAGTAATTAACAGGTAATATATTTAAATAAGAGTATTTTACCCGCCTTAACTGTTGCCTTGAATAACATCATCTATTCATCAAAAAGATCTTTTGAGTAATTACCTACTCAAAATAATTTCTTAGGCACACTTGAGCTTTTTTTAATCTATAGAATGCATGGAACACGATAGATTGGGTTATATTCATTACCAGCACGTTCCACACGAGGCTAGGATTGCATGTAACCTACCTTGGAAGAGCGATCCAAGTGTTCCACTGGAACGCATGGAACAGGCTGGACCACAACAAGGAACTGGGATAAAAGATTAACGCAGTTCATCGCAATCCTCTGCAGGTTGAATAATCAATTCCCTAATCTCTCCAACAAAAGTTGTTAAAATTTGGATGGAAAAGTGTTGCCAACAGAGGATTTTACTCAAAAACATTGAATCACGTAGACCATGCGCCCGGCTTGGTTTAGTACAGGCTGAGCGAGACAAGTCTCTCGGAGCCCCATGATGGTGGGAAGAGGAAGGAGAGAGAGCGTGTGTCTCAAGCACTCAAAGAGAGTGCAGGAAGGAAATGGAGAATTCATTCGTGCACTTGGTTTTTCACGAATATCTCGTTTAGAGTCGATTTTCAGACAAAAATCCAAGGAAGAAAAGTTTTAGAACTAATAATTTTACAACCGAATGGCAATGTTTCATTTTTCTGAACTAATTATTAACCAAGAAAAAAAGCCTCACAATCCGACAAAAATTCACTGGAGCCGCTACTGCGCATGCGCAGATGTGCACTATTGAGACACACAAACTCATCGTTGCAGGTCGTTGCTAACACTCATCGGCGTGCGAATTTTCAAAAGTTGTCTCACCCTCCGTAACACAGAATGTACAGACTACGTGATTCAAAGTTTTTGATTATAGATGATTGTTTTTTCAGATGATCAGGAATTTTTGTATTTGGTGTTGAGCAGTTTTTCACTAATCTTAAGAGATCATCAAGTTCTACAGTAAATTGTCAAGCTTTTGAGAATATTGACACAATTTGTCCATTGATATGGAGAACAACGAAGACAGTTAGACATTGGACATTTTCATTTCCTTGCAGTCCCAAAAAAGTTCAGATCCAAGTTGATCCTTACCCTTTAAAAATTTAGAGTGATTTTTGGAATTTGATGCCATGCATTGAATAGCTGTTAAGTGTCATGGGTTAAATTAAAAGTAAGGTAACCAAAATTCAAGATAAAAAAGATTTTACAAGATAAAATGATGACATTATAGCATAGCTTCAACCTTGGCAGATGCTTTAGCCAAAAAGTCTTTTAAGAGTCCTTACACGGCTAAAAAAATGGAGACAACAACAATAAAACCAAGGACGATTTAGTGTCAGAAAGAGTCTTACGTTGCATACACTTACATTTAGGTGATATTATCCTTGAGGATAATCCTAGGCGAGTGTTGGGGTACGGTGTCAAGAAATTTGATGAACCCTCTGGTTCCACATACTGTTTCCTTTTCTTCTGTTTGAAGTCTAGAAATTCAATGAAAATTGATGGTTGAAATTGATGGTATAGACAATAAAAGATGTACTCGCTAATGACTGAATGCAAAAGGCAGCAAAATTGCTCGGTTGCTCGTCTTGGGCAGAAGTTTTGGTGGTTCGACGAAGTTGAGATTTTTCTTGATACTTTGAACAATGCACGGATGAAAACGTGGGAAATTAATTATGGTCAGTCAGACATAAGGACTTTTAAAAACTGCCTTATCACGTAACACACATAAAGTTTAAAAAAAAAAAATTATAGAAAATAGAAAAGGCGTGAGAGGAGCAGCAAAGCCATGATAATAATAAAATGAATGAGGTTAGGGTAGCTGGTGCAGTGACGATGACTCACCAATGTCCCAAAAATGTACAACAGTCATCAAAATGTAACATTTTGAGGTTATGTGTTTGTTGTGCAACTGGAAACCCTCGTGTCGTGTCAGTGTTTTTGTCAGTCCAATGCGTTTTTCTATCTAAATCATGCCTAAAGCTCAAGTTTTGATAGTGGATACAAACGCTTTTATCCAAAGTTCTAATCTTCAGGTACGGTATTTCTGATTATCCCTCACTGGCATTCACAGAGATGTAGATTCCAGCAACGGCAAGGTATCGCCAAGCGGACCTGAGCTCTTCGCTCCATGTTACTGCCAAGATTGGATGGACAGTAATGGAAAGCATCTAACGTGTATTTCTATATAATGTCAATCAAGTGTCTGATGGAAGATGCAGTCGTCAAATAGGGCCAAATCTGTCATTAGATTGTCTACCCATCATCACTCGCCCGAAATACTTTTATTTGGCACAAGGAAATTTCCAATACAGCAGGCTGACAACCTTACTTTTCAAGGTCTCTATGCGGATCAGCCTTTTTATTCTCATAAATTTGTAGTCTGCCATTTTAAAGTGCTGCTGTTTCATACCAGTGGAAATGAAACTTTTCTTCATCTCACATCAGAACTCCCATCGAGTATGACAGTGGCTTAAGAATTCTTTGCAAGTATGCCAAGCCTCCACTGTCTAGTAGCAATGGAGGATTACACTTAGTATATAAAACTGTCCGCTGCAACTGACAGAAGTGAACAATGGTCAGATTATCTGACACCAGTCGTAGATAGTACTGGATGTCTTAACTGTAAGGTGGATACAACCATGAGTCGTAACCGACTTAGAAATCTCTTGTTGTGAAGTCCTAATAGCCTTTTCATAGATTTAGGTTAAAATCAATGGTTTCAGCTTGTTTCCTTTCAATACCCCTTTTTTTGCCCTTTGCTCATTTCTAAAATTCTCTCTGTTTAGGATATTGGTGAGAAAATTGTGACATGTACAGATGTCCTAGAGGAAGTGAAGAACAAACGTCAACTGCGGCGTCTTGCTGTCGTTCCTTATGATATTCAGGTGCTGGAACCATTTCCAGAAAACATCAAGTTTGGTGAGCATGCTTCCCTTTTGTTATTTTAATAATTATGAAGGAGATGCATCTATGCTGTGAAGGAAAATTTTTGCATCAAGATTGGACACATTTTTGAAGAATGGTGGTGGACTTGGTGCATCTAGCACTGTCAGTGATACAAGTCAAGAAAAAAATATTCTCATTGTCAGTGCAATGTCTCCAATATTTCATTTTTTTATTTCTACACTTCACTTTTGTCCAGTGGACGGAAGAAGTCTCAAAGGGCTGCACTCAGTCTTTTAAATTTTCTATTACTTATAATAATTTATACCACAAAATGAGAAATCAAGCTTGAGCTGTTTGGGTCTTTAAACTTTGGTTCAGTAACAGCTTCTAAAGTCCAAATACCATTTAAGATGGAACGTCAAATGTAAAATTTACTTGAAAAATTATTTCCATCAGTCATGAAGTTTTCATCATGAGATCAAACTTTTGACCCATGGAAAATCTGCAGGTGCTCGAAATTTGTTTAATCTCATTTATGAATGGAAACTGCCAAGAGAACTGAGTATGAGAATAGCGATACATTATTTCTCAATTGAATAGTTATCGGAAGAGTGCTAACAGAATGATCTGACCTGCTTAAATACATGTGTTTATATGGGAATTGCTGCCCTAGATGTAAGGCACTATACAGGCATTGCAAGGCATCATCTCACGTGGAAATCTGATTTTCTTTTTCAGAAAGAAAGTCTGAAATTTGTTTCCAAATTTCCTTCTATTACTCTAATCTCTGAAAGCAATATATCCTTGTGCCAAATCTTCATTGCATGAATCCAGATTCTCAGCTTCAGCCTTTTCAGTTCAAACGTGAAATTTTCTTAACATAATTTATTCTTTTTTTACAGTAACTGAGTTCTCAAAGAAAACAGGGGACTATAGGAGCTTATCAGCCACTGATATAAAAATAATTGCCCTAACTTACCAGTTGGAGAAGGAAAAAGTGGGCTCAGATCATTTAGCTACAGAACCAAAACAACAAAAAGAAATCTGTGCCACAAAGAAGTCAGTCATAAATTTAACATCCATTCCTGGTTTCTACTACCCCAAAAGTGTAAGTAATCTTTTGTCACCCTTCTTTAGTGTCACTGGATTTTAGAACTCAATCAAAACGTGTTCTCCTCATTTTATTATTATGTGATTTGAGAACCGAGGAATTTGCTTTTCAACAAATTTCTTGTAGCTTTCTGCTTTCTCAAAAATCGTCACTCTGACAAATGCATCTTCAGCAACAAGGTGAAATATAGCGAACTTCTTGATAGAGACGTCAGAAAACTGTCAATAACATGATGCATAAAATGTCAGGCTGATTAAGCAGACAGCAGCGCACTTGACGCCATCTAACAATTAACCGACATTTGCAAATTCTGCAAACTGACAGTATCTGTGTTACAACCAGGAATTAAAAAATTGTTGTGACCCTGGTTTTATAGTTCTTATCAGTTGCTTGCTTAAGTTTATCTCTCTTTTTGGAAGTGTAACTGGCATCATGAGAAGCAAGATATATTAAAATATTCGCATGCAACAGCTGTCACTAAAAGATGCTAACAAATCAGTTTTAAGTATTAAACAGAAATCAACAACGAAAATAATTTTTCTCAGAGTCAGAGGCCTCAGTAATTTATCTATTCTTAGATGTTCGAGCTTGCTTCTGTAAAATTTAACTCTTCAGTGATGTTACGTTTGTTTGTATCAATTCAATTGCTAATTTCATCAGCCATATACATTTAGCATGAAAATAACTCTGAAAACATGAGTAGCAGCTTAAATGGAATACATGATCTGCATCAACCTTGATTAGCCGCCGCAACTAGAAGCTTTTTTGAAATTATCAGCTGAGTAAAAGGACGGACCAAGTAAATGTATCGAATGGCTGTCTTAGCAACTTTTCTCATGCCCTACCAGAAAAATATCTTATTGGTAGATCTTTCTGTATTAGCTGCTTATCATTTTTATTGAGGAAGTCAAGAATTTGATCCTCCCTCATAGATTTAATTTAAAAGTTTCTTTCTTTTCGAATTACATCTATTAGATGTAATTTAAAAGTTTCTTTCTTTTCGAAAAAAATCTATTAAATAGGAAAAGTGATGCAGCAGGAAAATCTGAAGTCGATATTCACTCTTTTTGCAACTAGCTTCAAAATGAGACCAAGCGCTGGAAAAGATAGGGTGTCCAGCAATCCAGTGACTGCTGATGGAAACTGTGGTGGACCGACAGACAGACATGCTACGGGCTTCATATGTATAGATAGGGGATCAAATCTACTAACAAAAAGTGTGCGTTTTCAAGGGGAAAATATCATCAATGGATCATTTATTCTTATTTTCAGTGCATTCATTTAATGCATCTTTTCTTCTGTCGTTTAATTGGTGATATCTTTCAAGGAAGTCTGTTATCTCACATTTATTGATCTTATTTCAGAAAAACGCAGATGAAGATAGTGGTAGTAACAGTGATGTGGAAGCTGAAAATGAAGTTTGTGAAAAACTTGCTGATCTGAAGTGCAATGAAGAAGAAAGCAAAATTGATCAAGTTCAAGGAGAAACCTCAGATGAGAACAAAGCAAGTGATGATAATGAGCCGACCGAAGAGTTTCAAGATGCCGTGGATTCTAATTTTGTTGTTAATATGAGTGAAGAAGGATGTGAAGGAAGTGATAATAACTCTGTTGATGATGATGATGACTTTGAGGACGATGATAGTTCTAATGAAGATTATGAAGTTGATGACGAAGGTTGGATCACTCCGGAGAATATCATCGAAATGAAAAGGAAAATGGGCGGAGAGTTGATAGAAGATAAGCCTGTAGTCGTTGGATGTTTAACCATGGATTTTGCCATGCAAGTAAGTAGTGTCTATTTGTAATAATAATGGAAAGAAGAAATGGGGGCTCATGGGTGTGTTTCGAGAATGGTCAGGTGAGTGTCTTTGTCCACTGTTCTGAAGGGCTAGTGTGCAAGTGTTATCACCTGTGTCCTTGATGATTTGTTAAGCACATGTAATTCGAAAGAGCTAATTCATTTACGTAAATGCTTACGTGAGGAAAAGAAAAATTCTGCTCACCTCCTGACTCTTATCTATACATGACTCTTGGGGAAGACTAAAACCTCTTAGTCTGTCTCAGTCTAGAAAAAGAAAAAAAATACAGTTTTATCTTTATGTTACAGAATTTCCAGTAATATTTTATTTTTTAAAAGGATACTGATCCAGCATTACTCTTAAAATGATTGAGAATGTACTTCTAAATGCATAAGTTTACTTTTAATATGTGCACTTTTTACAACTTAGTACTATTTGTTGAGTGAAAATATGCTATGCCTTTTGTTAGCCTCTTACTTAATTTATGGGCAGTCCCTGAGAGGCCGCGTATTTGGGCCCAAGTTAAAGTCAGTTTTCTATAAAAACCCGCTTGTCATGGACAATGTGCTTCTCCTTACCAAGACGGTGCAAGGAAGGATATCTCTTACTGTTAAACATTGGTGCTAGTGCTGAGGGCAGATTTTCATCATTATTTCTCCCATCATGGCGCTAAACTCCTCTATCAACTTGTTTTATCTGAAAGTGTAAACATTTCAAGTTTCTCCATAATTGATTACAAAAATATTTTTTTCATTTTGCTGATTAAGGTGGGGATACAATGCCTTACTTGCTTACATGGATGCCATACCACCGACTGAAGGATTGATCCACAAAATTGCAGAATCTGTTGAATCACAATCTGATAAATCAAGTTTTTATTGTAAATAGAAATAGTCTTAATGAATGGACTAATAATTAAATGACCAGAGATGAAAATTCCTTTTTTCTTTTCTTACAGAATGTATTGAAACAAATTGGTTTGAATCTTGTAACTATTGACGGCTATGTCATCAAGCAACTTCGCACATTCATATTTAGGTGCTACTCATGCTTCAAGACAACTAGTATTATGACGAAGATATTTTGTCCTAATTGCGGTAATAAAACATTGAAGAAAGTAGCTGTTTCATTAGATGAAAATGGTAAACAAGTCATCCACATTAACTTCCGCAGAAGACTTACAGGGAAGGGAAAGAAGGTGAGTGACACTCTGTCAGTAATCTGATTTTTCAATATTTTCAAAATTGGTTTTTGAAAATCAGAATTTTGAAATTAGCCAGTTGGCAGGAAAAAAAACAAACAACAATTAAAACTGATTGACAATTTACAGCAGTAAGAAAAATCGTTTGTTTCCTTAGCAGTGTGTCAGTTTCAGTTACCTTGAAAATGTTAAAACGGATTTTCTTAAGTTTCAGTGCCTCAGAATTTCTCGTAATATTTTTACTCTTAACAGAAGTAAGAAATACTTGTCAAAAGATAAAAACAATTGATATTCTTAGTAACTAAAGGATATCTTCATCACGAATCTTATGTTTTATGATCAAATAATTTCCTCACAAGGAAATAACTGTTGGTGGAGATTCTGAAACACTGTAACAAAGAAGTGCTTTTTTCGCACCCAAGGCTTCAATTTCATTTTGCGTAGGCTTAAGTGTCAAAGACTCCTCCTGAATAACTTCAGAAGAAAAAGGTTCAAAAATTCAAAATGTTACCCATCCAAGAATGTTTTTGGAAGCCTCTTTCAGCTTATTTTGCCAGAAAACTGAATGAAATTTATGTTTCATTATTCCAGCACTCTATACCTACACCAAAAGGTGGAAAACATGTGGTTCGACCTATCACTGTTGCTGATCAGCCCATGCCAAAGCAACATGCCTCCAAACTTTCCAAAACGAAAAATAATCCTCTAGATCCAGATTACATCGCAGGTAAGGCTCTAGGTATAATATCCAGCATAGTTGAGGATTTTTGATACCTTACATCCATCTTTAAACAATCTTTTTGAACTTGAAACTTCTAACCGCCATAACTCAGTTAATTGACCTTTTTTGGCGTTTTCTGTCCCAAAATATTTACGTAACCTTCCTTGCTCTCTACGGAGACCAATATCTCAATTTTAAGGTTTTCTTGGCAGAGGTTCATGTTCCTATTTGAGGAAATATTATTAACTTAATTTTCATTTAAAGCCCAATTCAGAAGGTTCTACTTTTCATTTGACAAAAGTGGATGAAAAGGGAGTGGAAAATTGGATGCAAAAAAATTTGATTCAGCCACCATTCCTGAGTGATATCATCATAACACCTGACATTGGCATGCGGGTATTTTCATCAGCTTCCGCATTGTGTAGATACAGTTTCGGTAATGTCAGTCTGGATATTAGGTTCCACCTTACAGTTGGTGCTGCCCATTAAATTGAAACTTTGATGCGAAGATGAAACTGACATCAGATTCAAGTTTCCAGTCAACTTTTCATTCCATTGTTGTGTATGTTAGTATAACACGATCCAACGTTTCATCCGACAAAAGTAGAGGAAGGGCTGAATGAAAAGTTTAACAGTTTGAATTGGGTTTAGCTGCATTCTGAATGACTCGAGTAATCACTCTGGATACCCGTCATTTTTGAGCTCTTCTTGGCAATCTAGAGTTACCTACTTATCCTTTCATGTTTGTATTTTATTTAATGCATTCTCGATTTTTCCAGGTTATTCACCTTTTGTAATGAGGGATGTGAACTCTAAATCTGCAATGCTTGGAATTTACTCCAATAGATTCATCAATGATCCGAGGTACATGAAGCAAGTTAGCAAAGTCTCCGAGTCATCAAAACGAAGGAGAAGAAGGAAGTAATCATCAAATTCCAATCAGGGAAAATGAAACTTTTTATTTTGGAAGAGATTGTATTTTGTTGTGCAGGTGTTTTAGTTTTTACGTTACATTTTTTTCATAAATATAAGAATAAAAAAATCGGCTAATATTACACTGCTTTTATTTTCCATCGCCTCAGCCATGATCAATCCTACTTAACAAATTATTGTTTTTTATGGCGTATCAAACTTGATGAGGTTAGAGTGGCGACTACCGTAGACAAGTCAGGTTTGATAAAAATTGTATACATGTTGTCGCCGCTTACAAGGAAGGAGTGCTCCTGATTGCTAAATGTTACAGGCGAGTCGTCAAATCCTTGAACATGCAAACTACACCATGGAGTATCCTGTGATCTCTCAAGGTATGACCTGAAAACAAATGAGATATTTCAAATTTAGACAACAGTACTTGGTAGTGGAGCGCATCTACGAGAAAACTGTTAAGTGGAGTTAGGTTCATTCAATATGACTATTCTATTGTGCTTGTTTTAATATCAGACTTTGTCAATCAGAAAATCATTAGCTAAGTGCAGAAAACAAACTACAAAAACTGGTTAGTAATTGAATTAATAAACTCGCTACCTTAAAATTTTTAGTAATATTTAGTTAAACGAAATGTATCACTATCTTAACATCAGAATCTATAAATAGAGAGATTGCAGGTGTCTTAAATTTGATGAATTTCGTGTTTAAGTGGAAACTACTGAGTGAACTGAACACAAAGATACCCTTGCTTCATGAATCGAACAATTATTGGAGAAGATATGACAAATCTAATCTGTTAAAATACATGTGTTTAAATGAGAAATGCTGCCAGATGACGTCACTAGGTGGCGCATTTTCTCACTTTTAAATCAATTTTTAGACTATTTCCCATTGCAGAAAAACATTATAAAACATACTGCAAAATCAGCTCTTAAGACACTTTCAGATGAAGGAATAAAAAATTTGCGTGCAAATTCTCCATTGAAAGGATACATGTAATTATTGGAATTCAGAGTGTCTAGCAACCAGAAAAATCGAAGAAATTAGAGAGGAAAAACGCATAGACGTGAGAATAGTGAACTTCTGTTCAATGATTTAAGTTTTGTAATACTCAGTGGCGACTCTCTCAGTCTGTATTGAATTTCTCCCTTCTAAATTCAAGTCCGTACCAATACTTTGCACAGAGCTATGTTTTTTTGTTTTTTTTTTAGGTGTCTTATTTTATTTGAAAACAATGGCCTAGGAGAATGACCAAAAGTGAGAAAGACGCAAAATTCCAGGTCAGGAAACCTGGTGGGTCAAAGTGGAGGAAAAGAAAATTTTACTACGCCGTGTTCATCTGACAACAATGTCAGTGTAAGCTGATAAAATGTATATTTTCTCATAAGAGGTTAATAAAAGTTTTTAGTCCTACCTGGTCCTACCGAGAATTGTTTTGTATTTATTTACAATTACTACGTAATTATATATTTTTCTTATTAAAAACTAAGAAAAACAGCCGTCTGTAATGTTTATATAATTAAATGATACATTATTATTTCCACAGTAACTTCTTCTGAGTTAAAATTCGATGGGAAGGGAATTCTTCATAAAATCATAATAGGTAGCAATGCTTTATCATGTTTATGTGATTCTTAGGTTTTGATGATTAATCGTACATTTTTTTTGCACAATTTACTTTTCTCATTACAATAGGTAAATGAGCTAAAATCATAATGATCTTCATCAAAAAGGTGTCAAAGAGATTTATTTTTCAAAAAAGAGATTTCTAAACCTGAGACATGATAGGGGCTGAGAATACGAAATCACTTGCCTCAAACTTTCATACAGCTCCTTAATTCTTGATGTTGTGAAGAAACCATACCACTTGAGAATTGTTAATTGTCCACAAGGAGATCCATCATAAAAATTCAGATACGAGGAAGAGTATTCATTTTGCTCATCCCTAAAGGAATACGATTCGATAACAAAAGCAAAACAGGAAAAAATTTTGAAAAAGCAAAATCTTTGTCGGTTAAATATAACAATTTGCTCTAAAACCAATTAAACATTAACGTTTCAAAAACTTTTAATCACAGGAAGTATCAGCAAAAAATCTTCCACTTCTTCATTATTTCGTTGAAAGATTTCACATAGGAGAAGAAGTAAATGTATGATTCATAATAAAACTTGTAAGTTTTCAATTCAGAGAGGATGTTCCCCGATAAGTGTGACATGTTTTCCTTTATGTGGTTTTTGCTCATTTTTGGTTTTTTCTTGGTGATAATAACCTAGGTTGTATCGGTTTTTTTCTGTTTCTTTGGGGGGGGGGGGCATATAGAGAAAAAGAAGGAGTTTGTCACATTTCGGGCATCTTGGATTTTGTTGATGTCATAGGTCGGTATGGACAGTTTTTATCATCAATTTTCTTGAAAATGGTGTCATTTATGGAAAAAAGTTATTCTTGGTAAAGTGTTAGAAATCATATTTTGAATTGTTCTGACCAAAAAAAAAAACGGATTTTATGGGCCATTTTTCATAATCAGATTTTGCTGGAATATCGACGCCATATTGTACCGACCTACGTCACTATGTATACAGTCCTCAAGATGCAACCACCTCCTTTTTTTTCTCTATGGGAGGGGCAAGTCTTTACTTCATTCACCATGGGCTGTATCTATTCCTTGAATATGATTAAAACTAGAGTTTCATAATGGGTCAGTTGAACTGTTCACTGAATTGTTTTGATTCTTCCTCCTTGAAGAAAGCAAGGTGGAAGAAACCAAGAAAATCACTACCGCAGTGGAAGAGGTCACAGACCGAATTTTTCAAAGTGCCATTTATCGATTAATATTGAATGAAAAAAGTAGCCGTTTGGACAGATACTATTTTTAGCTGATCTACAAGAATCAAGCATTAGAACACGATTCTGTGACCAGCGCGACTGACCCATCCCTAAAATATTTTTTATCAAGGATACAGAAAAGATCCTTACAAAAAATAAATCTAGGATTTGAAAGGTGTTCTAAAGTGTATGTGGTTTCAATGGGTATTTAATGGATATAAACTTCCTTCCCACAAATTGTTAGCATTCTTCAGAGCAAAATGTGAAAATCTAAAAATATCCGTTACACTCAAGTTAAAGACAGCTTCAAAGATTATCTGGAAAATACAGAACATTCAACTCACGATTGAGCACTAAGACACGCAGCACCTAGCCAATCCACCACATCTGATGGACTATTTGAGTCTAGAGAAGGAACTGTGACATTATAAGCATGTTGTTTATTGAATTTTGGATGGCACAATTTGACAGAATACTTTTTTGAGTCGAAATATGCAGCTATTGATGATGGACACATTGATTCCTCTGAAAGAAGAAGAGAAGTTTACGATAAAAATATTTGAAAACTTACAAAACAAAAGGATGAAGTTTCTGAATAAAGCAGTACTTCAGAAGCATTCAATCACCTTAAGTATCTAGCATTCACCAGGCACCACTTTCATGTTTCCAGTTACTTTTCGAGAAATTACAGTTACAAACTTAAAACCAAGAGTCTGGTCCCTTCTTCGGGCTTCCTCTAAGAGTCAAATTGAATTTTACAATAGTGCTATGAATTTTGTGTCTCTGACAAGGAGTGTTTTGATTGAAATCAAAAGGAAACGCTTGAAAAAGTGGCCTTAAGGTCCTTATCTAGGTACTCACATTTTTCCAAAAAGAGAAAAAACAGCTGTGAACTGACTAAAGCGTGCTTAAATGCTGAAGTAAATGCCACTAAATGCTTCAGTGCGCCTCTTAGTGTTTTTTTCTCAGTGCTTAAGAGTGGTAGCTAATCAGACGAGGGCATCGTTGAACTTACTTAGACTGGCCATCACTCCAAGCCAGTCAGCCAACTCACTTCTTTCACTCCATAACAGGATTCTTGAATGGAAACATCATGGCCCATCATAAAATTGACAAAAAATAGTTAAAAAAGTTAGGAAACTGGTGCCTGCTAAGAAAAATGGGCATAATTAATCTCAGCAGATCGACCATTGCCTTTGTCGAATATTATTGGGTTCTTGCCCATTCATACATCTACCTAAAAAATAAATAAAATTACCATTATGTATTTACCTGGTGGCTCCCACGCTATGATGAAGTCAAGCTTCAGCTTTATTCGCTCCTTTAGACATTTTTGGACTCTAGCATATAGCTTAGTCCCTGGCCTTAAACTCCCATCTGCAAGATCTATTGTTACATCTACAAAAGCCAATGAAGATATTATCAATTATCAATAAAAAATCTATCAAAAAAACTTGAAAAATCTAAGGATTTAAAACGTGATTAAAATGAAAACTTTTCATTGAGATCCAGGTATGCTTTCCTTATTTTGGTGGAAAAACCAAAATCGCCTGAACGTGTCAAGCCAATTGAAGTTATGACAGTTTGAAGCTTTGCGTTTAAAACAAAATCGGTTACGTTTAGCATTCGGAAGTTTATGGTTGAGACGCAAATTAGCACCTACTACTAGTATAGGAATGATAGGTGAACGCCTTGCTACTTATTCTTTGGGATTACAGAAATTATTTCCTGTGGATACTAACTTCAAACTCCGATTTTATTTGTTTGCTAGACAAGGATGATTCTCTTAAACATTTTGTCTGTATGCACAAATACACTTATTTTAGTGGATGGCTATATATATAAAAAAATTGTTCAGCAGCCAACACTGGCAAGCTTACGTTAGGTACAATTAAAGGACACGATAAGTTAAAGATCCATTTGGTTTTGGAAGTCTATTAAAAAGTTAATTTGTAGTTATTTCTTAAAATATGTCCTTCCTAGAGATCTGACAGATAGGCATTTATTTTCTACAGATAGAGACCAAATTGTATAAAATGAAAATGACAGTGATAATGAGGTTGGATACGACTTTCCGAAAAACGCAACTTTTCAAAAACTGCAAATTAGAAATATGTTAAAATGTATAGAAGAAAAGTTGTAGATTTATCCTCAAGCAAAGATTCAGTCCCACAATCATGTATGTCAGGGAGGGTACGCTCACCTTTCAGCAACAATGCCATTAATTCAGCTAAAAAATTTGGAACTGAAACCTTGGTGCCTGTCACATTTTCTCCCTTTCTGCCAATTTTCATCAAAATCTCGAGATCAACTTTGGGTTAACTCTCCTTTTGAAAATATTTGCATGTTTACAAGGGGCTTATTTGAAAAAATTTTCAACTATGTCTTAACGTCTTTAAAATCACAGTCAGAGCACTAATTGTTAGGTTTTGGAAAGTATTTAAAAAAAATGAAGAATGAAGAAACAGTCTAAGAATCTTTTATTTATTTCATTGTGACAACATAAAAAAAATTCCCTTCCCATTTTTTAATAAAAACAGTTCTGATGAGGTTGTAAAAATATTTAAGAGGACATGGGAAAATACTTGCAACATAGTTTTCTTCGGAAGAAGACGAACAACTCTGATGAAATAAAATTTCAGAATTATTTTGTGAGGATTGATTCTTTTAATTTTAAATTTCATTTGATTTTTCTTTGTAGGGTTCTATGTAGGTACTTAGATTTTAATTTAAAAAAAAGGAAAAACTCTTACTGTTGAGATATTTTTGGTTAAAAACTGAACTCGACAATACATTCACCGATATGCTCTCCTGAAGAAAACTTTTAATTTGTTTTAATTGAAAAAATTACTTTTTTCAAAGAATGACAAACTTCAACAAAAAACACGAAAAAAATTCAAATAATTTTTAACAGATTTGCACATGGAATCGTCATGAATGGATTTTGTCAATTCAATGTTAAGTCATAATTATTTGAGATGATCCAGTCCTGTGCCGACTTTAAGTCCTCCTTGGAAATAGCTGTAGAGGAAGAGAAGTTAGCCAAGGAGCAAATATTTTCACAATTTGTCATGATAACCTTCAACATGTCAACAGAGATAGAGTTTATATAATCTATTTTTAAAACTCTAAGCTGTTTTAAGGGATTAAAGTTAAAGATAGCCTGGAAGAAATCATCAGTAACAACTTGAGCAGGCCGGATTTCTAGTTCTTCAAGATTGAGAGCATAACGTAGGACAAATAGTACTTGAGCTAGAGATATATCTGATACACATGAAAAATACTTCAGTTTTTGAAATGGTTCGGTTGTAAACTGAATTCTCGGGAATTCGGAATCCTCAAAAAATTCACACCCAAAAAACTGAAGGCGCTCGATGTTGGGGCAAGAAACACCAATAAGTTGGATACAGCTCATCTGTAATTCCCGGACAACGTCTAGACACAAAGATGTGATGAAAGAACCGCGAGACGTTAAAAAATCGCTCAAACGATCTGAGTAAAAATCACATACAGACAATGTTACTTTCCGTAAATTTTGCAATCTTGACAAACAAAATAGATCTGGAACAACTGTACTATGAGTCATCTTCAGCTCCATCAAATGAGGGAAATACTTGCAAATTAAAAATAGACGCTCTGTGTCTACATCACAATACTGTAAACACTGCAATTGATAAGTGCGCAAGGGTTCTACGTAAGCTTCCATCAAGTCCAAAACAGCAGTAAGATTGGAGCAAATACCGATATTAATTAAATTTTTGGATCCTGTTTCAGTGAGCAGCTTAAAAAATCCTCGCTGAGACACTGATGTTTTGTACATATCTACCTGCTCCAGCTGCGTACAACTGAGTAAATTATCCACCGAACAATCCGTTACTTGGTCTGACCGGGGAATAATAATTGAGCGTATTGATTTACAATTTTTACTGACAACATCTAAAATACTATCACTACAACAACCAGGCATGTCTAAGTAAGTAAGATTTGAAAGGACCTGGAGGCTCTTTAATATCTTTAGCTGGGGCATTTCCTCTTCAGATGAAATTTGAAGTGATAGACCATGAATAGACTCCAGTCCTGACATTTTATCTAAATTTTCAATTAGGGCAGACTGAATTGGCATACACAAACTATTTAAATTTAAGTCTTTCAGAGTTGGCTGTGGAATTGCCAATGCTAAATTTTTGATGATCCTGTCTATTTTCTCAAAATTTACAGTGAGCCTGTCTATTTCCTTGTAACTTTGCTGATGGTAACATTTATAAAACTTTTCTAAAGCTTGTAAACAATGTTGCGTTATCCTGTTGTGAAGGCAACTAGCTGTATTGCGATACAAAAGTATTTGAAGAGCATCAATCAACTCTTTTAAATTACGCTGGGAGACTTCTTTGTCCTCCAGCAAATTTTTGCCAATGATAGTTATTAATGTATCCACGCTTTTAAAAGCAAGGTTTTGCAATGACAAAACACTCTTTCTCTGAGGCATTTTATTTGTTCGCCTGGCCTTTACCTAAAATAATTGTAACCGGCTCTTTCTCAACAAATATTGAGAAACAATTTTGATGGACACAACTAGCTGATATTTAGTTTTTAAACCGAAGTAACCAGACTTTCATATTTTTTAGTTTCCAGTCAGTTTATAGGGTAAAATCAATAATAAAGATGCTACTTATCTAGATCAAGAACCTGAGTATCTTTGCACAAAATAACTGTGTAAAAGGCTAAATCTATTCATAAAATTGTGATTGTTTTAATAAGAAATTAATGCGACTGCCCAGTGTGATACTGTTATAGTCTGATGATTTTCATCCATTATGACCAACTGTGTCGAAAGGACCAGGTATCAGCAGCGACTGGAAACCAAAAAAATGAATGGCATCAGTTAACAACTCTCATTTTTTACAGACTTCAATGAACTTGGTAACTGGTCTGATGTAAGGGTTGTAGAATAATATGACAAAATATAAAAATTAATTGTCCTTCTAGGCTCAAAGAGACTCGTTTCGTAAAAGAGGGAACCCGTGTTTTAATTAGATACCATGTAAGGGTAGGTAGGTATAAAAGTGCATCATAGTCTATGTTTCAACAGATCTAAAGCAAAGACATCATGCTCAAAAAAACCTGTGGATCTATCAAAAGTGAATTTGCCAAATTGCTACTGCACTTGAGCAGCTCCATAAAGCATTTTCTTTCTTTCAAAAATCTTTGATCCCCCATGAACTACTCAATATTCCTTTTTCAGGGAAGCAACCCGTTGAAAAAAGTTTAATAAGTTAGAAGTTGAACCACTCTACTGTGTAGCCACTCCAAGAATCAAGAGCTTACACTTCTCATAAATATAACAGTGTAGCAAGGAGAAAAAGAGGAGCCCATTCTTTCATGAATCTGTTATGCGTGTTCACCGGGGAAATAAACATTTAAAAAAGGTATATTTTGAATCAACAGATAAAATACTTACAGAATCTATCTTTAGCTCGTTTGGCCGAGTTGGCAACTTTTCCTTCTAGGCCTAGTTCTTCAAAGGCAACCTTTTCTAAAACAAGGATTAATTTCTTGGAAGGCGTTATGCAGGCACAATCATCCGCATCAATCCTTGCGCTGATACTTAATGCGGATAATTTACCTACGAATAAAAGATGAGTAATTAACCATTGCTTGGTTGCGGAGCAAGATAGTGGAAAGTTTCACCAGACCTACAAACTATTTGATATAATATCGACAGTGAAATTTCCAGACTTATCTCATTTAACCCATTCGCCTCACATGACAGATTTACTCGTCAGCGGGCGCCTAGAACATTATTTCAGCTGAAGAGGAAATTCGCGCCATTTTTGGTGTTCCGACGCTTGAGATGCTATCTAACGCAAAAGTGAAAAAACACTGCCAAAAAAATCGCATAGCAATGCCTATAGATGCCACAAATTAACTCATCAACTGAGATATGTCCCGCGCGTACGCTGATGAGTATACTCGACAAAAGAGGCGAATGGGTTAAGTTGTTTGAAAATCTCAACTCCTATTTTCTTTTTTTGAGGGAGAAAAAATCGAAATCACTCCCCAAAGTTTTCAAGGAATTTTTTTGGCACAGAGAAGAACTATCATGTATTTTTAAACATGTCGGTAGCGGTATTTAAAATGTCTATAAAATAAGAGTCACCTTTGTACCGTGCATTACATTGATTTGGTAATGTAGTTTGTGTGCTCAAAGCATTATTTATCATTGTAATTATGTGCTTGTTGTAGTGTGTAATTTTAGTAGTGCTCTTGAAGATGGGATAATCCCGAAAGACCTCGAGCGTATGTACAAATTTAACTAAAATAAATGTAATGCACGCTATAAAGGTGACTCTTATTTTATAGAACTATCATGTAGGTTTTTAAGCAGCAACGTTTAGTAGTTGTCTATTTAAAAAAATAAAGTATGACAGAAGTCTGACTTCACAAACGAAGATACGTGGAGTTATCTGTCAGCCTCAGCTGGTGAAAAAGCTTGTCAAATTATGGAAATCAATAGTATCGATTCCGCTCGACTTACCCAAGATTCCTCTAAGATGAATCTGAAAAACTTCTGAAAGGTTATTTACCTTTGTTGATGAAGTTATGAAGAAAATCAGCATCTATGAACTCAAAGACAGGAACAGATTCCACTTTGTAATAATCACAGTCTGAGACCAAGGAGTTGCTAATTGTTTCTGGTACATTTAAAGTGTTTGGCACAGCTACAGAGACCTGGACAATGCAAATAAAACTACTACAGTTTTTGTAGAACTTTTCAATTATGACTCTAATAACAAGTACAGATACAAGTTTGATAGAGGCTTAAATAACAAAAATATACTAAAATAAATTCAAATATTTAATATTTTGGCAAATTAGCAGATAAAATTGCTCTTGCTGTGTGATTTTTATAGAAAAAAAAGAGGAAGAAGTAGATGAGGTTTTTGAAAGTGCATTTGGATAAAATTATGCAAATATGTCAGGAAATTCTTGGATTCTTTTGTTTAAGTGTAGAAAAGCACCATCGACATGTAGACAGTTTGCAGCTGCCCTCACTGTCTTAGTAAATTATACAGTGCTGTAAGTTTAGGTAAACTGCCTAAGAATCAGTATACTTACTCACAGTTTGTTTGCCTTGGCGTGGGTTTAAGAATACTTTCAAATTCGCTGGTGTATTTTAAAATTCTTGATCATGAATGAACAGTATTCTGGTTGAGGATGGACGTCAAGAATGTTGTGAAAGGACCCGCACACTCCTTACAGGATAATTTACCCTGTTTGATTTCTAATTTTTGTATTGCCATTAACTCGTCCAAGGATGCTGATCAAAAGTCATCATTGCGCCAACTTTCTGTGAGCTACCTTATTCGCACAATCAGCAGTAGACATTTTGATGATTCCTTGAATGAAATGAGGCGAAGCGGCGATCAAGGGTCAAAAAGACCCCTCTTGCTTTCAACAATTGAGAACGTTCTGGATAAAAAGAAGGAAGACCAGCTGATGAGAGGTAAGGAGGAGAGTGGGAGAGAGAAATTGATTCGGATGGTCAAGCGAAAATCCGAGATAAGACTGAGATTTTCCTTAATGACACACAGCTGACAATTTTCCTTATTGACACACAGCTGACCACTTTCCAGTGCAGAAATAGGGATCTCTTGGAATCTTAAATGCTGTACTGCCTCTTTCCATCCGAGAAATTATCAAAACTTCCACCGCGGAGTGTGCTAAAATGGTGCTTTGTAGAAAGGTGGCTTAGTGATAACTTTTATCAGAATCTAAAAGCTAGTTTATTGCAATAAAATAGTTGGAAATCAAACAGGGCACACTTTCCCAAGAGAAGTGTGCGGGGTCCTTCATTGATACATTGCACGGAATTAAGTAAATACTTAGGTACCAAATTATTGTTTATACTTGTGACGCACAACAGTACATCCATCTTAATTCATGACATGTATTTTTGATGCCAAAATAAAGAAAGCAGATCTGCTGTAACTTGACGGTCTTACTAAATTAGTTTGCAGACTTGTTGTCGATTCGCCCGTGGGTTTAGTTGCAGGCAATCTGAGCTGCGTGCTCAATCGGCCTCCGAGAGATAGCAGGTTAATAGCGTGACGCCTTGCCAGCAACGCTGGATTCGACAGCGGATGACTCGAGAGTCTGGTGATCCACTAAGCAGGTCTGTGAGAACGTGAAACAAAAGATTTGCAGCCTAGATTCTCCGATAGAGTTGTGAAGCAAAGCTAGGCGTGATACATTTTCTGTTGCACTTCAGCAATGCTGTTGTCTGGTTATGGAATCTATTTTGATTAGACAAAGCAAGAGCTGGCCCTGTCTTGACCACGCAATATATCGCATTTGAGTGTTTCATCTTGCTGCTAAGAACTATCAGCAATCTCTGTAAAACTGATTTGGCACTGAAGTTCAAGTGATTTGGCGAGACCTTTCCTTTGGCTCTTAGCCACTGCGCTCCTAACTGAGTAGGACTGGGCACAGCAAGATGATTGAGTATGATGGCAGAAACCTTAAAAGCTTAGGAACTTACGAAGTGGTTGAAGTGGTGAGAGTCAATGAGGTTAGGAATTCTATCGTCCTTCGGTTTAGTCGAGAAGTTAGTGAAAGAGCAGTGAGGTGTAGGAAAACTCCATACTTCAGGATGAATCATTTCATAAGATAACGAAAAAAAATTAAAAAGCGTCGGGAAAAAACATCTAATGTGATGAGAAGAGAAAAAGCAGGGAACAAAAACAACGTGCGTCTAAGCGATTGTTTTGGTTTTCGAAATCAAAACAACACGTGACCTTCAGTTTCAAGTCCGCTAGCTTAGCAAGCAAAAACTAGCAAAAACGCGAGAAGGACAAAACTGTGATTCTAAATTTATTGCTTCAAAGAAAGAAAATCTTTTAATACTTATAAAAATAAAGGAGAATTCATTTGGATGTCTCTTATTTCTATAAAGGCGCGGAATAAAACTGTGCTTGCACTTTCCAACTTCCAAGTAGAGCTCACTTCAGGTTGTTTCAGGTGGTATGGTTGGTACACTTAATAGCGGGAAATTTGAACCTATGCACATGCTGCACAGGTCTGTGGATTCTTCTCACACGGGCAGAAAACTCTATAAATGGGTATTATTTTAAAACTAAATATCTGGGAAGAGACAACTTCGATGGGAAAAAATTTCCTTCGGTTGAGTTCATATCGTGTCAAAAATTTACCAGAACGTCCTGAGAAAGGTCCAATTTACTTCAGTCTCCAAAAAGGTGAGTCTACATTTACTACCTCTGAAAAACGAATTTAGGTGTTTCTAGAGGGCGAGTACCTCACATTTCAGGAATATGAGTGAATGATTTGAGCCATTTTCCTTGGCTGATTAATGTTGCCAGGCCTGGAGGGAAAAATGATGTAAAGAATGAAATTTAGCTTGTGCTAATTTTGGTTCTAAAAATATCTATTTATATTCAACAAACATTCATTTACCACTGAAAAGCGGTGCTGTCGCATTAAGAATGTGTAATGTTCTGTAAAAGTTTGTGTCAAGTTAAAAATATGCATCGATCCATCCCAAAAATGGTAGCGATGTCATCTCCGGTAAACATCACATTCTTTTCACAAGGTTTTATTCCATAAAATCTCAAAAATATTTTTAACAAATACTGCAAACATACAAGAAAAATTTCAGAACCTTGAGAAACTAGGTAATATGGGGAGCGTTTACGAAGGATGATATTACAATTTTTGGGTGGATAGGTCATCTCTTATATTTTCAACTTCACATTTTTCATATACAAAAATTTGAGTGTTTCTAGTGCGATGCTTGTTTTCTGAAAGCTAATTCACAGCTCCCGAGTAGAATGTATTGAAAATGTATTTCAAATTGTTAAATAATTTGCATTAAGCAAGTGCAAGGGGAATCAGGAAACAGCTGAAAATTTTAGGAAATAATTCATAGTTTTATTCATAAAAAGTAGACTACAACAATGTAATTTTTCAATACAGATTTAGAACATTCATTAACGATCTAGATGAGAAGGCTGCTACAAAATTAATTCAGATAAGTCATACATCACATATTGACGGCGTAAGTCCGCAATCACATACCTTGTTTGCGGTGTCTGATAATCTCTGCCTGTTATTTTATTAAAAGTGAACAAATTGAAATCATTCATTGAAGTTCATGCGGAATTTTCTTCGCACAGAGAAGAAAAATCACGGCAGTTTTAAAGAATTGCCGATGAGTAGTTTTCGTTTAAAAATTAGAGTATGACAGGAAGTCTGCGACGTTGCAAACCGAGTTATGAGATTGCCAACTTACACCGTCGATATAGACTGTAAATGCAGATATAAATGCTTTAAGACGAAAACGGCCAAATGTGTCAAATTTTTGAGTTGTGAGTTTTCCAAGACTCCTTTTAGAATTTTACGATTTGCTTCTAATTTCACTTAATTGAAAGCACCTTGATCAGAAAAGAACTCAAGAGTGAGTGAGCAACGAAGGACATTCCATTAGTCTTCATGTCCTCTTTGCCATTTCCACAGAAAACTTAAGAAAATTAGAGAAACTTAGGACATACTTGAAAAGTCTGCACAATTGTAATATGATTTAAGAGTTTGTGCCTGGTTGTGGAGTATTTACCTCTTTTTTGCGCTTTAGGTCGCCTGCTGAAAAAAAGGAAATATTTTGTTGCCATTCAAAGCACAAAATAGAGACATCACGCAACACTCCACTTTCAGGGGCAAAGCATAAATGAGGAGCTCGGAGAACAAGGCGCATAAGTGCAGTTTTTGCTTTTTCGAGAAATACGACTTACGAGTTTGAAGTTTCGAAATTGCATGGAGCCTTATGGCAAAAAGAAAAATCAAACTGACTTTTTAGTGCTTAAAAAGTAGAATTTGGGAGAAAATTTTTCACAGAATATGCATCGAGACTAGTTTTACTTGAAATCATTGATAACTCAATTTGTCAAAAACTGCACTTATGCGCCTTGTCCTTCAAACGCCTTAAATGAAGTTGAGGTTATGCAGGCTTGTCAGATACATCCTTGACTTCCTAAGTATCTTTAGTTTTTAGTAATCGGACGTTTTTGCTGGAAAAGGCAAGGGAGATGCAAAACTTAATGAACACCTTTTGTATGTGGTGTAAATATTTATCAGATATTAGAAGTAAATGCGCTGGTCGTTAGTTAGATCAAAAAGCAACCTATACAGTGAATTTTGTACCTTAGCTTGCTTTTTTCATTTGAGTAACATAAAAATACTTTGCTTTGTTTTCTTAGATTTGTTATACCTCCAAGCACTGATTAGGCGACATCTGTAATAACCTCATCGGACAAAAAACATTCATAACATGCCCTTCCATAGGAGATAAACTTAAAACAGGTAGTTTCCTTCAGATTACCACAAATTGATCAGAAATAGCCAAAAAAACTAAAGAAATAAAAAAAGAAACTGCTATCATTAAAAACTAAAAAACTAATCAGATTGTACTCTGAAAAAACTTAAAAAGACTTGGGTAATCAAATTTTGGGGAAAAAAAACATAAGGCAACAGGTTCATCCTAAAACTACATTGTAATTATTGGTTACAATAAAATTTTCGATGCTTTCAAACTCACTTTTGATGAGAGAAATAGAAAAATGAGCAAGATAGGAAATATGCTCAAAGTTAATGATCATAAATCTCACCATTTTTGCGGATAATTTATTGGAATGATCTAAATTTAATTCTTTCAGTCGCTTCATAGGATTACAGTTGAATACAGACTGTAGGAATTGGTCGGTGACAAACATAGACGGCCTTACTCTCAGTGTTTCCAAATTGTGTGCATAATTTAAAATAAATTCTACAAAAGATGAGGGAAAGTATGACTCCCACACAAGTTTCCTCAATTTTTGAAATGGTTTGGGGGATAGCTGAATTGCTGGAGATTCAGTTGCTCTATACTGCCAGCCTGGAGAAAATTGAAGGTTCTCAATATTGGGGCATGATACTGCAATGTTTACAATGCTGGTGTCACGCAATTCATGAACACCCACAAGACACAAAGAAGTTATAGACCAGCCTTTGACAGACAGAAAACTACACAATGGCTCTGTTATATGAACATCAGATCGCAATTTAAGACATTTAAGATTCTCTAATTTAGACAGGCACATTAAATTGGGCTCATCCGATGCAAACCATAGACTAAACTCTGTTAGATTTGGGAAATATTTACAAACCAGACTTAGTTCTCGATTACACCTACACACACTGTGAAGACAAGGTAGTTGGTAAGGGCAAAACTCTACTGAACTAGATTCCATTAGTTTTAAAACATCTGGTAAGGCACTGCATTCGCCAATATCAACTAAATTGGGTGACTTTGACTCAGTGAGGAGCTTGTAGTAACCATGGCGCGTTACTAAGGTTTCAAAAAGCTCCACCTTCTGCAATTCTTGACAAAGGACTAGGGATTTTACCGAAGCATCTGTGACTGATCGGGAATGGCTGACATCTATTCTACGAACTGATTTACAGTTTTCACAAATGGCAGCTAAAATTTCATCAGTGCAACGAGCATAAAAGGTGAAAGAAACTAGGTTAGAAAATGAGTGACAGCTAACAAGGAGTGCCCTCTCTACCATGGAGGCTTCACGCTTCGAAGCAGGTTTGAAATCACAGTTTAAAATTTCTAAATTGGACATCTCACCTAAAAATTCCAACAATAACAATTGAATAGGTCTTGCCCAAAGATTAAAACTCATTTTTTTCAACTTCGGATATGGAATGGCAGACAAAACAAGTTTCAAGATAGTTTCACACTTTGAGGAAATCTCAGAATTCTTCGTTGCGTAGACATGATACAAATTACTTAAGGCCATGAGCATTAACTCCGCAATCCTGTTATGCAGCAGCCATGGTGTTCTGTCGTACAAAACTACTCTGAAATGTTCTGTCAGATCAGACGTTTCATCCAGAGTTCTATCATTTTTTATCATGAAATCACTAACATCATTAACTAATTTTTGAAGTGTTAAAATAGAAAGATCCTCCAGTGTCGGCACTATTTTTCTTGGAGCCATTTTTACAGAAGTTTTACAAAGGTGATGCTTCAACTCAACCCTTCTACTTGAAACCTTATTTCTTGATTACATTTTTCACTACATTAATGAGTTCCTTTTATACCTTAAATCAAGGATAAATTCAGAAAAATTTCAGGGAGGCATTAAATGACAGCCTTAAAAAATAAACGTTAAACTTGACTTGCCCTGTGCAACCCATGAAGACAACCACTGGAGATTTTCCGCACTGATTATTAATGAATTATTGCTGTGGAACTAGGAAACTGGCAAGCTTTTTCAAACGGCTATACAGGTGAGCATTGCTAGCAAATCAGCAACTGTAAAAACCAAAAAATAAGTTACATCAGTTTCAACAAGACTTACTTCCTCTGCTCCAAAGGCGAAGAGAATCAGTGGAGGGCCAATCTATGAAGACGGTTCCTTCAAAACTTTATCATTAACTGATGAGTTTCTTACTAGAACTAGTAATGTAAATGCCAACACAATTAGCAATCCTGTTTTTCAAGCAAACCCTTTTCCCGCCTTTTTATGCAAAGTCATTTTTAAACACTTTGTAGGTATAAAATTAAGACAGGCATATAACTTTCCAAATTTTTAGATTTAGTACATTAAGTGTGATGATGGAGAGGAGATCAATGAAAAAATTAAATTAAACCTCAGGTCAGTATGGAAAACTGCTTTGTTTTCCTGATTGATTCTTGTATTTACACTAAGAAGTTCAAAAATAACTGCGAAATATGATGCTGCAGTGCTTTTATGAATACTTCAATACCTAAATTATCACAAATAGATGGAAATCATATTTTCTGTTGCTGTTCAATTTGCAACTTGGCTTGGATCATAATTTGATTTCAGTATTATAAGAGCGGAGGATTCGATGTTGGAGCGATTTTAGCTGTAACCTGCTTAGATTAGAATACATAAAGTTACCAATAGAGGATAGTTTTTTACACGTAATGACCAAATAAATCAACATTCTAGCAGACATATTGTTATTGTTAGCGATTGTCAATTTTTCTAGACTACCCAGATTATTAGTGTCCAAGACATGCTTAAAAAAGGTATTAATACAGATATTTTCTGGGTTCACTTCCAAGACTTTCAAATCATGAGCATAACGCAATACAAATTCTGCTGGAGACAATGACCCATTTAGACGCCAATGAAATTTTTGTAGTTTTTGAAATGGCTTGGGTGTTAATTCATTCACAGGATATTCATCAGTGTCAGAGAACTTACAGTGATGAAATTCAAGTACTGCTAAATTAGTGCAGTGTGAGGCAATAAGTAACAAGTCTGAAGCTTTTAAACAAAAAATAAAGCCTAGGCTTAGTGATGTGATTGAAGAGCCACTAACTAGTAACAAAGTTTCGACAGGATTTTTTAGAAGACCAGCTGCAGCCATGACTGCAGTTTTTACAGATGTGTTGTGGCTAATATTTATGCTACAAAGACTCTCCAAATTGGATAAGTAAAGAAGATCTGGCACATTGATACAATCTTTGAACTTTGTCTCAAATTCTTTTAAGAAGGGAAAGTACTTGCAGATTAACATTAAGTCGCCTGGGCTCACATCAAAACACTGCAAACGTCGCAACTGATAAGTTCTAAATGGTTCATTTTCTATTAATCTGAGAATTTGAGGTATAAAAGCACATTGACCAATGCTGAGTAAATTTTCAGATTTTGTCTCAGTGAGCAATTTGTGATAGCCATATGAAGTTACTGATGTTCCATTCAGTTTTATTTCTCGTAACTTTGAAAATTTAACTAAGTGTGCACAACTATTATCAGTAACTTTCCATGAGAATGAAATTAAAATTATTTGAATAGATTTACAATATTCACTTAATGTAGCAAGAATATCATCAGTACAAATAAAGTCCAAATGTATTGAAGCTAAATTCACCAACAGATCCAAGCTGTTTGATAATTTCTCCATCACTACCGATGGTTCCTGCCTTGTTACAGTGCAACAGAGATCTAACTTTTTGATACATTCCATTTTGTCTAGAAGCTGGATTAGAAGTGATTGAATTGGCTTAGACCAGTCCCCAAGTTTGACATCTGTTACTTTTAAAAATGGAATGAGGGTCACTATGATTCTAAAAATGGCAATACCTTTGTAATATGACTGAATATTACTTGAATGTACACCTGATGAAATAGGTTTAAAAAAACGTTCAGCAGCATTTAAAATATGATGAGCAATTTGGTCATGAAGACACCAGGGTACTTCATTGTTTAGGTGAACTTGCAGATTTTCAAATTGTTTAACCAAGTTGTCGAGGGGCCTATCACGTTTCAAACTTTTAAAGCTAATTTTTAATATGTATTCTTCAATTACTTGCAGAGAAAAACCTTTCAATCCAGGGAATTTTTTCAGGTCCATTTTGCTGAAGACTCAGATCTTTTTAAATTACACTAAAAGAATCAAACTAATTGAAGTTGCTTAGAAATAAACCAATTCATTCTTGGACATGATGGAATTCAAGTGAAAGAACAGGCTCCTTTTTTTTTTCTCATCCGATTGAAATGAGAGATAAGCAAAATTGAAATTAAATCATCCAACGAGAGGACTGGAAACTTTGTTTTGTTAAACAAAAGGATGATTTTGAGAAGCCTCAGTCGGCTGATAAAGAACTTACGAAGAATTTAAAAAATGGGTGAGGATGGCGGTACAACTGCTGGTATGGACACATCCAGGGAGACTATCACATTCTCGTTAGAAATATTCACAACCTGTGATAACAAAGAATTGAAGCCAAATATTAGCTGATGCAAATAAGATATTGCCTTTGGCTATGACTTATAAATGAAAGAAAATCAGTAAAAAATTGTTTAAACTAAAACAGACTTACTCACGAGCACATTTTTACAAAAGAAAAAACTCATAAATAGTGAATTTTCCCTTTCAAAATTACTCTGCCAGACTCATCGACAAGAGTTGCAACTTCTATTTGAAACAGAATCAAATTATTAATGCTATTCATCAGTGCCAAAATGATAATTTTAGTCCATTTCACGAAACATGAGACTTTTCATTCGGCATTAAAATCCATAAATGGCAACGCATCAGCCTTGGATGCAGTGACCGTACCGCTCGCCGGACACACTCTCTTATTCAGCGACGAGAGGCCCGCAACCCGTCCATTGGGAGGGTAGGAACAATGGGCATCCTTGATCCCTCCTTTAAGACCCCTAATACCCAAACTGAAATTTTTTCCCATTGAAAAATTCATCTTTTAGCGTGGTAATTCAGGCCCAGCGGAAGATTGTGAGGAAATTGCACCAAAAATTCTGTCATATTATCATAATTTTTACCTAATAAACGGCATTTTACGATGAATCGCGGTCGTACGCAAATGCCGTATATCAGGTAAGCGCCCAGATGATCGAACGGAATTTTAGTGCGTTCTCATCACAATTTTTTGCTGGACCTAAATTTACATGCTAAATGATGACTTTTTCAACAGGAAAAAACTTTGATCCGAGTACTAGAGGTCCTAAGGAGGGACCATGGATGCCAATTGCACCTACCCTCATAACGGACATGCTGCGGACCTCTCATCGCTGAACTAAAGAGATTGTCTGGCGAGCGGTCTGGTCACTGCATCTGAGGCTGATGCATTGCCATTTATGGATTTTAATGCCGAATAAAAAGTCTCAGGTTTCGTGAAATGGACTATAGTGTCATTGCAGTAGAATTAATGGTGTGGATCCAGAGTGATGAATTACAAGGAATTTCAATTACTCCATAAGTCAATAATTTCTAAGTTGATACTGTGGAATTGATTCTATCAAATCTTAGTCATCAATCCTCTACATATAACACATGACGATAAACTATCTCAAGCCTTATTGATAACTGAAAAGTGCCTTTGCGTTCCGTCGGGCTCATGATTAATTTAGGTAGTTTCTCGATGGAAGTGATAAAACAATCAATTTATACCTCACCTATTCTGATCATGGATCACTGCATATCAATTTGACTGTATCTAACTATGCATGAACAAACGCCTACTACTGAAAGCCTAACCTCACTAAAAGAATCAACTGATCGATCTTGAGTTCAAATTTTCAGGTTTCCACCATAGAAAGGTTGAGCAATGTGTGCACTCAAATCACTGATAAATCAAGTCTCTTGAGATGAGGACTGATAGCTTTTCAATTTCGGTTTGTCAATTACTGCATGGAAAAACCCATGGCTGTGGGTTGAGATCCGCACATAGTCTCTGTCATATTTCAGTATAATCTTGGCCGAAAAAGTCTTTCAATGGCATAGAATTTTTGGTAATCTGAGATACTTCATAGACGTAATTGCTATGAAAATACGGTTAGTATGAATGAGATGGAATTGCTCCTCTCGGAGGCAAGCGAGGCTACAGATTGAACTTCATGAAACTTACGGGAATGGTATGAGAGGTGAGATTTGTCTTTATTCGAAGCTGCTTCGTTCCGGCCGATGGCGATGTGGAAAATCTGACAGCACTTTCACTTACACTTTACGACAGTAATGCAGTAAAATGAAAGAAAATAACTTCATACAGAGAAGTCTTGCTCAGCTTGCTATGAGAATTAGAATTTAGAATTTACATGCTAACGTAAACAAAACACGAACAAAACAAAACATGGGGCTGTGCGCGGTGATTGGTTGATGCTGGCTGCAGTATCGGTAGGAGTGGGGGGTTACTTGCATGTGGCGCCGGTTTCTAAACTTTACCGCGAAAGTGTGATTAAGGTGGGAAATCCTATCAACCCCGGTGGATGCCAAGCGGGGAATAGGATTAATAGGAATCGATGGAGCTATGGAGAAACCAGCGATTTATTCTGCCATGCTAAGGAAGATCACCGCATGAACATTCGAGAGTTGTCATGTTTTCTTCGATAAAAATAAATGTTTATTCTTGAGGAAAGTTATCAAAATTTTTCCTGGAAATTTTTAGATTATTTAGAAAAAATTACGAACGAAATTTTCTGAAAATTGGAAGAAAATTGTTCATAAATATTCCCGCAAATTCGTGATTTATCAAATGAAATTTGGCAATGCCTAAGGGCTCATAAACATTTTTCCTTAGCGTAGTTATAACTTCCGTGTTGGGTCTTCTCTGTGCGAGGGAAACTCGGAAAATTTTAAGAAATGATACTGATTTGTTCTCCTTCAAAAAAAATGTAATGGTACCGGAGATTTTTAAAGACAAGGAACGAGATATACGTGGTCTGGTAATTTCACCATCTGTACCTGTGTACATTTTTGGAGCTTCGCGACCTTGCTTTCCAGCACTATTCTACCACCTTGTTACAAAACAAGAAATATACACTCTTCCGTAGAAATAAAGGTTTTTCATGTTTTCACAATTTCCTAAGAGCCTCTTCTCCTTAAAATTTTTGGAATGCAATCCTCCCCTCTCCTCTTTTCATATTTTTACTTTACTTTATTTTATTTCCCAGTCAATGCTACCAAGGATTCCAGCCGGCGGCGCTTCGCTAACGTGAACGAATAAAGACACATTGAATCATATCAAGCACAAGAGGCGTTATTTTTGAACATGAATATCGGTGATTGTTTATGGCACGTCCATCATCTGATATAAGCTTCAAAATGTACATGGGCATTCGCATAGAGCATTCAAAATAAAATTTTTAAGTTTTAAAATCAACCGATTCACATTCACTTTAAATGCCCATATCATTACATATCTGTCCTTAGAAAAAATCAAGGGAAAATCTATACTCTGCATAGGCAAAACATTTTAGTTGTTTAAAGTAGTTGCACGAGGTCTAAGTAAACAGCCGACATGACATCGCGTAAGCTGGGTGCAGCGCGGCAGGAGAATCAATGGACTATCTCAAAGTTCCTTCAATTAGTTGGGTATGCAATTTGATCTCCGTGGAGTTAAAATAGTTGCTCGAGATCGGCGCACGGCGCTCTTTGTTGTTTTCAATCCGCCGACGCGACGCGACGTCGAGCCATGCTGCCGTGTTACACTGCCTTGCTGAGGAAGAACCGGAACGTAGTGTGAGCCTTCAGACGTTGCCGAATTTACTTTAATAAAAGCCGAACTTTTAGGGAAATCCGTGACTATTTATCCTCCAA